TGGTTATGATGAATATCTGGTGTGTTGGTGGCAACCAAACAGAAATAAAGACAGGGCTAGAGGCATAGAAGATTGTATGCTCACCTGTTGCCAGAAAGAAGTGAAGAAATACAGTCTGTCTGTAAAGCCAATAAGCATCTCTTTTAAATAAAACGCTTGCTTTACTAAATAAAAGCTGACAGCTTTTTAAGCTGTCTATTGTTGTTTTAGAAATGCAAATGATGGAAATTAAAATCCTTCTTTGTACTCATAACCTTGGTCAATATAATCGCCCCTGAAAGTATACCAGTAATTTGCATATGCAGTTTTAAATGACAGAATAAGCAGTGACAATATAGCATTTGAAAAGCATTCTATGAAACAAGTATAACTTGGCTTAATGCATCTCTCAGGTCCTGAGTCAGGTCTTTTTCTGGATATTTTATTCATTTATATTTCTTTCTACTTTAATTGCCTACTTTTTGTTTTACATTTATAAGCACAGCCTGCATAATGTGGTGTACTGGTCATGAAGAAGAATTCACCTAAAGCCGGGCATACCTGCCATGCTGCTGTGTTTACATCTGAGAGGAAGAATAAAAAGAAGAATCGCCCCGAGCAATTTGCCCACAACGGTACCCCCCGACCTCATGATTCCTGTTCGGGAGGTGGTCGTGAGAGGCTGATCGTTGCTCGTAATCCCCTGTACACTACACGGCTCACGACGCACAACCAGGCTTAAAGTCGGCCCGATCGAAAGATTCTCGCACGACTGGAAAATCGCACAGGGTACGCAGGGCTTTAAACTTTAAAATTCAACAGCTTGAAAATCTGGTGAAGTACAGACTGGAATCAGCACATGATTCGCAAGTTAAGACAAAACAAGCGATTATTTCTACAACTGAACCCAGAACAAATATAAGTTTGTTTTAGTCTCCAGAGCGGATTAAGCCAATAGATTGAAATCAAAAGCAAAAATGTTTCAAATGGCTGCAGTGAAATATGGTTTAAAGCCTGATGGAATCAAAGAGATGAGATGAACAGAGCAGCTCAGAGGAATATGCTCTTAGCTTGTTTTATCAGGACCAAGGTTCTTTCTGCAAGAAGTTAGTATGTTCTCTGTTTGCAACCTGAGTTTTCTCCTGGTACTCCTGCTTCCTTTTGGTTACGGTTAATTGGCCATAAATTGTCCTTAGGTGAGAAGCAGTAAGTGCTTGCAAGGTTGTTTGTTCTGGACTGGAAACCTGCCCCCAGTGTTTCCTGCTTCTCACCCATTTTCCACTGGAGAAAGGCACCAACTACTGATTGCACATCGATTTAATGTTTTCTTCTCATTTTATTCCTGAGTTCACACCACTAAAAGGGCTAGCAGAAGAACCAAAGCAAACAAAATCGAAACAAATTTCTGTTTCTGAGAAATCGTGGTAAATGAATAAGGCAATAAGTCAGAGTGGGAAAGAAATAAACATAATAGCAGTAGAGCCGGTTTTGGTTGACGGATTTGAGCACTGCGTAAATATCTTAGTGACATGACAGTGAACAATCGAAGCACACATACAGTGTGATAAAAGCCAGTGGGTATTTTGGGCTGCTGGGGGACAGAGTGAGTGAGCAGCTCCTCACAAGGCCACATATAAACACCCAGGCGTTGCTGAGAGACTTCAAGAGGGCAAACAATGATGGGTTTAAGGAAGGTTAAACCCAGAACTGGAGTTACACATGCTTTTCAGAAATCAGGAAAATCTGCTTAGTTGGTGCTTTTTCATCTAATCCTGGGATTACTTAAGTCTGTTTGTCACATTTTTGTTTTTTAATATCTGCTCCTGTCTTGGCTGAACATGTAAAACGATTTTCCATGAACACTTCACTAAACAAGCCTGAAATCAATGTGCTTAAATTGTTCATTGACGCAAACTCCAACTCCTGGGTGTGTTTTCTTTGGCAGCAGCGTTATTAATAATAGACCGCTGGCTGCTGTATTCGGCTGCCATTTTTGTAATACCAATTTAATGGGAAAAAACAGCAATTAAAAGCTTACATGCAGGGAGCAGTTTCATATCAGAAATAAGTTTCACGCATGACTGACAACTGTTGATTAAAAACAGCTAAGTAATCAAAGAAATTGCTGTCCAGTCAAGTTAACTAGGATGTCTTCCTCTCTTTTTCTTTAGAAAAGTCAAATCAGAGAGAGGTGCAGTGATGGTAGAAGGGTGAGGGGCTCAAGCAAGAAAAGTGGGTTGGCTATTGAAGGGTTGCTGGAAAGATGCCAGAGGAAGTCATTTATAACCTCCAAAGAGGAGGGACTGTTTTCTGTGTGACTGCCTGCTAAGGCATGGGAGCTATGTGTCTTTAAAACCCCTTGTGGATTGCAATGCTGCGTGACCCTGAATGCAATGCAACGAGTGACCCTCTGCAGGGAATCTGTGCTGTCTGAAACAACCCTTCCACGCTTGCTCTCTCTACCTCTTTCTGGATCTCTGACAGTGTGTTTTAAAAAGGCAGCAAGGGATCTGTTCAAGGATGCATGCAAACAGTTATAGGCTGTAACAACGTAAAGTTCAGGGTTCTGCAAACATGTCAGACAGTTGATAACAATAAAAAAACTATGAGGCATCAGGGGTTCCACATGACTGCTTGGACTGCGGGGAATAGTTGACTATTATGTTTCCAAGTGTAATCCATCCATGCTCGTCATACCGGTATTATATTTGGCCAATCCGGACGAGCCCCCACCCCATGAACTTACACCAGATTTAGATGATGGGGGTCTCAAATGCTAAAGCTAAGAAGAGAAAAAGGGGAAGAACACTTCTTGTTCTTTTTTTAAATTAATGGAAATTTTATAGGAAGGTTTGGTATGGTTGGAGTGTTTGTCAAAACTTGTTTGAGTTTATTTTCTTAAATAAAAATATAATTTAGGAATAAATTAATACAAGGAGATAGTTCCAGATAAGTATTTGTTTAAAAAAAAGAATTATATAAGTATGCCTGAAAAATAAATCATGATTTAGATTAGGCAGGAACATATACGCTGCTCAAAAAAATAAAGGCAACACTGAAATAACACATCCTAGATCTGAATGAATGAAATACACTCTTTCAATACCTTGTTCTGTACAAAGTTTATTTGGATTTGGAGTCACACACAAAATTAAAGTGGAAAAACACACTACAGGCTGATCCAGCTTTGATGTATTATTCTTCTAACAGGTCATAATGAGGCTCAGTATTGTGTGTGGCCTCCACCTGCCTGTATGACCTCCGTACATCGCCTCGGTATGCTCCTGATGAGATGGCGGATGGTCTGCTGAGGGTTCTCATTCCAGACCTGGATTAAAGCATCCGCCAGCTCTAGGACAGTCTGTGGTGCAATGAGGCGTTGGTGGACGCATTGGGGCTTAATGTCCATCAGTGGGCGTCAGGCCCTCATACCATCCTCATGGAGTCGGTTTTTTAACCGTTTGTGCAGACAAAAGCATGTTTGTGGCCTGCTGGAGGTTTTGCATTGCTCCTCCTGTTCCTCCTTGCAAAAAGGCGGCAGTAGTGGCCCTGCTGCCGGGTTGTTGCCCTCCTACAGCTTCTTTCACATCTGTTTGTGTACTAGCCTGGACACTACGCTGACAGAAACAGCAAACCTTCTTGCCACAGGTTTAATTGATGTTCCTTCCTGGATGAGCTGCACTACCCAAACCACTTGTGTGGGTTGTAGAGTATTCTCATGCTACTACGAGTGTGAAAGCATCCCCAACAATCAAAAGTGACCAAAATATCAGCCAGAAAGCGTAGGTAGTGAAAAGTGGTCTAAGTTCCCCACCTGCAAAACCACTCATTTATTTAGTGTGTCTTACTAATTGACAATATTTTCCATCTGTTAATTGTCAATCAGTGTTGCTTCCTAAGTGGACAGTTTGATTTCACAGAAATTTGACTTAATTGAAGTTATATTGTGTTGTGTACGTGCTCCATTTATTTTATTGAGCCGTGTATATGTATTTATATGTACACATTCACTTTGTCAAACAAAGAAACAAACATATGGACTTGGTTTGGTCATTGAATAACTGCTAGTCATCACAGATTTCAGCACGCTGAAAGATCCATCCATCCATCCATCCATCCATCCATCCATCCATCCATCCATCCATCCATCCATCCATCCATCCATCCATCCATCCATCCATCCATCCATCCATCCATCCATCCATCCATCCATCCATCCATCCATCCATCCATCCATCCATCCATCCATCCATCCATCCATCCATCAAGCCTGGATGAAGGTTTCACTCCAGTGCGATGATCCTGACCCACCCCTTCCTTTATCGTTTTCTTTGCATAGTGTAGCAGGAGAGCCTGACTGAGGAGAAGGAAGCCAGAGAAATGCTTTTTAAGATTTTGAAAAACGGAGATGGAATTAGTTTCAAAGCCGAACACGACAGCTGCAGTGGATTCAAACCGAATTACAATGTTATAATACAAGCAATGGGAAAATTTATTGTCTAGCAGAATTTGTCATTGTGACAGACCGACCTATAATTTCCATACAGTCTGTGTTTTTTTTACCAAGTATGGTAGGATAAGACACTATATTTAGTGCCAGACAGTTAAAGTCCAGCTACCCTTAAGGCCCATAACAGCTTTGTATTTGTAGACAATAAAGATTACAGAGTGCTGGAGACATTGTGTCATGGAGCAGAACGATAAGAATCAACAAAGTTTGGGCTAATTATAATAAATATTGTCATCCCAATTAAATTTTATCACACTTGCATATTTTCTCGAAATCATGCAGCCTTCAATAAATTATGCTTTACTTTTATTATGAACTACAAGAGAGCCAGAGGTTCTGCTCCTAAAAAATTGGGAGTTTTGATATAAAACTTTGTGTAAAAAATACTATTCATTAACCCCATTTAAATGTTGCTTCTGCAATTAATCTATTTATCAATTTATATTATTTATGTTCACCAATCTTAAAGGGACGTTTCTTACTAAGTTGTGGCCATGTGTGTGTGTTGCAGTTTGCCTGGGCACAGTCATGAAACTAGACCTGCCTTCCAGCCTGGAAAATCACTACGAGACTTTGAGGCTGCTCTACACCGGCTGCCAGGTCGTCCATGGAAACCTTGAGATTACACACCTCAGTGGAAACCCAGACCTCTCCTTCCTGCAGGTAAGTTTGAGTCTTAAAAAAAAAGCACAAAACATCCTGCTTGAAACAGAACAAAGTAAATTTGAGATTCACTGATATAGATATGATATAGATATATCATATATTTGTTGCTGATTCTTGTGAAGCTCTGACCAACCAGTGCAAATTTCAGATAATCCAGATCTCTTTATTTATTAGCAATATTAAATTAAGTTTTCAGTTATTTCTCTAATTTTCCTGCCGGAGAAATCATAAGTTATTATGTTAGGAGCTGAGGTTACTTCACAGCATGTGTGGGTAAGGAGTTGCTGTAAAAACAAATTTAATCATCAATTAATTTATTAATCGATTAATTATTAACTGGGGTATAGGGACTCCAAAACATGCCTCTAGCTTAAAAAAACAACCCACTTAATGCATTAATTATACCAATATTGCATTTAAGATAAAAAAAAAAAAATGTCTGTCTTTTAGCTCCATACAAAACTAAGTTGGAAAAGTTCGAGTTTCACCTAGTTTAATTTCATAAAAAGTATTTTAAAAAAAATGTTTTTTGACTATTTGATTACTAATCAATTCATCCAAAAAATAATGGACAGATGAATCGATTTGCAAAATAATCGATAGTTTCAGCCCTAATTAAAGTTAGCGTTTTGTATAATTTACATGGTTAGCTATACTGGCCTTAAACACCACAGTCTTTGTGTTTTCCATAGAGAAAGTAGACCTTTATTAAATCTGAGTTGTCTTAAATGTTGCCAGGTGAGTTTCCGTGTCTAGTTTTATGCCAGTCTAGCTAAAAACGTGGATCATTTTATTAATACCTTAAGTTAAAAAGAAAAGGTAAAAAAAATTGATAGCAAATAGCTTCTTAATAGCTGAAATCAAAAAGGGCATACATTGAATGGTCTTCCCTCAGTGACTACCTTCACACCAAAGAGTGTTGTTGTTAGCTCACCCTGTCAGCACTATATTAATACGCTTTTCATAGCCTGGAAAACAAATTATATTTATAGGATTCACACCCAGTCAATTCCCACCAGTGCTGATTATTGTTCATCATTAAAGAAAAATATAATAAATAGCTTTGGTTAGTTTTATTTGTTTTGGGTTTTTTTCAACCAAACAATATTTTTGCAAGCCCTATTTTTCTTTGTCTGCTTCCACAGGGCATTGTAGAGGTGCAGGGTTATGTCCTTGTTGCTCATGTCTCTGTGGACCTGGTGCCTTTGGACAACCTCCGGATCATTAGAGGCAGCCAGCTGTACGATTCCAACTATTCACTCGCTGTGTTGGACAATCAGGGGCTGAAGACACTTCGGCTTCGTAGTCTCAAAGGTCATTTGAGAGGCAAACCTGCTAAAAAAAAAGTCATGCTTGTGTGAGCTGCTTGAATTGAAAAGTCGTGACTTGTTGCTCTGGTGTCATTTGTCCTGCAGAAATCCTGTTGGGTGAAGTGTCTATTTGGGGGAACCCCCAGCTGTGCTTCCCGGACCCAGAGAGAATCATATGGAGGGACATCTTGAACGAGAAGAAAACCCCCCACCAAAGGCCAAACCGTCTGCAGCGCCGTGCCTCTAACTGTGAGCTGCTAACTATGACTCCCTCACTGTTTAGTAAAAAATGAAAACATACCATCCTTTAAACACAACTGAATGATCTAGCATTTAGTAATCATTTAGCTGTTTTTAATACATACTTTGGTTCAGCTGTAAATGTAGCTTGTTGGAATGCCTCTTTATAATGTTTTGCTTTAAAAAGTGTTTAAACCATATTACTTATTGCAGCACTGACCTCTCACACTAAAAAACAGAAAAACGTTTTAAATGGGACTTTTTGTCAAAGGTTTGCCTTTCTGAAAGCTTATTTCACATTTTCAGTTCAAAACATAAAAAAAAAAACATAAAAAGCTATCTCAAACTAAAATAATTGACAGCCAAATCAAAGCTTTTATAACTGACAACACTGATTATACAGCCTTACAGTTGCTTACTCTGGTGTTGACTTTAAACTTAAACCACAGACTGTCGTATAGCTTCACATGCATATTTTACTGTAAAACAACGCCTTTGATTTATTTGCTGGTGACATTCAGAGTATAAGCTGTTAATGTGTTGTAATTATCTTTTCCGGTTTGCACAAAAATTTCCTTTTAACAAAACTCCATCAAATTACTTGAGGTTGTTTCAAAACAAAATAATCTTTACTTGTTTGCTACATTTTAGTCTTTTATTTTAAGACCCGCTTCCTGCTTGCAGGAAAGTGACCCTTTCTGCTCATCAAAATAAAAGCTCTTTCTGTGCTTTTAGTTTGCTTTCTTCACTCCATCTGATTATTTTTGCTGGGATTTTATTTAAGACTTTGGTGAAATACTGGTTACCATGACCACAGTGAAACCCCATTTTCATGTTTTGATTTTGGGACTTTAAATCTTTTTTTTGTTTTTTTAAACAAATGTATGAAACTTTTCGCTTCTCAGTCTTTGATGTCTTTCTTTGTTCATCTAAAGAACTTTTCTGTCATTTCTCGTTTTGGTCCACATGTGTATTTAGCATCTTTTGCTCCACTCTTTGTTAAATTTAAAGCTACAGTGTGTAATAATTACAGGGATATAAAGTCAGAAATTGAATATATTATACATAACTATGTTATTTATCATCACCTATGAGCTCAGCCTTTTAACCATAATATTTGCGTTGCCTTAGAATTCGTTATTTATAATTACATAGGAGCGGGTCTCGCAGCCATGGAGGCTGACATCTTTGCGCTACGGCAAGCGCAGAGGCAACAAACTAGCGATTGCGAGATCTCCCATTACGCTCGAAAGTAACTACGGCAAGTTGAGAGAGATTAACTGAGACGGTACTGAACAGTAGATGGCAGTATTATGCCTGAAAAGCGTTTAGTCTGCCTGAAACCAAAGAAGAAGAAGAAGCAGGTATACGGCGCTTCAGTAACAAGAAAGGTAAACAAGGCGGCAGGCGTGAGTGACTTTGCAAACTGTTTGGCCAAACATCAGACGAATGGAGGATCATGCCTACTCTGTATCACAACGAAAAGCGGCGGACACCGAACCCCCGTCATCTAAGAAGCGGAAACACGACGAGAATAAACGCAAGCATGACAAGAAACGGCAAAAAACACGGATCAACATTGGCACGGCATTTACACGATGGAAGTCACTGATGGAGGAGAAAGGTTTTCAAAGTGACGCTCAAGTTGCCAGTTTTCTGCTGGACAGGTAAGGCCACAGCTTCATAAAATTACCACAGCTGATAGTGGCGTGTGTGAGTGTGAGAGAGACAGATATATGAAGCTGCATATTAGCGAGCTACGGATATATACCTCGGTTACTTCTCTCCGGCTCCTTTGGAGATCTTCAAGCCTTTCCTCCTCTGCTCTAGTCACCCCGCTGCCTCCTTTCTCTCGCCTGGCCCTGGCTGCACGCCCACCCCGGCCTCTCTGCCCTCTTCCTCTCCCTCTTCCTCGCCTTGTAACCCCCGTGCCACAAACAAGACTTGGACTCTGTAAACGGGGAATATATATTCTTCCAGCGAACACAATCTCGCTGTTAAACTAATGACTACAATTACTTCGTCTGTTTATATCACCATGCAAAGCAGCTCACCAAAACGTCACAACGATGTAGAAAAAATAACGGGTATATTTATTATCTAAAGTCTACATGAAATCTATACCCTACACAGACTAATGAAATACTATCTGTAAAATTATCTATGTAAACAAACCTCATTACTTGAGAAGGTAGGTGATGCGGACGTCGTGGAAGACATTTTGTCCTGTAACGCTCGCCGTATTGTTGGGGGGGAGAAGCGGTGGGGGGGAGATGTTCATGTTGCTGCAGTCTGCAGTCTGGACGTTAGATGTCGCTGAAAATTACACACTGTAGCTTTAATACTTTAAAGTATTTTTCATCCTTTCGGCTGAAAGTCTTCCTGTTTGTTCTGCTACTCTAGTAGTGATCGGCTGAGGTTTGGGCAGGTTTTATTTTCCTCTGGTTTAGAAAGCAAGAATTATGGGCTCAGATTTCTGCTGTGCTTGCTTTTCTTTGGTTCAGGCAAAAACTGTCACCCTTCATGTGAGAATAACTGCTGGGGGGAAATGGAGCAGGACTGCCAAACACGTGAGTTTAAATCTTGCAGTCTTCCTGGTAATACTGAAATATTTATACCAGCTGGTAACTAAGCAGCTGCTTTTTTCCTGATATCCTCCCGTTTTAAGTGACCAGGATAAGCTGTACGACTGGTTGTCACCGATGCAAAGGCCCTGATTCTATCGACTGCTGTCACCAGCAGTGTGCCGCCGGGTGCACTGGACCCAAAAACTCAGACTGTTTGGTAAAATGCCCTCCTTACTTCTATCCAAACATTTTTCATTTATTTATGACCTCAATAGTTAACATTTCCACTTCTACTGCTTCTTTGTTCTAGGCGTGTCTTCATTTCAACGACAGTGGAGAGTGTAAAGACAGCTGCCCCCCGCCAAGCATCTACGACCCTATCTCCTATCAGACCAAACCCAACCCCGACAAGAAGTTTAACTTTGGAGCCACCTGTGTAAAGAGGTGTCCCTGTAAGAACTGAGATTAGAAATTCAGCTCCAGCTGATAGCAGATGTTCAGCAGGTTATGTTTTTTCCTTGTTGTGCAACTCTAGGTTGCTCTATGAACTCTGTCTGTCTCTACAGATAACTACCTGGCTATGGATGTAGCCTGCACTTCCAGTTGCCGATCCAAAAAGGAAACCATCATTGTTGAGCCTGATGGTACTGAGGTGCAGATATGTGACAAGTGTGAAGGAAACTGTCCTCAAGGTAGACAGCCAATCCATTGTTTGCTTACTTTCATTTTGGACGGCTTGTTTGGCTTAGCTATAGAGAGAATCTGTCTGCATACTATGCAACGATTTCAGAAAATATGGGATCTTTTTTGTTAGGGATGCACCAAAAATTCAGCCGCCGAAAATTTGTAACCGAAATTACCGAAAAGTGCATTTTTGATTTGGGTCTGATAGACATTTAACACCAAAATAACACGACAGAAACTTGTGATGAAGCAACAAACAGCACATCCAGCATTGGGATAAAAGGATTGCAAGCAAACAGCACATCCAGCATGCAGAAATGTTGTGAAGCAGGTAGCAGAGCAGAGTTTATCAGAGTTGGGTGCAAGTTTAAAAGCTGCACATCGTTATCATTGCGCGCTCAGGTCAGTGGCACAAAATAAATGCAATAGAAATCCAAACATTTCCGTCACCATTCTGAATATGATAAGGATGGAAAAGGAAACCCCGAACATGCTCACTCCGTCTCTGGCGGACGTGTTTGAAAAAGAAAGTGATTTGGCTAAGTAAAGGACATAACATCAAAGATGTAGTGGTAAATAGATATTTTTATAATTTTGGAATTGACTTATTGAAATGCCTTGAGTTTAAAAAATAAAATGAGTTTTTATTTTTATAGGGTTAGTACACATTGTTGCCAAAAATGCTATGGTTCTTGTATTTGACGTAGTAATTTCTTTTAGCTTTTCGGTTTTTGATCTCAGTTTCCTAATTTAATTATTTCATTTTCGGCTAAGAAATTAAATTTCGGCGCATTTCCTAATTTTTGCATCAAAATCTGTCTGCCGCACACTCTACTCTGACAATGTGCGTGTATGCATGCCTGACAACGTCGGGGCATGCTCCCAATGAGATGACGGATGGCGTCCTCAGGTATCTCCTCCCAGATCTGGACCAGGGCATCAATAAGCTCCTGGACAGTCTGAGGTGCAACCTGTTGTCGTCGGATGGATCTAAACATAATGTCCCAGAGGTGTTCTATTGGATTTAGGTCAGGCGAGCGTGGGGGCCAATCAATGGTATCAATTCCTTCATCCTCCAGGAACTGCCTGCATACTCTCCCCACATGAGGCCGGGCATTGTAGTGCACCAGGAGGAACCCAGGACCCACTGCACCAGCATAGGGCCTGACAATGGGTGCAAGGATTTCATCCCGATACCTAATGGCAGTCAGGGTGCCGTTGTCTAGCCTGTATAGGTCTGTGCGTCCCTGCATGGATATACCTCCCCAGACCATCACTGACCCACCAACAAACCGCTCATGCTGAACGATGTTACAGGCAGCATAACGTTCTCCACGGCGTCTCCAGACCCTTTCATGTCTGTCACATGTGCTCAGGGTGAACCTGCTCTCATCTGTGTAAAGCACAGGGCTCCAGAGTCAGACTAGCCAATTCCGGTGTTCTGTGGCAAATGCCAATCGAGCTCCACGGTGCCGGGCAGTGAGCACAGGACCCACTAGAAGACGCCGGGCCCTCAGGCCACCCTCGTGAAGTCTGTTTTTGATTGTTTGGTCAGAGACATTCACACCAGTGGCCTGCTGGAGGTCATTTTGTAGGGCTCTGGCAGTGCTCCTCCTGCTCCTCCTTGCACAAAGGAGCAGATACCGTCCTGCTGATGGGTTGTAGACCTTCTACGGCCCTGTCCAGCTCTCCTGGAGTACCTGCCTGTGTCCTGGAATCTCCTCCATGCTCCTCAGATTGTGCTGGGAGACACAGCAAACCTTCTGGAAATGGCACGTATTGATGTGCCATCCTGGAGTTGGACCATATGAAAATGTTTTATTAGGTTGACTTGAGACTGACTGGACAACAAGCCTGAACATACAGCCATTTTATTGCTTTGAATTCAAAGTTCAAACCTGAATCCAAATAAATAGGGTAACACTTGAAAATGTATGCTTTACGGTTGCTTTTTATTCAGCGTATCTGTGTTTGAGCAATTTAGAAAACATGAATAACCAGAAAAGTTGGTCTGTAGATTCATGAAGAACTGAAATACAGAAGAACTGAGTCAGTCATCTGAAAACAAAGGCTTACCACACTTCTCAGAAGTTCTGAGACGTGTGTGGATTTTATTTGTTCGAGGTCAAACTGAATGTTTCTCCTCTGTCACAGATTGTTACAGCCCTGGTACGGAAAACGGCAACTTGGGCAACCACAACGTTACCATAGTAACATCTTCTAATGTGGGACATTTCAACAAGTGCTCCAAGATTTTTGGAAGCATCGCCTTCCGCGCTCAGAGTTTTGCAAGGTGAGGAAAATTACAAAGCTAAAATACAAAACTTTTTATTTTTACAATAATAAAACTCAGATTTGGATTTATTACTGCTTCTTTTACTGACCTGTGAAAAAAAGTTGATGGAATTTGTTGCAGCAGTTTCTTCCTCTCTGCCCCCTGAAGAAAAGTGTGAGGCTGTCAGGCCTTCTTACTCACAGTTTAGACCACTTGAAGCTTCTCTCTTGTCCAACCCCTGCTGTAAATCTTCACAGAATTTTTCCTTATTCTAGTTTTTGATAGACGCCATGGCCAGTTTAGAGTTGATCTGCACAGATCATGTTGCACAAACAGGAAACGGTTCTGTATGTTCCAAATAATTCAATAAAAACAGAGTAGTATGTAAAGCATGTTTCATACTGAGACTAAAAATAATCAAAGCATTTTCTGTTGGTGTCCCTCACTCTTCATTCAGGGACCCTGTGACCAATAAGTCCGGTCTGACTTTTGAGCAGCTGGAAGCCTTCAGGAAGCTGGAGGAGATTACAGGTATGTGGCTTTTTGCTAACGCTTCTGTTTGGTTTTAGCTGCAAAATATTCCAGATCTCAATTCGGTTTCACGGGGAGATGTGCACAAAAAAAAAAATATATAGGGCCTATATATATATATATCTAAGTGTAGTTGTGATTTTTTTCACATTCAGGTTATTTGTACATCGATGCCTGGCCAAAGGAGTGGACCAGCCTATCTGTGTTTGAAAACCTTAAGGTGGTCAGAGGAAGGATGCTCTACATGTAAGTTCAAAGTCAGGGTTTGGGTTTCACCCACTCCTTACTGACCCAAGCCAACAAACAGTTTAGTCCGTGTTGTTTTTAACCTTTAGTCCTTTTTTAAGCATGTATAAAAAACTTAACTTGGCAATCAGTGCAATTGGTAACAACTTACTCTTTACATTCAAAGAACACAAAGTAATAGTGCAACTACAGATATGTTTGTTTTAATAAGAAACGTCCTGTTTTGCAATCTGAAAGAAAACAGTTTCATTTTTTTTTTCTTGTGACAAGTCTTTTGTTTTTAAATACCTAGAAGCTAAACAGTCTATTCCCTAACTATAAAAAAGCTAGGATCAGATAACAGGTTAATGTTCCAGAACTTTATATTACATTAACCAATAACAGAACCACCTTGCCTGTGAGAGAATTAGGTAATATGCTGTCTGCTCTTTGCATCTTTCTTCTGTCTGAGCTTTTCCCTTTTGGGCTCCCTGACTATCTAAGACTAGCCGTCTCACACTCCACTCCTGTGTTTAAGAAGTTGTGTATGTTTTGACGGAGGTGGAGCAGGTGGTGGACTGAACCATTTTATGTAAATAGAGGGGGGTGACTATTGAGAAATCTTTCCAAAACAAATAAATCCAGTGTTGTCGATATATTGTAAATAGAATATAAGTTTGATTTTAAGTTTATTACTAAATGTTTAATTATTTAGTCAGTATTACATTTTTTATGTGGGGCTTCTCTCTCCATCGTGGGCCCTTTTCGATGCCACTGATGGTAATAAATGCTAATCATTAGCCTGCTCTGACTCTTTGACCAGAAGGAAATACTAAAGTCTCCAGGAAGCATTTTTATTGCTGCAGGTCAGGTGTGTTTTGGATAACATGCTTGGGTTGCTTAGAATGGTTTAGATGTTGCAACTGCATTTTTTTTATTTTATTTTTTTTTAACCATCGAGATAAAGGTGCCACAGAAAACAAAACAGCAGGAAGTAAAATAAAGCCAAAGGAAGTAAAATAAAGCCAAAGGAAGAAAAGGAAGAAAACAACATTGGAGTGATGCATATGAACTAGATGGGATAAGACTGTCTGAACAGGAAAGTTTTGAGTCTGGATTTGAAAAGAGGGAAGGAGTCCAGAGTACGGAGATCCGGAGGGAGGGAGTTCCAGAGGTGGGGAGCAGAGCGACTAAATGCCCGGTTCCCCATTGTGACAAGACAGGCCGAGGGAACGGAGAGCTGGAAGGTGTGGGAGGATCGTAGGGAGTGAGTGGGGGTGTTAACGTGAAGGAGATCTGAGATGTAAGATGGAGCCAAGCTATGGAGGGCCTTGAATGTAGTTAGGAGGAGTTTGAAGATGATTATTTGTTTGATGGGGAGCCAGTGGAGTTGTTGCAGGATGGGAGTGATATGATGAGAAATGGGGGTCCGAGTGATCAGGCGTGCTGCAGAGTTTTGGAGGAGCTGTAGTTTCTGGAGGGACTTGTTTGGAAGGCCAAAAAGAAGTGAATAACAGTAATCGATGCGTGAAGTGATGAGACTGTGAACAAGAATGGCGGTAGTTTGGGGAGTGAGGGAGGGACGGAGACGAGATATGTTACGCAGATGGAAGTAGGCAGACCAGGTGATGTTGTTAATGTGCTGAGGGTGCTGTCGAGGACGACACCATTTTACTTTTGCAGTGTTACCACTTTTTTTTTTTTTTTTTTAGCTCAACTTAAAATTAAACTGATTATAGTGAGGACAAAATAATCAATGACCCTTTTACCTTTTTGTTTAGGGGTGTGTATTCTTTGGCCATCCAGAACCTACACATCACATCCCTCGGGCTGCGCTCACTGCGCAGCATCAGTGGAGGCCTGGTGTTGATATACAACAACCCACAGCTATGTTACACCAACTTTCTGCCCTGGGAGACGCTCCTCCATCCCACTGAAGGGCCCCACCGCATCGTCCGTCTCAACCGAGACCCCCAGACGTGTGGTAGGTGAACACAAGTCCAACACATGTCAACCAAAAGATTAGTTCGAGGACCTTTGTTGGTCTTGAGTCTGATGCCCGTGGCTCACACATGTTTAATATACAAATCCTTAGAAAACTTTCATACCCCCTGAACTTGTTTACTTTTTGTATTTTTGTATTTAGACCCATTTTCTCCCATTAACCCTAAATATAATCCATTAGAGACAACTGCCTCTAGTATCCTAATTAGTTAATCTAATTTGTTTGCTTAGCTGCAAAATACTTTGTCAAAGAGGAAAACAAACAATGCATATAACACAAAATTGTCCATTCCCAAATTGAAATATATCAGCATTGTTCTTTGGGTCAGCTTTTTCCTCATCTGGGGCAGACAAGTTAGTCAGATTTTAAATGGAGTTTGAAACAGAGTAATCCTGCGCAACAGATTGCTGAAGCAATCTTTCACTTGGTGGTACAAACACCAAATTAGTACACATATGCACCAGGAACTATTATCTCAGAGAAGTATGTTACCCACATAAAAACAATTAAAAAAATAGAAATATAATAAAAACATGGCTGGAAAATTTAAAGATCTCCACCATTTGCAGTTGTTTTAATGCATGTTTGAGCTAGATTCTGATATAATGATGGAGTACATGTGCAAGTATGAAAAATCCAATTCTTTACTACAAGATTGTAATTATCCAGTAATAGGATAATATAACAGGAATTACTATATCTGTCAAAACACTCCATTAGAGATGCTTTTAATTAAAAAAGTCACCCTGCTGTACAGAATCGTGCACATTTACTGTAGGACTCTGCTTGTTGCTTGGCAGACGGATAAAAATATGTGGTGTTACTGATCATCTGAGGATGAGGAGAGCTTGCTGTGTAAATTTTGCAAAAAAATATTGAGAAAATATGGAGCAGGAAATGATTTTCTTTTGTTTCCCTTGTTTGATGAGTCAATTATTTAGTCCTGAAATTTGCATACACACAGCTGTATACACTTGAGGCTGAAACAACAGCATTTGCATCAGCTCCTTTTGCTGGTCCAGTTTTTTTCTCATTTTGGATCTGCAATCAGTGGCCACTTTTCCCCTATTCAAAGTGCTGCAATTGGTCCCACACTGCAAAAACAATCTCTTAAGTGTATTTACCCTTAATTTGAGTAGGTAAATAAGATGATTTGCCAATGAAATTAGTATTTTTACTCTTAAAATAAGATAATTAGATGATATGAACTTGAAATAAGACAATGCAATATATATTTTTTCTTATTTTAAATGTAAATTGTCTTGTTCCATTGGCAAAGTGTCTAACTTTCCTTCTCAATTCAAGAGAAAAGTAATTATTTTAAGAAAAAATTACTTACTTAGATTTCCATTTTTTGCAATACACTGCGTCACACTTTGGACAGCTCTAGTGAAATGAAAACATGGTTATGTGATCGAATGTTATGGTCAAAGTCCCCTCCTGAATGTATTAAAAAGTCTGTGGCAGGACTTGACAGTTGATGTTCACAGATGCCCTTCATCCAGTCTGACTAAGCAGGAGGTATTCTGCAGAAGAAAAACCAACTCAGGAATGGGTTGAGTACAAATGATAGGTCCAACTTTTATGTTGGTCTATCTAATAAATCCTAATAAAATACAGTGATGCATGTTGGGGGAGTTTTTGAATATAAAAAGTTCAACAGTTGTTAAATACCTTTCTACGGGATGTTCATTCTTAGAGAAATAACATTAAATCATGTTGTGTTCTTTCTTTTATATGTTTTCAGAGGCAGAAGGAAATGTTTGTGATCAGTTGTGTGATGGAGGATGTTGGGGTCCGGGTCCTGGACAGTGTGTGTCTTGCAAATTATTCCAGCGTGGTACCGTGTGTGTGGAGCAGTGTGCTGTCTATGAAGGGTATGGGTCATCTTTAATGCAGGATATCACCAAACATTATATATAAAGGTTTATATTCTACTCACATAGGTAATCCATAAAAAAGATTTTTCTAAAGGTAGAACAAAGCAATTTAAAGAACATTATCTCTGATAAGAGAATTGGTGGGCTTATGTTATAGTTTTTGATAATGCAGTAACAATGTTTTGTAGACATCACTGGTTGCAGCTTCAAAGAAAAGCAGTGAGCTAAAACTGGACAGTTCGGGGATGAGATCTTACATCCCTTTTTTTTTCTTTGCAGAACTCCTCGTGAATACTTTGATGGATCAATGTGCATCGCCTGTCATGCAGAGTGTCGACCTATGAATGGCTCTGCTACCTGCCAAGGCCCAGTAAGAAACCACATGACACATTACAATACCTTACCTCTACACACTATAGGATGGTCCATATCAGAAAATGCGTTTGATAACAATGTATTATGAGTATTTTTTTTTAAAGTTACTTTGAGGAGTACTTTAACTGTGCTGTAATTTTTACTTAAAATTGGAAATCAAGCAAGATGACAGTCTTTGCATTGCAACAAGGTAGGGTGGATCATCGGGTAGCATAGATGGTCAGAACACATCGGGTCCACAGCTGCCTCTTCTCTCCTTGCTATGGATCGAGTCACACGTCAAATAGGCTCAAAAGCATACGTACAAATAAAAAATACAAGTACATCATACAAAATATCTTAAAGGAATAGTACACCCAAAACATGATTAGCCTTCATTTTCTACTCACCCCCATGCTGAACAACACTCTGGAGTACTTTTTTGATATCTCAAATGCATCTGGAGATCTGGGAGGCTTCTTGCTGTCTGCTGACATTCAAATAATGGAGGTCCATAGCACCCGAGGCAGAAAGGTCCATAAAAGTCCACAAAAAACATGTCAATATTCCTCCATACTGCTCGTCCAATGTATTCCAAGTGTCCTGAGTGGGTAGCGTCCATAATTTACTCGAAACGAAGTCATTTAGAATGTTTTTAGAGCATAAACAGTAGTGTATAGGATTTCCTAAAAGCGCGTTCACGAGTCTACGGAAACCGCGGCAGACCAAACCAGATGAAAGTGCGCATTCAGCGTCTGCTCTGTCGATAATGCAAGCGTAGAAGAAGAAATGTGCTGTTTACCTGTGCAAAGAAAGAAACAACGAAAGAAAAATGTCTGAGGACTTCAGTGTTGAGGAAGAGCATGAGTTCTTTGCCGAGCTGCAAAGGCTTCATATTTTTTGTTAGAAAATAAACAGCATCACCAAAAGAAATGCAGCAGATAGGTCATGGATGGAGTAGTGATGCTATGTTTGTGGTCAAGTGATGTTTGCAAATGAAAGCGTTTACCAACTACAGTATGTTGAAGGTTACAGGAAAGCAGATGAAAGGTTTTAAGCAGGGTCAGGTTATTAAAACAATGATCCGGGCTTTGTGTATAATTTCAACACACATTTAAGATGGAAAAAAAAGAAAATAAATGCTTCTTACAGGGATCCACTTTGAAAACTCCCTCTTCTTTCAGGGTGCAGATGATTGCACTGAGTGTCTGCATTACCAGGATGAAAGGTTTTGTGTGGAACGTTGTCCGAGCGGAGTGAAGGAAAACCAACAAACCGTGTGGAAATACGGCAACGCTACAGGACACTGTCTGCCCTGCAACACTAACTGCACACTGTCGTAAGTCAACAACAGCTTCCAGTCTGAAAAACACAAGCAAACACAAATGCACATGGAAATAACTCATGTCGAACCTTTTTTCATTTTAGCTGCACCACAAAGGACGAGAGAGGCTGCCCCGTTGAGATCAAGGCGGGGTAAAAATCACAATTTTCGGAGTTTTTGATGATACTTTGAAAGGTTCTTACTAGGGCTGCAACAAATGATTATTTTGCAAATCGATTAATCTTTAGATTTTTTTTTTTCCCCGATTAATAATCTGATAGCCAAAGGTTCTTCAAAGAAGATTTTTTAATGAAATTAGTCCAGGTGAAACGAAAACGTTTCCACTTGAGGAGTTTTCGATAGAGCATATTCACAGAAAAGGTTTTTTATCTTAAATGCAAAATGTTTATGTACTGTTTTAGAATTTTGGTATAACTGCTGCTCTAAGTGGGTTCCTCTGTCAGCTAAATGCACGTATTATAGTCTTCATAGACCAGTTAATAATAAATCAGTTATTAGATTAGTTGACAATTATTACAAGAATCGATAAATCTTGATTAATACGATTAATTGTTTCAGCCATAGTTCTTACTATTCCCTTTAATTCTTAATGCTTAAACCTTAATAAGCATTTTTTTTTAAGTTAAAAGCAGCTTTAATATTAAAATACTTGAAACAGAAACCAAAGTCTGTGGAAGCTAAATAAATATTTATCTGTTTTTCACAAACCCTAACCCATGAAAGTTAAATCAAAGAAAATGAAATATTAAGTTTGTGAGGATAAAAAAAGTATTTTTTTGTTGTTGTTTTAGGTAGCAATCTACTTTTGTTTTATTTATACCTGGAAAATGCTTGAAGAGTGCTCTAATCTTTATTTTTGGTGGGTTTAGAAACCCTGCAATGTACTTTTATGTTTAGACGTTCCCTTAAACTTTTCCTCCCTTTTCAGTTCAGGCACAACCATCGCTGCTGTTGTCACTGGACTTCTGCTGGTTATAATCCTTGGAGCTATGCTGTACTTTTATTTAAGAAGACAGAAGAAGCTGAAGAGGAAGGAGACTGTGAGAATGTACCTTCAGGAACAAGAGGTGAGCACTTATAGTGGTTCGATCACAATTTGCACTGTTTTCTGTGGAGTATAGACTAAGATCATGCATAACCTAAATCCCCTGATCACTCATGTAGCTTGTGGAGCCATTAACCCCAAGTGGGGCGTCTCCAAATCAAGCTCAGATGCGAATTCTTAAAGAGACGGAGCTAAAAAAGCTGAGACCTCTTGGCGCAGGCGCTTTTGGGACAGTTTACAAGGTAAGTAGACTTCAGATTCAGTTTGTGTTTTTATGTTTAGATTTATAAGATAATAATCATTTTAAATGACTGTTTCAGGGGGTATGGGCTCCTGAAGGTGAACACGTAAAAATACCAGTGGCCATTAAGGTGTTACGGGAGAACGCCTCACCAAAGGGCAACAAAGACATTCTAGATGTAAGTGTAAAGCAAACATGACAAAATACACACTTTAGCATATTAAGGATTAGAATGCAATCACGTTTTTGATCCCAGGAGGCGTATGTGATGGCGTCTGTCACCAGCCCTTATGTGTGTCGTCTCCTCGGGATTTGTCTGACCTCGGCCGTGCAGCTGGTCACTCAACTGATGCCGTACGGCTGCCTGCTGGACTATGTCAGGGAAAACGTAGACCGCATTGGTTCTCAGGTCCTCCTCAACTGGTGTGTCCAGATTGCCAAGGTACCCTAAGTAGTGCTTTTCTTTTATTATTATCTCTAACATTTGATGTGGCTCCTGCTTGTGGCTGATGGATCAGTGCATTTGTGTCGTTGTAGGGGATGAGTTATCTGGAGGACATTAGGTTGGTTCACAGAGATCTGGCTGCCCGCAATGTTCTCGTAAAAAACCCAAACCATGTCAAGATCACAGACTTCGGCCTGGCCCGTCTGCTGGATATAGATGAGACTGAGTATCATGCTGATGGAGGAAAGGTGAGAAAGCAATGCTGTAGACAGGCACAAGCTCATCCACCCCCCTTGTTTCCTTTGATTGACTGGTTTTTCTGTAATTAAAGGTGCCAATTAAATGGATGGCTTTGGAGTCTATTCTACATAGGAGGTTTACTCATCAGAGTGACGTCTGGAGCTACGGTCAGTGTTGCTTGGATGCTGAAACAATGACTTATCTGACAGAGTGACTCAAAGTTCTCATAATTTTTAAGTAGAAGAAAAATTATCAATGGTTTTCAAATGGTGGTACAAAGAAATACTCTGATACCCATAAATATGTGTAAAGTACATTTGCAAACCTACTAAGACCAAGCTGTTCACCTAAACTGAGTTTCAAAGAAGGCAATAATTACGGAGGCAGCCCATAGTAACTCTGGAGGATCTGCAGAAATCCACTGTCACGTACCCTCAAATCCGATAATGTGGGCCAGTCAGATGCACGCCACCTGCATCCTACTATGTATAACCTCAATTACTCTATGGTGAAACACGGGGAGGCAGTATAATACTTTGGGTGATATTCTTTTTCAAAAACGACAGGGAAACTGGGTTAATGTGAGAATCCTAGATGAAAACCTGTTAGACCTACTGGAAGGATTCACTTTCCAGCTAAACAACAAGCCACAAACATACAGTAGTTAGAGTTAAAGCCTCTACATTTTTCTTTAGAACTAAGAAATTTGTTATTTTATACAAGGTAGCACCATTTAATCTGTCTCAAAAAGACTCCTGGGAAAAGCTCCTAGGAATAGAATGGCGTCATGTTGTCCTTACAGCACATGGGCATAAACCAAATTGATCTGTTCTTGCACAATATGTCATGCTTTAGAAATTGATTGTCACAATTATTCGCGTTCCAATGAGCTTTGTCCAACAAACTGCAACAAAAGTTATGGCACGTCTGCATCTCATGTTAACACATGACATGCAGACATGTATCTGCAACTGTGCATCACTGATGCTTTATTGTTTCCAGGCGTGCAGAGTTATCAGAGCTCTGATAAAAGACTAAATCCTCTGCTGTTTCAATGTTTTCATAGGGGTGACAGTTTGGGAGCTGATGACGTTTGGTTCCAAGCCATATGACACCATCGCAGCAAGGGACATCCCAGATTTGCTGGAGGGAGGAGAGCGACTCCCACAGCCTCCAATCTGCACCATCGACGTCTACATGATAATGGTCAAATGTGAGTACGGTATCATCAATGTGTCCATGTTACTGAGCCACTCGCTCACTATTTTGAAGGAGGATTTGAGTTCAAATTGTGATTTTCTGTTTGCTTTTAGGTTGGATGATTGATCCAGACAGCAGGCCCAAGTTTAAAGAACTGGTTTATGACTTTAGCACCATGGCAAGAGATCCATCTCGTTTTGTAGTCATTAAGGTAAAATTTACAGAGACTAAGGCTGTGTCCGAATATTCTCCCTAACCCCGCAATCAATATATGGAGGACGTGCATCTGACGATGGCCAATCACATGACACCCATGACTCTGCCTCTTTGGACGGCAAAACAAACCTTGCGTACATAGAAAACGACTAGCAGCCATTGCAGTTTTTCTCCATATTGCATTGAAAACACCATAAAAAAACGGTAACCTTGTGCTAAATATATCGGTATACCAATCGACAAGGAAGAAAGAACGGCATCTCATTTTATTGCCTCCCTAATGACCCAGAAAGGCGAGTTAGACGGGTGGCTGCTGTAAAGAGACAGAGCTGGACCCAGCTACAACTACTAGATTTGTGTGCGGCAATCAATTGTAAAATGGTTGATTATGTTCAAATTAGTGTTGTATATTTATATTTTTTATTTAGATAGATGTGGAAATTGCTTCTGACGCTACTCAAAAATAAGTTGAGGGTTTCATCTTCTAAAAGGCATGCAGTTTCCTCCAGTATATTAAAAGCCTGGAGGCCAGCCAGGCTTTACTCGGCCCCCTCCCCACCCGGAAAAGCGTAATAATTTTATTTTAAATGCATTGATGTTTGAAAGTGACATAAAAGAGCGAGAAAAGATTACGTATTAGCTGCTGTTATAGCCCCACCACGGTCATTTCCGTCTAGTGGCATGACCCAGCGCTCTCCCTGAATTCTACCTGTTCTGTTGAAGAATGAACAAATATCCTGACAGAAATATGCCAGGACCTTGTTAAAGTTGAATGGATGCTTAGTCGGCAACTCTCTAAGAAACATTTATCCAAATATCAGTAAAGGTGTATATATATTTATTTAAGCTTTGACTTTATACAAAAAAAAATCCAAGTTGTGCACAACTACCCTCCACCAATAAAAGTAATTGATGCTTCTTGTATAACTTTGCCTCTCTATAGAGTCCTTAGCCTAACTGCATGTTGCTCTGTTACCGTCCTCCAGAATGACGAGCAGATGAGCGCATCCAGCCCAGTGGACAGCCAGTTTTACCGGATGCTTCTGGAGGAGGGGGAAAATGTGGGAGACATGATGGATGCAGAAGAGTATCTAGTCCCGCAACCCAACCTGTTCCCCAGAACCAGGGGAAAGGAGTCTGTTTCCAATGGGCCGTCCAGGCACCAGTCCTACAGGGTCAGTGTTTGTTAAACTCTGCATAGCTATCATCCATCTACGCATTCATAAAACCAGTTACTCTTAAAAATGAAAACTTGTGTTACACAATACTGTAAACATGAATGGTGGTAAACAAATATCAGTGCTGTTTTTGCTGAAGTTGAAGAGTTTTCTTTTTTTTTTTTTTTTTTCTTGTCTGTATCAACAGAGCAGAGATCAGGGTCTGGATGTGGAGCCCTCCACTGCTGGTGTTTCTCAAAGCATGTACTCCTCACTGAGTACGCTGGGCCACAACCACTACCCCACCCTACCAATGGGTGCAAGCGCAGCTAACGGCCTTTGGCCTCAGCTGGCTCGCAGCACGTCAGCAGGAGGCCAGTCTGACTCGGTCTTCCTGGAAGTCACTCAGGATGGACAATCGTTGCCGCCGTCCAGCCCTGGACGGTATTGCAAAGACCCCACCTACCCCAACGGGAGCCAGTGTGACCTGGAAAACGACGAGACGGACAGCTTCCCTCATGCTAATCACCTTCATCACTCCTTGCCCAGGAGGAGTCACATCCACAGTCATAAAACTGCAATGCCAGGTTAGTTGAGAATTAGGGAGACGTTGACTTCTCAAATATTGAAGCTGGATCCATCCTTTCATTCATCTCTCCATCCTTTGCATTTTGACAAAGTAGCTAATGGAAACCTATATCTGGGAAAAAACTACTTACTACACCGTAAAACATAGTTTTTTCTGTTTTAAAACAAACTAAATTAATTAAAATTTTTGCTTTAAATTATTTACATAATCTAAAATCATCAATTAGCCCAGTTACTGAAGCTGGCAGTTGTAACACACCACTTTCTGTTTGTTTTCTCTTTTTTGTTTAATATATCTCTATTCAGGTGGTCTTGTTATGTTAAATACGCAGTTACTTTCTTTACCAACTTAAAGAGCAAAAAAAAGGCTAAAACAGAAAAAGAAAGCAGCCATAGGGGTGCCATATTGAATGAGCTACTGCTCTAGTAAGTCCTAAAGTCATGGTTTGGGACCAGGCCCATTTAATTAATTTATTTGAATCAGGCAATGCACATTTATCAACATCGTAGCTTAAAGCATCAACAGCTAATTTGCATCCACTGTCCTAAAACTTACCCTGTCACACCTTGACGATTTAGACCAGCGTATGGCTTGAACTCAGGGAGGATCCATTACACTCATAGGTTTTACTCATAGGAAGTTACTTATAGGTTTTGGATAAGCCACAACTTATGAGTAACTTAAGCTTAACATATGTCAACAATCAGATAACTTACCTGTGACTTATGCCCCATGTATGGCATATGTCGTGAAATTTCTCAACGTGCTTGCCGTATGTCGACGTGTGCCATGGCTACGACCGAACAAACTTCCTAACAGACATGATGCTGAATCTGCTGCGACTGCAAACTATCTTTCTTTCTTTTTCTTTATTTTTTATTTTTTTGGGTGGGCAGTATCATCGCTGCTCCTGAGGTGCCTGAGGGGAGCAGCTTTAACTCATTCTGCATAATGCCCATGAAATGATGCTTTTGCATCATTTCATGGGCATTACGCTGCCGCATACGCTGTCTAAATTGGCAAGAGGTGACAGGGTCCTAAGGCGTGTAAAAACAGTGAACATTAAACTAGCCATTAAGGGAGAGAACAGGGTGGACACAAACAGATAAGATGCCAATAGCATGAAATCAAAATGAAATGAGATCAACAGGCCCAAGGAAACAGATCAGTTATCCTGTGAACAGACGTCTCTTTAGTTTTCAAGCAATGTTTCAAGGAGATTTAAAAACTTATGTAGCCATCAAGGATAATTAATTATCCTTGTCTTCCAATTTCATTCAAGTTGAAAAGTCCAATTTTCATTTTGAAAATGTTACGGTCCTGTCAGTTCAGAATCCCGACTCTGCTTTAACCCCAATATGGCCGCTTTGCATTAGGACAGTTGGTTTGAACATCTGACAGTTTTCTTGAAATCCTTCACAGAAAATTAACCTGCATTATGACCTTTTTACAGTTTTTTTTTCTTTTCTCTTTAGAATAAAGAGCAGATAAATACATTCTCATTAACCTATAGCTAATATTAGTTGACCAGGCTATTAAAAGTATGTACTTAGGAAGCTCACTGGTTTTTAAAGTTAGAACTGAGACAAAGGAGGTCAGGTTTCAGGGCATTCATCAAGTGTAAAAAGTGATCACAGCATAAACATCCAGCATGATTTGCTCCTGGCTTAATGTACAGAGGCCTTAGACTTTGACGCGGGCGACCCGGGTTCGAATCCGGTCTGTGGTCCTTTCCTGCATGTCTCTCCCTCTCTCTCATACCCCCTTTCCTGTCAGCCTACTGTTGAAAAAACAAGCCATAAAAAGTGCCGTAAAAAAACAAACAAAATTTTCTTCCCCATTTTTCTGTTTCTGATTAAGCATTTAATGAGCGCACTTGAAAATCTGACAATAATTCACTGATTATAATTTTTATTAAATAATTGTCCCCAAATGTTCTTACTGCAAAAATGCATCTTAAAGACCAGTGGAGCTGGACTCCAGTTTGAGAAGAATGACCCCTGAGAATGTGGACTCTTGCCTTAATGGACTCTTTAGAGCAGGGGTGGGCAATTCCAGTTCCTGGGGGCCGGTATCCTGCATCTTTTAGATGTACCTTTGGTTCAATGCACCTGAATCAAGTACTCAGATAATTGGGAGGACTCTGCAGGAACCGACTGCATACTGAGGAGGTAACTCAGCTATTTGATTCAGGTGTGTTGGACCACGGATGGATCTAAAAGTTGCAGGATACCGGCCCCCAGGAACTGGAATTGCCCACCCCTGCTTTAGAGGATGCAGCAGTAGCTCTGCTAAAAGCCTTGCTCTCTCTCTGGGTTTTTCAGCCTAACTAACCTACCACAACTGATCATTCAAGTTCTTACATCTGTTTTCTGATATGACTACATTTTAAAAGTCTCACTGCTATTAAAAATAGGAAACTGGCCTTTTTACTTTCATTAAGAGCAGGTGTGCCAGGGAGTATTGTTTTCAGTGTGTCTGACACTTAGATAGTCACTCTGATTTCTCTGTGATTCTTCTCCTTGAACATTGTTTGACTTCCTCTCTCCTTGCTCTCAGAGTACGTAAACCAGGAGGTGCAGGATTCCAGGCCGGTGATCCCCGAGCGGCCCACCACACTTCCACGCAAAGGCTCCAGAGTGGACAGGCGGCTCCCCAACGGACTCGGCTCTGGTCATAGTGTTGAAAACCCAGGATACATAATCCCTGTCAACTCCATCTCTCCTGCCTTTGACAACCCGTACTATCTGGATCTTGGGGACAAGGCCAAAGCCGCTCCCAGTGGAGCAGCAGGAGACAGTCCTGCAGCAGTGGAGAGTAATGGGACTGTTCCCACGCATGTGAATGGGTTTGTGACCCCCACTGCAGAAAACCCAGAGTATCTTGGACTGGCAGACACCTGGACTGGTCATACTTGAGGAGAAGGAGCAGGGACTGTCGGACTTGGAGACTGTGCTCTTTTAATGGAAAACTGAAAGAAAGGGAAGAGTTATTTCTGACAGAACTGAGTGGGATCTTTGTTTGAATCTGAGAGCACCGTTTGGCCACATGAATGTGGGGAGGCTATCATAAAAAACTCACCATTGACCTCAGCAGAGTGTAGCATTAATATGGTATCCATGACGATGTGTGAACTCATAAACAGTTTTGGAGATTTCAGAGAATCATTTGATAATTTCTCCTTTTTTCTCTAATGTCTAAATTCATGTTCAGTTTCTTTTCCACCACATATGAAGCAGCTGTTGTTTCTTCCCAGCTTCCACGGACAGAATGAACCACGATGCGCATGCAGGATGGTGTTTAGTATTCTGGTCGCTCTCGTCCGACCCTGACGAGGGTCTCTAGTACCCTCAAAGCCATTTTGTCTCAAACAGAGAAGGCCCCTGCAGCCCATCTGGCCCATGGGCATGCTCCCTGAAAGAAAGGCGTCCTGTGTGCTGAAGACAGCAGCTTTGTGCCACTCTGATGTATGGGGGATCATTGGCGACTTTGCAGCTATTACTTTGTGAGGTACAAGCAGACGTCATAAGCTGTGTAAAATATGTTTTATAGAGAAGATTTATATTTACCTAAATCATGTTCATGTTTTTTGCATATTCCAAGCTTGTGCTCCCCAGTGAGCCATGCTCTAAAAGCTGCAATGGATATATTTTTTTTAAGTTTAGGAATAAAAAGAAGAGCGGGCTGCTCCATGCATTTGGAGAAAACAAAAGCGTCACTCTGGTCTATTAGGGTGATCAATGCATGGTTCAAATTCCACTCGGTGAGAGCAGACTTGCATCTCAGTTAATAATCAACAGCCTTTTTTTTTTTTTCGTGCTAACTGATTTTTGGCGGAGAGGGAAGTCGAAGCCCTTTCAATCGAGCCTTTGTCTGACCTCCCATGTCCTTGTTGTCAATGCTTTCCTTCACTCACATTCTGTCTGAGAAGAAAGTAGTGACACACTGTTCAACTACATCTGAGCTGCTCTGTTTTTAATACCTAAAGGATGATACTGCACAAAGGCTTAAATATATCCTGAATGTACCCCCCACATCTCATGCTTAATACGGGTTTTGAAGAGTTTTGTTCTACAATGTCAACTTTAAGATTTTTAGAAAAAAAAGACTTTTTCCTTTTTCTATAACAAGTCAGGGAATTTCTTTTAATGCCTTCACTTTTTTATCACACACACACACATATATACACATATATAAGATCTTGAATACAGGCTTGTCAACACATATGTCATTATTTGCCATGTTTCTATGGAGCTTAGTTGTTTATAGGTTTGATATAGAAACACCTAAACAGCATTTATGCGTTTCTCATGTTAATATTTGAAATGTGAAGAACGCTTGTTGATGCCTTCTGTGTAGGCTCTTTAAATCATCTGGAAAATGTTCAAATTTGGGCCCAAAGGATTATTATCTCCTTGTCAAAGATGGGTATCATTCCAAGTCTTGGAAAAATTGCAGCACAAAGCCTGTATTCATTCATGAGGCTTGCACTGGTTTACTGCAGCTGTCGGATTTGTTTTTTTTGTTGTTTTTTTTTTAACAGCTCTAAGAACTTATCTATCACCTCTATGAGCCAGCTTGTTTTACCAGAACAATTACAGAGCTTAAATGTTAGAATAAATGGATGGTTGATCAACACCAATGAATAAAATGAGCCCTGTGACTGTTTTTCAACATGTTTATTCCTGTATTAAAAAGACTGAAACAAGGCAGAAAACAAGACATCTTGAACATGATCATGGATGGGAAAAAAAAGCAGCTAAAAATTTGTTGAAGTTTTTCCAAACTATGATTTACATTGTGAAGAAACATGTTTTTTACTCCTTTATATAAATATATATTTGTACATTTTTTTTAACCTTTCATGGTTGTTGGGATTGTGGCAGGGTATTAATAACATGTATGTTGAAATTTTTCTCTGATCAATCAGTGTAAGGAAATGTTTTAAAATAGCTATATAACCTATAAATAAACTGGTTATTAGCTGATATGAACTGTTCTGTTCCATTTATTAGAATTTATAGCTATAATTTAGGATTTCTTTTGCTAAACATTTTTACTGAAATAAACCAAAGACCTTGTCTAAATCTCCTGGTTTAACATTTTTACTAAATACCAATCATGCACCCTAGTGGCTGTGATTAGTATTACAGAGTTGCTATAAAATTACAAGGCTCTTCTGGAATCAAAGAACCTTTACTGTCCCATGTTGAGGAATTTGGATGGACAGTGGCAAAAACAAATAAGCAGAAAAGGATTACAGGTACAATAACAAGAAAAGAACCACATTTTAAAGTTATGCTATATACAGTAGACACCCATACTTGGAAGGACATAATTACAGTGCAGTTATTAGTTAAAAGAAGCCTTTTTAGATCAAAATTAGAAATATTCAAGTGAAAAGAAGGAAAAAGAAGCAAGATTACAGAAATCTATGCATAACTGTTGGAAAAAGAAATTGTGTGAAAAACATAATTGTAGAAAAAAAACGTTTCTACGGCAGGTGAAAAAAAACTAACAGAGACATCTGTAAGCTAACTGGAAACGGGTATATTTATATACACCGGACTTGGTTGGGAGCAGCATCAATTAAAAAGTCAAACACAAGCTAGAAAAAAGGATCTAGGGAAGTGCTCATATGTGCATCTAAGATACAACAGTTTTTCACTTGCATATTTATTTAGTACAAAGATTAGAAACACTTCCTCTAGTATTTTCTGACTCAATGATTATTTAGTTGCTTTCCAGATATTACTTTTCTGTTTCACGCCAAACCTTCAATGAATGTTTGTTACCGAAGTCTCTGATCTAATTTTTTGAACAAATATTATGGTACCTGTTTAAGTCTCATTTAGCATAACAAACTGTAGTATACATATTCATCTTTGTAACGGTATAACAGAAAATCTTTGAAATCTGATGCACCCCCCCATGTGATTGACATGTCACTGCATCGAATCATGCAGAGGTTGAAGATAAAAAAAAATTATTCTCAGGGAAAAGAACAGCATATTAGATATGATTATTACTAAATACAAGTAAAGTTACCAGAAGAAAATGTAACTTAAAAAAAAAAGAAAAAAGAAAATGTAACTTTATACAACATTTACTGGATTACATTTTTAAGCAGAATAAAAAGCCCCTCTGGTCTATTTTATATAGAAAAAGATGAGATTTTGGCCTCAAGCTGTTAAACACTAATTAAAAGTATACGTAAATAAGAGAAGAAATTGAAATCTTTAAAAGACATTTAACTAATTTGACTTAGTCTATAAATCACTGAATGGCTCGGCTCAAGATATTTTATAGACTTATTAGTGTATCAACCCCCTAGTTCTCTGGTTCAAATCCACTCAGTACACCCAGAACCAGAACCAAACATAGAGAACCAGCATTTTACTCTTATGCTCCAACTCCATTAATGTGGAGTAAACGCCCATTAAACTGTAAAAGTGCTGAAGTTTCTTTAAATCGAAATTAAAACCTTATTTTAGCGCAGCATTCTATATAAACATAGTTATGTTTTCAGTCCCCCTGTCTTTTTTTATTTGCTGTTTACATCTTTTCTTTTAATATAACAATCTTATTTTTATTATGTACTTTTATTGTCTTAAAATATGTTTTCCCCTATGCCACTGCAATATACTGCTCTTTTTTTTTCTGTGGTACAGCACTTTGAATCGTCTTTTCACTGGAATGTGCCAAATAAACTTGCCTTGTCCAAAAAAGATTTAAAAAAACAACTAATAATTAAAAAAATGTTAACAAATGTTGCTTATTCAATTTAATATTTGCTCTTAACAGATCAACACTGAAATCACCTATACTGTAGAAAATTCATAAAGTTAAAAACAATGCTTTTTGTTATAATTTTCCACAAATATTTTTGATCCTATAAGATATCAATCTGTCTGTCTAAACAATTTTAGAATGGATTATAGAGTTTTAGCCAGCTCCTTTGTTACCTGTCTTTTATTGCTGGACAATTCAGGTGCGTCTGGTTAATGTTGTCATGATTACTGAGGTCAGGCACAACTGGATTAATTAGTTTGTCCAGCAATGAAAGCCAGGAAACAAAGGAGCTGGCTGAAATTCAGGAAGTGATGGAGTTGGGAGTATAGTCAATTTTTTATGCCTTTGGTCATTCTCAGTAAATACAAGTTTTGAAGCAGCACCTTTAAAGAATTCAAAAGGTACTTAAGAGACAGGAAGCTCTTAGTTGAGCCCTTCATACAGCCTCAGGTGAGACGTATTTCCATCATTAGTGCTGCCTTCAATGACATCTCTTATAGCTGAATTTAAACTGTTACGATTTATATGTAGGCATTCACTTTGTAAGAAGGGAATAAAGAAGCAGAGACTGGTTTATTGTGAATAAAGCCTTTTCGCATTTGAAAGAATGATTTGTAAACCAGATGTTCTCATTAATTACGAATAATATATTTTGCTTAACTTAACAACTGCTATTTGGGCACACAAACAAAACGAAAAAGCTGGGTGAATTTAAGGTGGAACCTTTAACAAAGCTCTTTCCTCCCCATTCAAAAAAATAAAATAAATAAATATAATTGTTGGACCGTTTCTTGGCGGACAGTAACTTGCTAATAATAATTCCCACGTTTATGTGGTGTCTAGAAGGCAACACCTGCGGTCTCCATGACGCTCGTCATTCTATTTTTGAACGCCGCCATCACTGCCATGTTTTTGAACACTATCCAGCTGCTGTGTGTCTTCAATTTGAAACATTTGCCAGGAAATTTCTCCCCAGTTGTGACTTGTACCGGGAAGAAAGATTCGTAATAAGGTGTTTCACCAGTTAAGTTTACTTTTCGTCCTTATTTGCGGCCCTACAGCCGATAGTACTAAGTTTTATCATTGAAGGAAGCGGCTGTTGAGACGCGTTCAGGCTCCCCGGTTGTTGTGGTAATTCCTTGTTTCCGTGAGTAGGTTTCGGGGATGTCTCTGCACGGAAAACGTAAGGAAATCTATAAATACGAAGCCCCATGGACGGTTTACGCCATGAATTGGACGGTCAGGCCGGATAAACGTTTCCGGTTGGCGCTCGGTAGCTTCGTGGAGGAATACAACAACAAGGTTAGTTCTTGGAAACCCTCCTGGCTGTGGGACATTGACTCTGACATCCCCACATTCAGATTTATTAAAAAACAATAAAACAATCAACATCTTTAAAGAAGCAACAGAGTTAACATATTGATAGTCAGAAAGTAATAAATGTAGGGAAGAGGATTAGGGCCAGACTTTAATCTCTGAATTCTGACTTTAATCTAATCTCTGAATTCTGACTTTAATCTAATCTCTGAATTCTGACTTTAATCTAATCTCTGAATTCTGACTTTAATCTCCGAATTTCTGACTTTTTTTCGTATCAATGTTTAATATATATATATATATATATATATATATATATATATATATTTATTTTTTTTTTTACAGGATTTGAAACAGGTAAAGCTTAAGCTATAACACTTAATTTATTTTGGATTAGTCATATTTACAGTTTTTTTTTTTATTCTAATGTCTGGATTAAATAAAAATGGATAAGATGAAGTTATATGAAATTAATAAATATGAGGCAAAAATGGAGCAGGTGTCCCATGTAGGTAATTTGTGTAGTTAATAATAAAATGTTAGAAGAAAATGGATTCCAAAAATCAACAAAAGAAAAATATGAATGAGTAAATAGATATGAAAAAAATCTTTGTTTCTGATTAAAAATTAATGCTGCAGTGGTATTGATAATATAATACTATTAACAACAACAATCTCATTTTGACCAGTAAGGGCACCGCAAGCATTTACTGACTCATTCACAGGCCACACCAAACTTATTTGAGAAATTTATTAAATTATTTTTTTGTTTTTTTTTTGTCAACTAAAATAGTGAAATTTGGTTGCCTGGTGTGCACTCTGAGTCTCACTCGTTATCAGCTTCTAAGCAGCAGTATCACAATCACAAAGGGATGCTTGGATGTTCTATCTTGCAGGATAAAAAAAAAAAAAAAAAAAAGGATTTAGTAACTAAGAATATTTTTTGAAAGTTTATATATTTCAACATTTTTTAAAAAGTAAAAAAGTTGAAAGATGTAGACAAATACCCTCAGAGTGGTATATATTCTGTCTACACCTAATAAAAACACAGCATTAAAGATATTACATCAGAGAAAGACAATAAAAAAAATCTTTTAAAGACAGAGATGTGTGCTACAAAAATGGATTCCCAAAACCTGCTTTTTATAAACTTTTATCTCCTCATAAACGAGGAAACAGAGGTCTGTTAGCAGTCTGTCCTCTTTCTCTTTTATAATTAGGTGCCTTCTGAAAGTAGTTGGTTTAAAGTTGATTTTATTTAGGGCTACCAGGGTAAAAGGTGCTTTAGTTGGGAGAAAATTGAATGAATCCATCTTCTTATGTATTACATTGTGTTGGATTGTTAAATCAAAAATAAAATCTGTAATGTGGTGAATTTCCAGGGATTTGCATATTTATGCACGATTTATAAATATTTAATGTTTAGCATGTAAGTATTATAAATTAGGAGCATATAAAACCGAAACCTTTTTAGTTAATTTTTTTTCTTTGTCTTCCAATTAAATAAATTATCGGGTAAGTTCTTTAAACAAGACTTTTTACGAAATCAAACTAAGTGAAACTCAAGGTTTTCAACTTGACAAGTTCTGAATAAAGCATATTGACACAAGAAAATTATTTTTTTAATCCTGAATGCAAAATGTTATATTTTTTTTACAATCTTGATATAACTGCTCTAAGTGAATTGATCTGTCTGCTAAAGGCGTGTTTTAGAGTCTCTATATTCGAGTTAATGATTAATCAATTACTAAATTATTTGAGTAACTTGTTTCAGCCCTAATTTATATAGATATATATATATTGATTTGTATTTGATGGGCTGGTTTTAAGCAGCTGATTGGTTTCTCACCACCCGTAGAACTGACTGACCTCTATATTCTGGTCCAGATAAGTAACACTGCACTGGCTCACTCAGGTGAGATTTTGCTGTGTGTCCACAGGTGCAGATAGTTGGTTTGGAGGAAGAGAGCTCAGAGTTTGTGTGTCGAAACACCTTCGACCACCCGTACCCCACTACCAAGATAACATGGATTCCTGACACCAAAGGAGCGTATCCCGACCTTTTGGCCACCAGTGGCGACTACCTGAGAATTTGGAGGGTGAGAAGAGCGTTCAGTCTAGTCCTTACTGATGTCCCAGAATCAATGGAGGACATCTGAAATCACTACAGCAGCAAGCTTTGCTTTGTTGCACATAAGCTGAATGAACTCATGGAAACCCTAAAGTATCGATGGGTTAAGGCCTTTTTTCATTGGCAGGTGAGCGACACAGAGACCCGTTTGGAGTGCCTACTGAACAACAACAAAAACTCCGACTTCTGTGCCCCTTTAACATCCTTTGATTGGAATGAAGTGGACCCAAACCTGCTAGGTAACCTGACTGAATTGGTTTTCTCCACTTGTTCAGGGGTCGTTCAGTTTTATAAGTATGGTTCTGTTTTAAGTAGTCCATATGTTACCTTCAATAAAGGTTTGATGAACTTATATACTGAATCAAAAAAACAAACAAATCAAACCTGAACCCTGTGATCCACAGCAACTTTTGAAAACCTGTTAACACGGGTAGATGGATGTGTTTGCTTGAACAGGTACTTCCAGTATAGATACCACCTGCACCATCTGGGGTCTGGAGACCGGACAGGTGCTGGGCAGGGTCAATTTAGTGTCGGGTCACGTGAAGACGCAGCTCATTGCTCATGATAAAGAGGTAAATGTCATACTGATTCACTGTTTCACCACTTACCTGTTTTTACCATGGCTCGTGTGTCATTTAGCAGAACAGCAACAGCAAGGATTTGTTTGTTTAGTTGTAAGAAGAGTGTTTTTTTTTGTTTTTTTTTTTCTGTCCGACTCTTCCTTTTAGTTCATAAAACTCTGCGAAGCGCTCTGCAAAACTGGCATCAGAAATGCCAGCAGATGAGTCTCAATCACGCAAAATAGCACTAGCAGTAGACATACTGGTCTGTCCTGCTGTTTGCTGTAATAAGTCCTGTAAAACCTGACGGTAAGCAATGAAAGGCGTTATTAATTGAACATGAACATGAGCTGTGTGTGTTGCTCGTTTCTTACTTCAAAACTGATCGGTTCAGTTGACTGTTCACTAAAAATATGAACATATTCAGTGAATGCCATTCATTGAATGTGTTCATGCACAACGCTGGATACAGATTCTTAAAAAAAAAAAGTAATTAAAGAGAAAACTGACCTTTTTATGTTTTATTTGCGATGAGTACCGGAACAAAGGCTGACATATGGATCTATCTCCGGTGTTTACATCCATCCCTGCCATGTTGTTTTCAAGATTTATCACGTCAACAAACATATTCACTTTCAATTTTGGTTGTATTTCTTATTTAAAGGAAATAAAAAAGCAATTTGAAAAATTGCATTTTCAAAATGAGCTAAATTTTGACATAGTTTTGGGCATATTTGTAATGAAAACACATCACTGATGGCCCCGATTTGATTTCCTTTAATATGGATCAGTCGTCCTGTCCCTTATGCAGAAAAACAACCCCGCAGCATGATGTTTCCACCTCTATGCTTCAAAGTAGGTATGGTGTTCATTTGCCTTTGTACCTAAATAATATTATTTTGGTTTTATCTGACCCCTTGATATTATTCTGATCTAGACTTAGAACGGTCAAGCTGTCATATGTCTCACCTAAAATATTATTTGTCGGCATATATTCATGAGTGACCTGTATTGAGACCGTTCTGAACAAATGCATGTACTACTGGATCCATACTGTTGACATTAGCGAGTGAATAACAGAACAGTGGTCTTCATCTCTGTTTGCGTTAAAGGTGTATGACATCTCCTTTAGTCGAGCTGGTGGGGGCAGGGACATGTTTGCCTCTGTCGGAGCAGACGGGTCGGTCCGCATGTTTGACCTCCGTCACCTTGAGCACAGCACGATCATCTACGAGGATCCTCAGCACCACCCACTGCTGCGGCTTTGCTGGAACAAGCAGGACCCCAACTACCTGGCCACCATGGCCATGGACAGCATGGAGGTGAGCTCTGTGGGGTCACTCTGCAATCTGCCTGTGCAGCAGTATTTTCAGACATTCCCCTTTTGTTCTCAGGTGGTGATCCTGGATGTGCGTGTCCCTTGCACACCTGTGGCTAAACTCAGCAACCATCGAGCTTGTATTAATGGAGTCGCCTGGGCGCCACACTCCTCCTGTCATATCTGTACAGCAGGTCTGCAGCTCTCTTTAAATCTGACTTAAACAAACTTCTGTAGAGGAAACATTGATATGCAGCAACTAACTTTGAGGACAACATGAAGTTCAACACATTTTATAAAAAGGGGAAAACAGTTAATCATTGTTTTAAGTTTCAGTATTTACATTCTGTGTAAACAGAAAAAACTGATCTGTTAAAACACCCCCTGCTCTGTTTTAGCCGACGACCACCAAGCTTTAATCTGGGACATCCAGCAGATGCCGCGGGCCATAGAGGACCCCATACTGGCCTACACCGCAGAGGGAGAGATCAACAACGTGCAGTGGGCTTCCACCCAGCCCGACTGGATTGCAATCTGTTACAACTGCCGCCTGGAAATCCTCAGAGTCTGAGGAGCAAAACACAGAGACGAGACATAAAGCAGCTCAGAAATATTCTCAGCTGCCAGGAATTTGGATAAAGAAAAAAAATTTTTTGGAAGAATATTCAATTTGCACTTCTGGCTTCATTTTGATGCTAATCTTTGTAATGCTGTTTGTGTGACTTTATTTGGATGTATTGTTTGTTAAAAGCATGGCAGTTGCAGTTAGGCTAAATATAAAACTGTGGATGAGAAACTAGAGCTGAATATCGACCACTTTATGATACAGGAAAACTGGACGACACTGAAAGGATCCTTTAAGCTTGTCATTTCATTTCACTTGTCTTTTCATTTCTCCAAAGATCTGAAACAGTAAGTTAGTGAAAATCAACAAACCTTTTCCTACAGCTGCCACACTGTTTCTCTGCAGTCCTGTAGAGGGCGCTGAATCATTCTATCCAAAGTCATATTTAGCTCTGCAAAATGGATTCAATCAAGGGAAATGCATATTTCTGAAGTCTCTCAGTGCCTCACAGTCTAATATATTTTTCACATGGAGCAAGAGGTTATTTCTCATGGGAGGATAAGCAAATTATTAACCCTAATTAGGGTTATTGCACAACCAATAACTGGTATATCATTTAACAAATAGGAGGTTTATGATAGCAGATAGGTGCTCATCAAAGATGGAGCCTCAGTAACTTGATGGAAAGCAAACATTATTAATACAGAGTATTTACAAGATGCTTTTCCTGAGAATGAATAAAGTGCAATGCTGCAAGTTGAGACAGGATTAAATACAAAAAAATCCAGGCCAGTGCTAGAAGCTTCCACGTTTTCAAAGTTCACATGCTGCCTTCTCTACCTCCTGATGAAATAAACCTGTTGAGATTTTGGCACCGTTGTGAGAAACAGCCCCGTGCAACTCAAATAATTACATGACTGTTACTTTTACTTGTGTAAGACCAACACACAAGATTAAAAACAATTAAGCTTTTATCGTCGTCTAGGAGATAAGCTACAGTTGTATGCATGCTTTAATATGATCGTTGCTATTGGCTCATTGTGTTCATCTGCTGAAGAAAATAGACTGCAGTTTACCTTTAACTGGTTCTTTTTGTGGAATCTGCTGTACTGATCTTCATTGAATTTGTAATTATTCAAGATTTATACGATATTTCATTTGTTGCTACATTTATTTCATTACTAAAAAAAAAAAAATGTTGCTTTAAAAAACTGCTAGAAGTGCTGTTTAGGATTAATTTAAAAGAAAAAAAGGACCCTTTTTTGTTCCAATTAGGATAATTCTGTATGTGAACTATTGAGTGGAATTAATTTATTGCTAATGGGTATTTACTTGCTGGCTCGCTATCGATCAGGTTTAAGGTATTCTGTGAGAATAAATCAGTTTCTGTCTGTAAAAATACTGATAACTGTCTTCAGATATTATTCAGGAGGAAAACTTTTGATGTTTGTGTGGACTCACAAAAATCTTTCAAATTTGAAAATGTAAATTCTCTTATTACATGACAAATTCCCATTTAATCTTCTTTTAGATCATTTTAAAACAAAGCTATTAGCTTAATAGATAAACCTTATATGATGCATATTCATAATTTTGATATTGCTTATTTATTTAAAATACATAATTGTTTAGTTTATGTAATTAGAATTATTGAACACTTACTAAAAATTTATGCTGAATATTTCAAATACTTTTTTTATTGTTGAATCTCATGAATCCGGGTTATCTTTGTGTGATTCAAATGATAAATATATTTAAATAAATACATTCGTAATCATATTGAGTAACTACAATTTAATACTAAATACAAAGACCTGATTATGTATTTCAAATAAGCTTCATCATACAAATGTATATGCCTTATGTGAGGGTTATTTAACAGAATTCAATTAAAATTATCAAGAAGAAAATGTGGGGGAAAATGTTTGAAATATTGACATTTTTGATGTAAATGTGGCGAATAAAGATCCACCTGCAAGCACTCATGTTGGCTTATAAAAGTATTCAAAGCTGTTGAACTTCTGTAACTTTACAGCTTTGGAAGTGATGTATAATGAAGAAAATTGATCATTTAAAAAACTATCAGAATACAGTACATAATATTTTAACATTTTTCATCCATGTAAAAAAAAAACTATGCTTTCTAATCACAAACTTGATGCGATTAATATATATAAACATTGAATTATATTGTTAAAATAAAGTTGTTTTTATTGTTACAGCCTAAGATGTTTACCTTATCTTATGCAGATTGGATAGTTTAGTAATTATGCATCAATGAGAATGAAATGAAAATGTTCTGTTCAGAGGGGAGAAGGAATTTGATCCAATTGAGGAGGAACTGCAGGGGTACTGGACCCTCCAGGGAAACAAAGTGAACCACATTTAGGCAGTTTTTAAAAAATGTTTTACAGCACTAATGGCTGTTTTTTGGACAGTAGGCTAATAGGAAAGGGGATATGAGAGTGGGGGAGAGACATGCGGCAAAAGACCACAGGTCAGATTTGAAGCCGGGTCGGCCACGTCAAGGACTAAGGCTTCCATACATGGGTCATGTACGCTAACAACTGTGCCCCCAAAGCACACCCAGGCAGGTTGAAAAGCACAATTACTGAAATATCTAGAACCACAAAAGATCTGACAAAACACAAAATCCTGACTTCAAGGGTTTTCTTTCTAACAAGAAAATGTTTTTCTAAAAATATCTTTTTGATCTTTAGAAGCAAACTATTGGGTCCATATTACAAATAAAAAACAGTAAAAAAGTAAAAAGTTTGTGATAAATGTGTGTTATAATAGCTTTATATATTCTTCAAACATTAAATAAAATTTTACAGATATCTCTGTATTCAGCCACTTTTATTTTGTTTTTCTAGGAGTCCAATCAAAAACCTTCAGATGGAAACAATTGGTGAATAATGTGTTAGGACATCGTCAATCAGAGAAGCAGCCAAGAGGCCCATTGTAACTAGAAGAGCTGCAGAGATGCACGGCTCAGGTAGGAGAATCTTACATTCATTTTCATGCTCTAATCAAATCACATCTTAACGGATATCACATATATAATTTCAAGTTTGCACTAAACTATGTAGGGGAGTCACAAATCATATGAATCAAGACTGAATTATCTGACCCGTTCAAAACCGCATGTGTATAAAAAAAAATGGAAAGAAAAAAAACTGCATTTGACCCTGAATTGAGAAAATGAAATCTGATGAGACTGAATGAAAGGAGTTAATTAGAAGATAAAGGGAGACTACAAATAATTAGTGGGAGGTTGAACTTGCACCAAGATACTCTTGGTATTTAGGTATTTTTGTTTGATTTTACAACTATGCACTACTTTGTGTTGGTATTTCATATTAAATACCAATAAATCCAAACAAAGCTTGAGGTTGTTACATGAAAACACTAATGGCACCTTTACAAGGCACTGCATGTAATTTTTCCCGTTCACGTGTTGACCGATAGCTGCTGGAAACAAAACAGGGTAGATTTCTTGTATGACTTCTGTCCAAAACCTGAGAGAAACTTTGAGTCCTTTCCAGGTGAAGCCGACCAATCAGGTTGCAGGCAGCACCGGGTCTGAGGTATGTTTCTGGATCTCAGCCCGTCCTGTGGTCAGGTCCAGGTTCACCGGTAAAGAGGGGTAGCGGACCGTCTCACACAGTCTAGAGTGGGGTTCAGGTACTGATTTGGGGATTTTCTGTGTTAATGAGGAGGCTAAACCAACACAAGTCTCAGTTTCAGGGGTGACAGTCATAAACGTGGTGTCATCAGAGGCTGCTGTCATGTGGATGCCACTGGATAAGGACTCCTGAGACTTCTTAGAGAATTTAAGATCCACCTGGTCCAATATCTGAGTTAAAGGGAGAGAAAGAAAAAACTAAGATTATTCTGTGACTTTTATAAAACATTAATCCAGGTCAAAATATGTCCTTTATGGTCCTTCAGTTGGGTTCCATACCTGTTTGGATACCTTGCTGTCCATCTGATCTGGGGAATCTGGATAAATGCTGTGCAATACTGGAGCCCCAGTCCCATACAGAGAAGATGAGTCAATGGGCAGCGTACTGGGTGACACGGTGCTGTATGCTGGGGGAACTGGAGCAATCTGTCTCTGTAGAAGCTGGAGAATGACGTTGATGTCGGCCGTCATACGAGTTTCCAGCCTATGGAGTTCACAGAGAAAGAACTTAATGACCTCCATGACTACCAGTATGCAGATTAGAGCTTTGCCTCAGGTGATTTAAGGAAACCATGGCAGCTGGAGCTGTTCACTAACAGAACACACTGGAAAATACTGCAAGTACATTGTCTTAGAATAGGAAAAGCTCTTAAATTAGATTTAGATGAAGCAGGAAGGAGGTAATTAACTGATCTGTCAAAAGCTTACCTGTTAAGCTGTGACTGGAGGACTTCAAGTTGAGATTCAAGCTCACTTGGCCTCTCCTCTGCGATCAGTGGTGGGGCGTTTGGGTTATCGATGGAGGAGGATAAAACATGACTAGAAACCTGTTGCTGTACTGGCCAGTATCGATACATTCCTGGCAGATCCAAGGGTGAACCTAAGAAAAACAGAAAGGAGAGCTAATAAATATCATCTGGGGAATCACGGAAGCGCAGGAATGTCAACAATTTAGCAGCAACAATAACTGTTATGATTTTATGTCTATGTAAAATCTTTTATCTAACAGGTATCTCATTGGAGACAAAAAAAACACACACTTCTCAATTATAGCTGTACATAATCTGCAAATCTTTTATCTGCTATTATCTGTCATTTATCCTGTATTATAACCTCACTAATATATATATATATAATCCATATCCTAACTCTCCGTTATCATCTGTATATAGCTTCAATATTTATTCATTTTATAGCCTCTTACAATTACTCTCTGTTTTTATATACCATTCATAGTCAATACATACATATTCTCTCTGCACATGTAAGTAAATATTTATATCCTGTATATCACTTCTGGATAGATACAAACTACATTTCGTTGCTTTGTACTTGTGACAGTGTAATGACAATAAAGCTGAATTCTTTTTTATTCTAAAAATATCTGCCAGAAAAACATTATAAAGCAAATTGTTTGTTGTTAATTGTGCCAATTTATGTAAAGTTTTACAATAAATCATCAAACATTTCTTCATTTTTAACAGTTTAAATATAAAAAAGATCACATTTACAAAATACCTAAATGTACTGGAAATCATGCCGGATTTAATTTTTTCCACCATGAAATAAAAAAGAAGAAAAGTAAAACTTTATTCAAATTAGAAATGATGGGTAAAAATATCAGTAAAAATTGCTTTGAAAAGCTATAAAATACATGATAAGGTCAATAAATCAAGATGCATCACCTGTTAGATTTGATTTTTTACCAACTTAATTGTTGATATTGATTTTACATAAATATAAATTTAAAGACTTGAAATGAACAGGAAAACCTAATGTCATATACTGCCATTAAACATGTGCATGATTGGTAAATATAGTGTAAAGGGCTTTGGATTCCTGTGACTGTACCATTATTACAATTGACATTTTAACAGTAAACAAGGTAATGTAAAGAGGGGAGTGGCGGCCTAGTGGTTAGGGCATAGGGCTTTGAATCCTGAGATTGGCACTCTGGGTCCCTGAGCAAGACCCTTAATCTCACACTGCTCCCCGGGCGCTGCACAATGGCAGCCCACTGCTCCCTAAGTGGATGGGTTAAATGCAGAGATAAATTTCTCCAATGTGAGATCAATAATGTTCAATTCAATTTAAATACTAAAAACGTATTTATAGATCCGTGTGCAAAAAAATGCATTTTGAGTGGGATTCCATGGTACCAGGTAGTTAAATGGACACAGAGTTCAAGGACATATTAAAAATTTGGAAAAAGAAAATTCCCTCAATGAAAAACCTGGCCAAATTGTGTGAAAGATGCAGAACCAAAGCTAAAAGGAGACAAAAATGAAGGTGAAGAGAGATTCCTTACGATACAGTCATATAAATCCATGTTGGAAATCCATGTTTAAAATGCAACATTTATGCAAACATAATCAAGACTCTGATCTACCTTGTTGACTCTGGTCCCTCCCCACCGAAGGGCCACTTAGAGGCAGCTGTAGAGCCACAGAGGGGGAATATTGCCGACTGGAATCTTCAGTGGGACAATGCTCCAGTCTGGAGCTTTGAGTGTTGGGCTTCGACAGACCCTCACTGGACCGAGAACAGGAGGAGTCACAGCTCCAGGGGTCCTCCCAGCTGGCCTGAGGAGGTGAGTGATGGCAGGAGCGATGAGGGTACGTGTCTTCATGATCGATTCCATCTGAGCATGACAGCAAAGCAGTCATTCTATCAATGACCCATCTCACCATTGCAGCCACTACATTTAAGGTAGAAGGAGTAATGCTGGAAAATATGTAATTACAGCTTTATTTAAAGTGACGTTTAATTACCTGGTCTTATTCTGCAGTCAAGCGAGTGGACTTTGTGCCTCGGTTTGTGGCGATATTCATCATCCTCCCCAGATTCATCAGTGATTATTGGAGGCATTTGATCAGTCTGCTAATCACATTATCCAGAGTTAAATCATCACATATAAAACTTTGTAAAATACCCCTAAAACCTTTCTGCATTTTTTCAAGGAGTTTGAAATAGAAAACAAAACAAGAAGGATAAATGTTTGCTTTTTTCTTACTGATAAAAGTCCTAAATGTGTCAAATGCATTTGTGTTCAGCTCGCTTTTCTGTTAAATCCCTGAATAAAATGCAGCCTCTTACCATCAGAAGTCACAAAAATGAATAAAAAATGAAGTCAGCAAAAAGAAAATAAATAAATAAACGTTTGTGTTGTGAAGGCCTAAAAAGCCTGGAAGCATATTTGAGCTATGGGATGTGGTAGAAAAATGTTAAAGTTATTAAAGGTTTTTAATATCTGACATAGCTCTGTTCAGTCAACAGATATAACAGAACTGCAAATTTAAAAAAAATGATCATCTAAAGTGACAGGCCAGACAATAAGGACAATTTTTACAGAAGCAGCCAAGAGGGCCATGATATTTGTTGAAAGGATGAATATTCCCACTCTGAAACAGGGTGGTGGCAGCATTATGCTGTGTTGATGCCTTTCTTCGATAGTAAAAGGGGGCCCAGTAAGAGTTGATTAAAAGATGGATGAAGCTAAATGCAAAGAGATTCTAGAAGAAAACCTGTTAGAGGAAAGACAACAGTAGAGACTGGGCCAGAGATTCAGCCTCATGGAGCTGAGAGACGCCAAACACAGGGAGATTTAAAAAGGACATTTAGATCAAACTGTAATCATGTGCTAAAATGACCCAGTTAAAGCCAGATCGAAATATTACTGATTATTTAAGGCATGTATTAAAAACCTGAGTGCAGAACAGCTAGAACAATACCCAAATAATTCCTCTGAAGGTTAGCTCCCAATCACAATTATGCACCACTTTGTGTTTATACCGGTAATAAAAATACATGGACCACCGTGTGAAATGTTGTACTAGTTATAAGAACTCCTGTGGAATTTTCCCTGACTATTTATAACTTTTATCTTATTTTTTCCATTTTCCATTCATTGCTTTTTATAGAAACCAACTGGCAACGTACATCTCGCAGGTTATAAGTGATCTCCAGGTTTCTCCAGAAGTTGTCTGCAAAGCTTGGGTACATATCCAGAACGTCGAGGAGGTCTTCCCTCGGAATCCGATGGAGGTCGCAGTAGGTGATGGTGTACACGTCTGCGTTGGACCGTCCCGGCTCATCATACAGGTGGATAGGCTCGCCGAATATGTCATTCTTCTCTACAGGAGGATAGACGCATTTTTAATTGGTTTTTAGAGGAAGAATGTTTGATCATTGTTTCAAGATTAAAGTTAGATTTTTGTACCTAATAAAGCTACAACAACATAATTCTTCATGACTTGGATGGAACCACGTGAGATAAAGAAGAGAGAGTCCAGGAAGTCTCCATAGTGGATCAGAGTGTCCCCTGGAGGTGCATGGACTGTCTTGATCCTCATAGCTAGGGTCCTCAGACACGCTTGGCTCCCTCCACAGAAAGCCTTGCAGTTCTGCAGCAAAGAGCGATTTAGGTGCAAACAGATGTCTGCCTGCAAGGACTCCGGAAACCCCTTCAAGACCTTAAAAAAACAACAACATCAAAACCGTCCTCATGTCAGCGCTAAAACGCGTGAATACAGATTATTGGTGCTACAGGAGGACACACCTTTGATCTACTCACAGCATTCATGTCTATGCCATTTGTGTAAGACCAGGCATGCTGGAAGTACTCCTCCAGTCGTTGGCGCAAACCACCAGGAATTTGGTGGAAGCGAATGAACTCTTTGACCCGCAGCATTTGGGTGTGATAGCGGGTCGTGCCAGAATAAAGCCTCTGGATGATAGCAGACACATTTCCAAAGATACTGGCGTACATAAGAGCTGTGACAGAGTAGGGAAAAAAGAAACGATAAGTCAGCTGCAGTTTATTCTTGAAAAGGCAAGTGAGCATTGCCTTTACAAGAGTATCGTTCATTTCAAGTAGACAAGTACAGTTGTAGCCAATAAGAAGCTGGCTCCCTCCTCCACTGTAACCAGGCAACAAATCTTGCCCTACAATATGGCTCGTTAGGATCTGTCAGGATTCCTTTTGGTGTTTCAATGATTTTTAAGGAGTCCAAACTTTGTTTAAAATAGGGGGAAAAAGATGATTTTAATTATAATAAATTGACTTTATTGATCTGACTCTGAAGAAATGTACTCTGAATTTAACCCATCCCCTTGGGGAGCAGTGGGCTGCCATTGTACGGCGCCCAAGACGCAGTATGAGGCTAATTTCAGCTGAATTTTTTTGCAGCTGAATTTTTGTCTGGTGAATTTTTACTAAATAAAAATTGCGTGTAAGGAATTCAATGTCTAAAAAAATTCAGTGTTTAAAATTTGTTGTTAAAAAAATTCAGTGTTTAAAATTCGATTTAAAAAAAAGGCAGATTCCAATGAGACTGTTTCTTTCATAGCCCAGAGACCCAGAATGGAGAACTGGGTTCTTGCAACCAAATGCGCACAACTCTAGAGATTTAAATGGATAAAATAAGGAAGTATTTCTCTGTTTTCCTTTGCTCCCTCATTATTCTGGCACTAACTAAAAAAAGAAAAGATTTAATATACTATTATAGACTTTAAAGAAAAAAAAGTGTATGTCAAAAATTTGAAATATAATAAACTTTATTAAGGCTTTTAGTTTAGATTTTTCCTCTTCATATTTCAGGGGTGTGCCTTAGTCACTTTTATGTGCATTTCTATTACTGTTTGTCAGAGGTCACAGATTAAAATCTTCCTACACTGCAAAAACAATCTTAATATGAGTGAAAAGATTCTCCAAATTCAAATTCTTTATTTACCTGTAATTTCAGTGGGTAAATTAGATGATCTGCCAATGGAATGAGTCTTAAAATAAGATAATTAGATATGATGCACTTGAATTAAGAGACTGCAGCTGTTTTCTTATTTTAAATGTAAATTGTCTTATTCCATTGGCAAAGAAAATTGACCAATTTTACATTAACATTTTTTGCACTGCAACATTGAAATCACATAAAAAAATCAAAAAGAAAATCAAAATGGTTCAGGTACATCTACTTTATAGATTGATAATGGTGCAATTTGTAGTTTTAAACTATTATTCCCTCTAAATGTTCTTCATTTACAGCTATAAAATATGTATTTTAGATGTAAATTGTGTTCACTGGAAAAATTCAAAATCGAGATAAGTCATTTTTTTCTTACAATAAGTGCATTTGTTTTTGGATTGAGGAGGTAAAATATACATTTTGCCAATGGAACAAAACAATTTACACTTAAAATAAGAAAACACAATAGTATTGTCTTATTTCAAGTGCATATTATCTAATTATCTTATTTTAGGAAAAAAAAAACTCATTCCATTGGCAAACTATCTCATTTAACTACTCCAATTAAGGGTAAATACACTTAATTTAAGAATTTAATATTTATTTCTAGATCGTTTTTCCAGTGTGTTTACACCTGTGCAACAAAATATTTCATATTTTAAGCAGACTGGGACAATCTTTCAGCTTCTAATTGATTCTGTAGTTGTTTCTTTGTCTAGCAGCTCAGACATTCCTATAAAGTAGAATCCAACTCACATCCAATCACCATGACGCAGATGGAGAAGATCTTCTCAGAGTTGGTGTTTGGCGAGACGTTTCCAAACCCCACGCTTGTCAAACTGCTTAAGGTGAAGTAGAGGGCTGTGACGTACTTGTCCTTTACCGACGGGCCAGAGGTGGCGTCACTTTCATTGTACGCCTTCCCTACCTGTTCGGCCAGGTTGTCTAACCAGCCGGTCTCCGTGTATGGCCTCTCCACAAAGCCAATGGCGTACCAGATGCAGGCCAGCCAGTGGGCGATGAGCACAAAGGTGCACATGAGCAAGAAGAGGACAGCAGCCCCGTATTCAGAATATCGGTCTAGCTTTCTGGCCACGCGGACCAGCCTCAGAAGCCGAGCTGTTTTCAGCAAGCTTGTTAAGGTCACCATCTTTGTTTTCAATGGGTAACAGAAAAAACAAAAAAACAATGGTAGAGTTAGATCAAATAATCTGACATGGTATTCCATCCTCTTGAACTTCCTCACCTTTTAATTATAGTATATTAGGACTTAGGTGTTTTATTGGGATTGTGTGAGTCAAACACAAAGTAGCTCATAAAAAGCAACAGATACACGTTTTTTTTTTTCAGCAAAACATGGGTTAGTACTTTTTAATATAGATGCACCGATCAGATAGATCTGAGTGTACAGTTCCCCTTTATTAACAATGTTTATGTCAATGCTACAGCCTTCACTCACATGGCATAATATCAATCATGCATTCATCAGTAATTGATCGGTCAGTAATCTGATCATTCATCAGAGTTAGATTGGTATCAGGTAAAAAAATGCACGTGAATAACCCTGTATCCTGTTCCGAGAGGGAACACCTATTAAATTATGAACTATTAATGTTAGAACTGTAAATATACAGTCATATATCTATATTACTACTTTCTTTTTATGTATTTATTAATGTTTTTCAAGGCTGCACTTTATAAATTGTCTAGAGCTGTTTTAAATAAAATTTTGTTTTTGGTTTACATTCATACAAAATGACAAAATAAATCTCTCTTAGTCTAAATCTAAGTCTAAACATGTGACAGAGCATGCAGGAGCCCATTTCTCCTCATGCATGCTTTGTTTAAAGTTTGCTGTTTGCATCGCTCATGCAAGCTTACGTTCCAAAAGAAGATTTGAAATTTTTCTATTATGTCAGACTCACCACAGGCAAGTGAAAATGGGGACGAGCACGTAGGATAGCCTTACGTAAACATATCACCAGAATGATCGACAATTAGGAGAATCACTTATTTTGATGATCCACCTGGAAAAAGAACATCCTCCGCCATACCTTTTAGCATTGTCATTATTTTAGCTCCTCCCACCTTTCCTTCAACTCTTAAAGCTTCTCTGTACCTGCAAATGACAGAATCCCACATCATGACACTATCACTACCATGTTCAATAGAGGGATGCTGTATTCAGGATGTTTTCTGCCACACAATGTTTCCATGTAGATTAAAAAGAGGAATATTTTGTTCCGTTTAATCGGATAATATTCTTTTATGTATTACTTTAAAAGTATGCTCTACTTTGTGCTGGTTTAATACATACAATCCCAAATAAAACACAAAATAGGGAAGAATTATAACCTTTTTGTAAAAGAACTGCATAGCAAAATATGGCAAAGAAACCAGTATTGTCACCTCATCAGACCCAGATCTGGACATGAGAAGGTCAAAGGGTGTTGCTGCAAGCAGATCAATCGGAAACCAGCCCTTGATGTAATGCTTGGCTATCCGGCTCGGCTGCGTTACCACCACGTCATTGTGGTCCACATACGTAGTGTGAAAGTTAATGATTATGTCCACAATAAACAGCACGTCCACCATGAGGTCCGCTACATTCAGAGGGTTACAGGTGTAGCCACATCTCCTTTGCCGTAGGTTGCCATGTTCGTCCAGCAGGAAGGCTGCTGAGTACGGAGTAAAAACAGCTGTGTAGAGGACTAGGAGGAGAATAATCCAGTCCCAAAACGCTTTGAAGGGGCTGTAGTGAAGCAGGATCCACCAAGCCGTCTCTGGCACCTGCAGCTTGTATTCGGGAAGGACGTCTGACTCCAAAGAAAGCACCTACAGATAAAGGATTATAATATTCTCATCTATTGACATTCATGGTTGCTTATTAATGCACATTAACATCCAATGCACAACTTTATTAAATAGTTTGACATCTAATGTCTCACTGAACTAAGAGTACCAACAAGACCTTTCTAGAAGACATTATGTTCTCGTGTTCTTTTGTTTTGTCCCTGTAGGTATAAAAGCTTGACCATGCAGTAAATTGTAACCCGTGGAAAAAGTCAAGATGTCAAAAAGAGGATTTACTTGAAGACATGATGTCATCAGTGTCCTTTGATAGATTTTGTCCAAGCTGACTGTTGGGCTGTGAGGATGAACTGAGCTGAGTTCATCGCCTAATTTCTAATCAACATTTGTTTTCCTGAAAAATACCCCTGACCTTCCAGCCATGTCTGTTAGCCATATGAATCCATAAATTACACAGATAGATCATCCGATAGACGGGAACTGGAAGGTCATAGGTTGATGCATCCTGTTTTTTTTTTAAGCATTTGTTTAATGTCCACAGTCCAGCGATGCAGAACTGTAAGGCCCCGAGGGGGGGCTTTGCTGGTAAACACTCATAGCTCTAGATTGAACTGTTGGACAATGCATCTTTATTAACAACCAAGCCGCCCACTGATTTTTCCATTGGAGGGTTAATTAGCATCAGCTCCTGGTTTCTCCTCTAGTTCAGAGAAGGTAGCTCTAATTACGCTGAACTGTGATGGCTCTGAGTCACAGGAAGAGCAACGTTTCCTGGTGAATAAGTGAGTTGGTGAAGTCAGACATAATCCATCCTGGGTCTCTGAACACTAAATCCTCATAACCTTTTTTTTCATAGAAAGATGGAAAATCCAGACCAAAGCCGGTTGAATATTTCAGCACATGCATCCAGTCTAGGCCTGAAACAATCGGATTAATCGTGATTAATCCATTATTGGAATAATCGTCAACTAATTTAGTAATCAATTAATCATTAACTGGAGTATAGAGACTGTGAACACACCTTTAGCTGACAGAGCGACCCACTTAGAGCAGTAGATATACCAAGAAATATGTAAACATTAAGCATTTAAGATAAAAAAATGTTTTTGTCTATCAATATTATTACTCCTTCAGTGAGAAAGTTTAAGTTTCACCTGGTTTTTATCTTTGAGGAACCTTTGACTCTCCGATTATTAATCGATTAATCGGAAAAAAATTATCAACAGATTAATCGATTTGCAAACTAATCGTTAGTTGCAGCCCTAATCCAGTCCCAATTTAGCCTTAAAAAAGACACTGAAAGTCCAGCTTGTTTGACCAATTTTATCAGTCAGAGCAAATTTCCATTAAACAACAAAAACACTGATGTTATTTTCACCTTCAACCTTTTAAACATACTTTCATTTTTTATTTAATTGTTTTTCATAGAAGAAGAGCTTCTCGCCCCTCATACCTGCGTGACCTTCTCTGTGACGTTCTGAGCGTGATCCTTTCCCTGTGGGGGGCTCAGCAGCTCCATCCTGGGTGATGAAAGCGAACAGCATTCAGGGCTCCTGATGGGCGGATCCTCACCCTTCATGGGAGCAGATCTAAACCTTGGCTGGATGAAAGAGGATCAACAAAATATGACCAAAGATACATTCTTAGATCTGATCTTGTACTTTTTAACATTCATTATAATTATTACATTCCAAGACTTTATTATCTATATGTTCTGGCTCTATAGCCTACTGTCTTTTAGTGTGATTTTCTTAAAAACAGTTACCAGTACAGGCCTATGATACTCATTAATACAGCTATTATCTTAGTAGATCATCAGATCTTTACCTTATATGAATAAATAAACAGAACATACCTGATTGGGATCAGAAAGTTAGATTGTTGTTAATCTTAATCCGTAAAAAATCTGTGTTATTTTCCGTCCTCTAGACTTCTGGAATAATGTTTGGGGGGAACAAAGTCTCTTCTTGTTGCCACCGTATGACTGCTGTTGTCAGTGTTAAACCCCCTGTTCTGGCTGGCACAAAGCAGAGGACTGCCCCGCAGCACGCCTATATTGGAGGCCAATCGATGCCACGCTGAAGTTCACAGGAAGCAAGGGGAAAATCAATGCTGGGCATTGATGGTAACGCAGTGGGGAGACAGACACAGGGTTTCCCTTTTAACATCCCATCAGCACAGTGATGTTCTTGGAAGGCGTTTGATTTGATGAGTAAATTTAATTATCCGTTACATAAGGGAGTTAATGTTAAAGGATCACATGTAACCGTAGATTCATTTCATTACTGCTTATGCTTCTTATTTTGGTCGTCATTGACTCTGGTGCTCACAATATAACAATATGAGAAGGTAATGATCCATTATGACATTACGCTATAGTGACCTTTAGCTATACCTTCAACATCAATGCTTTTATGTCAGTTCAAAGCTGTAAAAATATGTTTTAAGAAGGAATGTATATGTTCAGCTGTGAAGAAGATGGATGAATGCTCTACCATTTTTTCTCTATCAGTTTTCATTGTTTATGTATTTATTTTATGTAATAAATACAGAGGCTCACCAAAGTGAGTACACCCCTCACATTTCTGCAGATACCTCAACATATTGTCACTAGCTTCTCTTTATTGGCTTCCTGTTAAATCCAGAATAGAACTTAAAACCCTTCTTCTCGCATATAAAGCCTTAAATGGCCAAACTCCATCTTATATCAGAGATCTGATTGTTCCTTATGTATATGCTTATGCTTATATATTCCTAAAAGAGCACTTCACTGTCATTCTGCAGGTTTACTAGTGGTTCCTAGAATTTCTAAAAGTCGAATAGGATGCAGATTTCCTAATTATCAGGCTTTCTCCTGTGGAACCTAACTACCAGTTTTAGCCTGTGAGGCAGTCATCCTGCCTACTTTTAAGGCTAGGCTTTAAACTTTCCTTTTTGAAACTTATAGTTAGAGAGGCTCAGGTTATCCTGGGCTATCTCTATAGTTATGCTGATATAGGCTTAGACTGCTGGAGGACATAGGGACCCCTTTTTCATCATTCTGCTTAATTTTATCTCAGTTCTCCCACTGCAGAATTTCTTAGTTCAGTCTTTAGCATTATGCTCTCTGTTTTTTTTTTTATCATAGTAGCTTCATCTGGTCTATTGCTGTTTGACTGTGACACAATTCTGTAGAGAAATAGCAGCTATGCTGCTGCCATCAACACCTTTGTTTATAGAAGTTCAAGATCGACCTGTTTTTCAGTGTAGTCCTGTTTCTCTGACTGTGACTGGCTAGATATGCTCTTTGCATCCTGATATGGGAGCTGGCTCGGACCTCATGTTCCTGGCTGTGTTTTCTGGACGAGGCCGCCTGTGGAGCTGGTTGATAGTTGCCTTTTGTATCCCTGCTTCTTTTTGTATGTCTGCTTCTGTCTCCTCCCCAGTTGGCCTCTGCAGACGCAGATGGCTGCTCACAGCCTGGTTCTGGTGGAGGTTGGTCTGGTTGAACTGTAAAGTGCCTTGAGATGACATGTGTTGTGAATTGGCGCTATATAAATAAACTAAACTGAATATCTTTACATAGGAACAACACTGAAGAAATGTCACTGCACTCAATAAAAAGTTGTCTGTGTTCAGCTTATATACGTAATAGTATAAATGTATTGTTCCCTCAAAATTACACAATATACAGACATTAAACAACATTAAAAGCCAAACTCCTCATAGCAAAAGTGAGTTCAGTCCTTTTTGAATGTTCCTGAAGGGTCATTATTTTGACCAGTACCAGAACTGCCTTAACTCTCCTGGGCATAGCGTTTACCAGAGCTTCCCATGCTGCCACTGGAACGCTCTCCTATTTTTCCATAACATCATGGAGCTTGTGGATATTCAAGAGCTTCCCACCCCTAAACCTTCCTTTCTGGGTTGTTTTCGTGCCCTTAGACCCAGTTTCTGGAGTGAGGGGATCGTGTTTTCCAGTTTTTTTTAACTGATTCCTGAATGTGTTAAAAGTGAAGCATTCTCTGATAGTGAGATGGATGCTGATCCAGATGTTACCGCTCCCTACTGAAAGAACAATCTGGCTCAAAAAATGCTGGATCAAGTAGGCCACTGTGCTGCAGCTCAGTTTAAGTGTTTTGGCAATCTTCTTGTACCACAACGTCTTTTAAGATCCTCAGAGAGTCTTTGCAATGCTGGAGCTGTCAGTGACCTGTATGAGAGAGTATGTAGGAGCTGTACTACAAAACTGAAGACACCTGCTCCCTACGCACAGCTGAGACCCTGTTGCACTAATGTGTTTCATAATATTTTGGAGGGAAAATGACAAGCAGTGCTCAGTTTGGACATTTAGGGGCCTGGCCGGTTCTAGATAGGGGGCAACAGGGCCCAGAGCCCCTGTAGAAATGGTCCTGGTCCCAGTTATGGCCCCTGTACTGAAGACATAATACTGAAATAAAATCTAATGATGATATGCACTAGAACAGACATAGTGATTTATAAATCCATTGGAGTCATTTCATGATTCTCTTCATTTTGTTTTAATTATGATTCTAAATCAAAGGTAATAGTTTCAGTCATACTGAGTTAGGATCCCAGTTTTCATCTGCTAAATGTTATTTTGAACCACATTTTTAAAAAATGACTCGAATTTTCATGGGTTTAGTTAAGTTCTAATTCTGATTTGATTAAAACTCATCATTTACATTTAAAACAAGTCATAAATATCTAATATTCCTGAATTATACATTTTTATCTTTTAGTAGATATTTATCCAGCACTTATTTTTTTCTTATAACTTTTTTTCTCCATTTAATGGCTTTTGTGTAAAGTAAAATTAATTACAGATTTCAATTGAAACAATGTGAAATTTTATTTAAACTAAATGACGTGAAATTTCCCTTCATTCAGTGGTGAGCCAAAATTAACACTTTGATTTTGCAGCTCTCCTAATTAGGGCTGGGTACCGAACTTCGGTACTTTTATGGTACCGACCGAAATGCTTCGGTTCTACAGAGTATCGAAACATGCCTCGTCTTTCGGTACCAAGTTTCGGTGATTGGCTGGAACACTTAAGGTGATTGCGTCATCCAGGAAAAATACACAGGTGGTCACGCCTACAGCCAGGGTTCATGTGTATCTTTTGTGAACTGGTTGCAGCGTCGCGGAACCCCTTTAAAATGCCCCCCAGGTCAAAAGTGCGGCTTCACTTTATTAAGACTGATGCTAATAGTGCGCAATGCAATACATCGTGCACGGAAATAATTTAAGAGCAGAAAGTCGCTCTGTGTTTGACTGCAAGAAGAGCGGACCGCAGCCAGCGCGACCATCCTCCTCTCAGCAGCCCGTGGGCAGAGCAAAGCCAGAGCGGAGTGAATCATGCTGCTTTCAAACTGGACGCAGCAAGAGCAGCAAAATCTCGTCTGCTGCTTCATTTTTGCTGCTTGTACCAGCTTCTGACGCGCTGCTGAAGAAGCTTTGCTGCTCTGGCTGCGCGGTCGCAAAGTGGGTCAGACGCGCGTTGGGCGGAGCTACTCTATCCTTTATTTGCCTTGCAGCTATATTTGCTGTGATCAGTGGGAATAAAGTAGTTTTATTATGTTTTTAAGTGGGAAAATCCACCTGAAAACGTAATCAGTGCAGTCAGTTCATCCTGCCTTCAATATTTCTGTCAGAGCCGCTCAGACCCCCACATACCAGCGGTGCGCTGTCAGTAGGATCCCATTCAACGGGCTTGTTTGTCAGACATGGTAATTTTTCTAAAGGAAAACTGCTAAGTAAAAAGGTCCTCACAATGTAACAGTGAATATTAGACACTGAATTATTTATTTTTTTATGTAAGAGGAAAAATGTAAATGGAAAAACAGAGCTTAAAATAAAACTCAAGATTTGTACTTTTTTATGTTGTGTAATTTTCTTTTTTTTCGAATTGATATTATAAAACTGGTATCGAAAAAAGTATCGTTCAGGAACCGGTATCGAAGTGAAGGTATCGGTATTGGTACCGGAACCGAAATTTTTTTAACAATACCCAGCCCTACTCCTAATATAAATGATAAAATATTGCCCTGTTTCATGCTTTTCTATAGCCCCATGAAAACACTCTTTAGGGGTTTGGCTATTAATGTCTGTATATATTGCATTCATTTGAGGGAACACTACATTTGCACTGTTATATAAGCTATAAACAGACTTTTCATTTTGTTAAAATGATATTGCCATCATTGTTGTTCCCATGTAAAGATATACTTGACTATCTGCAGAAATGTGAGGGGTGTGCTCATTTTGGTGATATACTGTAAATATCCTAGTTTAATATGGAGGGGCCCCCAACATGCAACCTCAAAGTAACATGGCTGTCCTGAATATGAACACCACTTCCAGCCCTTTTATTTTCTCTCATTCCAGCAGATAAATGTTAAATAGCAACATCTATACAGCAATTTGTTTGAGTATATATAAAGGCACATAATGCAGGGAGTTAGTTCATCACTTTGCTTTGAAAGGATAATTATCCAGATCTCAGAGTACAAACATTAGGGTATTTTAAATGGAAATATTTGACTTCAAAGTGAAGGAAAAAAAACAAGAAAAGCATCTGATTTGATCGTCCAGCTGTATTAGAATTAAGCTGCATTATGGTGCAGTTACAGCAGGAAGGTTTTAGGTTTGCTCTCACTGTGAACGAATGGGTACTTAATTTTCCTCCCACTGTCCGTAAACATCAGTTGGCTTAATTTGTCTCTCTACCATGTTTGTTAGTATGAGTGCATGAATGGTGGTTTGTCTTGTGTCCAGGTCTCTGCTATCGTCAAGCTGGACGTTGCAAAGACGTTGCTATTAAGGAGTTCTGAGATTATCCTATTGTTTAACTGTCTGGTTGACAAATGATGTTTAAAATCAATATCAGAGGATGCAAGCCCTTTGCATTTGCTCCCCAGCTACACTGAAGACAGAGCTGACAATAAATCTGGGAAAGTTCTGTGAGTTAACCTAATTTAAGGGACGAAAAGCCAATTTATAGATTTTAGATTATGATGAGGGATAATCTATTTACTGCATCCTAGGGAAATGTTTTCATTTGAGCCTTTTACTCTTTATCAACGCTGTAACAGATTTGTTCCTGTAGCGCTAACTAAATAATATTCTTCTTGGATGGACTAATAAAAGCAACAACTCTCTCCCTAATGGTACCAAGGGTTTAATTCTTTTTAATGTTTTTCCAGGTAAAACATTGAAAACTTCTTCCTGAAAATGTCTCTTCTTTGTGGAACACACACAGCTTTCAGCATACACTCTTATTTAAAAGTATCAGATGGCAAATCCTCGGGGTATTTCAAAAATGCAGTGTCCCCCAAATGTCTCAGCTGTCGGCCTGGATGTTGTCCCACACTCTCACTACATCTGGACAGTCAGTGAGGGCCTCTATGAGAGTGGAAGCAGCTTCCATCTGCTCCTGGTCCAGAGAAGAGTGATTGCGAGGAACAAACTCCAAACCTGCAGATGTGATCTGTAATCCCAGTCCCTCCAGAGAGCCCCGCACCTTGTTTAGGTCTGACATAGCGCAGATAAACTGGGGAGAGACACACAGAACCAGCAGTTAGTATATTCATAGTCTTTCACTTCCTAAGCCTGGAAAACATTAGCAGTCAGAAAAACAGCTTGTTGTTGGGATTTAATACCACTTACTGAACTCATTTTAACCCTCTTGCTCAGAGGTCTACTACGAAAACTGTTTAAAACTGCATATGATGCATGATCTTTATTAAAATTTAATTTATTATTTTTTATAAATATCTACTACAGGGAATTTGTCACTTTTCGTAAACCACAACTTTTTTTTGTAGTTTTAAAAATAAAGTAAAACATAAAACCTTTGCAAAATAAAAAAGGACACATTTTTATTTATGAGATTTAATTTGGAAAAAAAAGGAGTTCCTAATCTGATGGAAAGAACAATGGAACTACCATCATGTTTAAAGCAATTAAATAAATGCAAAAATAAAAACAAAAAATCAGCTAAAATCAGTGTTTTTAAATTATATTGAAAAACACTGATTGGTTATTAATGTTCAGATTTTAGCTTCTTGTTTGTCATAAATAAAAAACAACTGTTTATATCATCTTGATAGGTTTTCATTTAGCAGAACAACCTCAGATGTGGGAGGTTAAAGTAATGATCAAATGGGTTTTAAATCAGACTAAAGCATAAAATACGACAACAGAGGAGTTTCATTTTTTTTACCATGATCGCCAAAACTTTAAAACAGAAAATCTTTAAAAGCTAGAATGCAAACCTAGATTATACATTTTTATAACCTACACTCATAGTTTTTATATAAATCTTTAAAGCTGCTTTAACAAGATGTCAAAACATCATTTGCCAAATAAATCTTTTAAAATAAAGGTGTTTTTCTTATCTATTTTTGTACAAATCAAACAAATGATTCAGGGGTCCAAACAAGACGAACAAGCTTTTCGTTTTTCTTTTTAACACTCACCTTTAAAACAAAATGACTCCTGTCAGGAAACAGTCCTGAAACCTTCAGGGTCATATATTTGTGGCCACAAGGAGACAGTGTTCACACTTTTGCATTTCAATCAACTCAAAGTGGCTCATATGTAGTAAATGTGACAACATAAAAAAAAAGAACTTGTGTACAGTAAATAATTTAGGTTTATCTTTAAAGGTTAAAATGGAGGTTCAGATACAGACTAAGAGATTGCACAAATGTTCCTTAAAATTATTGAATTTCATAATGTTCTAAAACTTAAAAATAGGTAGTATAGAGCTGACTGGAGGTTGGGTTTTATTATAAAAGCAGCATAACCAAGCATAAAAAATGGCTGGATAGATAATTATACAATATAAACTTCAAAAGAGTCGGTGTTGGTGTTTAAATAATTAATCAAGCCTGTTTCCCTACATTGGAATAAAACATGTTTAAATCACTTTAGGTTTTGTTTTAATATTTCCACAACTTAGGGGTCTGCAACCTGCAGCTCCGTAGCTGCATGTGGCTCTTGGGACCTTCTACAATGGCTCTTAATAGTAGCCAATAGTGGCTTCTTTTAATTAGCATGGAAAATATGTATTTTATTATTAACTTTTTCATTTTTTTTCTTTTTTACATCAAATAACACCATACCAAAAAAAATAAAATAATCATACTTCAGTTATATGAATCGTTTTATGTTTTTCCTTATTATTTAAAATGGCAACAGATTTCTCATGGCAGATATTTAACAAAAATAATATATACGGTATATTTTTTTTATTTATTTAAAAAATCATGTTATATTTTGCGACTCTAAATGAGTTTTATTAGCTGGACTCAGGGCAAAATGGCTCTTTGGATATGAAAGGTTGCAGACCCCTACCACAACTGAATGCCCACACTGTACCTGAACGCAGCACGAGTGTTCTGTTTGAAACGTCTTCCGGTTGGATGTTGCTGGCTACTGGATCTGAACCTTTTCTGATTTTTCTCCAGTACCAGAAGACATTTTAAAGTCTACAGAACGTTTCATTGCTTGGTTCATTAGTTCTGCTTATAAACTATCTGGGAAGACTTAACAGGGAGACTTTGAGTTTTGTTTTACTCTCAGCTCAATCACAGTCTAACCTTCAGCTGAAGCTTCTCCTCCTCATCCTCAGTTTCTAGGACGTCTTCAGCTCCGGCCTCGATGGCCATCTCCAAGGCTCTCTCTGCAGAGACGTTCTGAGCGGGCACCACCACCACACCCCTTCTGTTGAAATTATGCCGTGCTCCGTCGGACAGCATCCCTCTGAGGACAACAGAGTGATCAGACGGTTTATTTTCTATTCCGTCAGAGTTTAACTGATGTGTAATAATCGATTATCTTTCATTGTGGCGTAAATGCACAGAAACAAAGAGCTTTACTTCTCTTTACTTCTTTCTTCTCTTAGCTCATGTGTCATTGTCTTTCTAGAAAAAAAGGCTCCTGGAAAATTTACTTCCACTTCTCATCCACTGCTAATAAGCAGTGGATGAGAACGTACTGTCTTTGTTAAAGTTTAAGGAACCTACAGAGGGAAAAAGGCACCACAGAGGACAGCAGAAACATGAAGGGAGGTTCCGACCCGTTCTTGTTGAGCAGCCGTTTGATGTCCTGGTGAGTCCGTGAGTTGTTGTCAGTCAGAACTTCAATGAGCAGCAGACAGCCACCGGGCCCACGAGCTTCAAACATGTGCTGAGACGCTGGTTTGGCCTTCTCCTGTAGGTAGAACATGTAACATCACTTTAATGCTGTCAACACCATTTAATGAAATTAATTTCACATACAGAAAAGGTTCTGCTTTTTTTCCACTGCAGTTCCTTTAACCTGGGAGTTAGAAAAATGTCTCCAATATTTTCTTGGTTCTTGTAAAGAAGCATATAGTAAAGAAAAATCTACAGTTAAGACAAACCTGCAGCTTTCTTTGCTAAATTATAAATATAAAAGGCACCTCATCAGCATCTCATTGTAAAAATTATTTGATGATAGAAAAAAAACATGTTTCTATTTCTAAGATTGATACTTTAAGTTCTAACTCGCTTCCTTAAAAATATCTGCATACGTTTTATTTATCTTTTCTTTCTTTTTCGTTATAACTTTTACACTTTAATCATTCAGGCTGAAAATGTGTTTCGTTTCAAGTCCAACATTTTATCAAGAAATTTACTAAAAATCATCAAAAATTATTATACACACACACACACACAAAAAAAACAAAAACAAAAAAACAACTGTAGGGTAGCAGGGAGTGATGAACCTACCGCACTCTTGATCGCTGCATCTATAGATGCTTTGGGCATGTTTTTGCTCCTGCATTGTTCCAGTAGGTTGGCCAAGTTTATATTCAGGTCTGGGTTAGATCCTCCTTCTGCATATGAAAAATACATTCAAAACATATATCACCATTTACAAGAAGAAGTAAAACACACACACAACATACATATATATGCAAAATGCAAAATTTATATATGTGCTCTTTACAATTTTGGAATAACTATGTATCCATCTGTCCATTTTCCATCACGCTTATCCCTGCTGGGGTTGCTGGTGCCTATCTCCAGCTGTTAATGGGCGAGAGGCGGGGTACACTCTGGATGGACAGGTCGCCAGTCAATCCTAGACATACACCTAATTAGAATTCTTTTTTAGAGAAGCCAATTAACTTAACAAGCATATTTTTGGACTGTGGTGGGAAGCCGGAGTACCCAGAGAGAACCCACGCACAATCGGGGAGAACATGCAAACTCCATGCTGGGCCGGGAATTGAACCCAGAAACAACTTGCTGTAAGGCAACTAAAGTATACCAATTAATGATTAATCCATTATTGAGTTAGAATTAGCAGAAATTTATTTCAACAATTCATTTTTTTCTTATGTATGTAGGTATTTGTGTATACATGTAAATATATATATATATATATATATATATATATATATATATATATATATATATATATATATATATATATATATGACAGCATATGGAACTCACCCTTCACAGCTATTCTTATCAACATCCCATACTTCATGAAAATTTTTCCTCTCGCCTCATCTTTGGGTCCCTTGATGTTCTTCACCTTTGACCATTTGTTGTGTCCTGCGCACAAGGCGGAGCACAGCTGCAGCCTGCGGACAGGAGGCGTCCTCCACACCGGGGAGGCCCCGCAGGAAGCCCGCAGAGCTGTACCGACCAGTGTGGGTGAGCGCAGGGTCCGCAGAGCCCCGAGCAGCGTGGATCCCAGCATGCCCTTCACACCCACTCAGTGACCACAGAGAACACCGGTGCTCCTGCTGCACATGTGGAAACTGTCCCGCTTCCTACAGCCGCACCTCTGTGCCCTTAAACCACTCATTCAACTATAATTAACATTCATTTTTTTAAACAAAGACATAAAAAAACTTCAAGTTTGCTTACAGTTTTGACAGCTCAGGAGAAGAAAGTACAGGAAGCTGCCCTTGTTGTGAAACTACTACTTCCGAGGTGTCAGTGACGTCACACACTGACATATCAAAATAAAAGCATTGTAAAGTGACAACAAATAAAATAAAAATAGAACAATAAAGCAAACTTGGTAACTACTAATAGTTTCATTATTTTGTTGAGTTCAGCACTTTTTTATTATGATATATTTGAACTTTTAAAGGATTTTAACATAAGAAGATCGAACAAACTTACATTTATTATCATAAACTCTGATGGAATTATTCAAAACCTCAGTTTTTATGAAATCCATGTTTCAAGACACTTGAATTTATCTAAAATTAGTGCTAATCAAGTTTATCAATTCAGGTTTTCTTATCATTTCATTATTTTGCTTCATTCTTTCTCTATTCTCCCTCTGTACAGAATCTGTAAGGTCAATCTGTTACGTTATGCTCTCTCTGCTTTTTCTCATAGTAGCTTCATCTGGTCTGTTCCTGTTTGGCTGTGACACCATCCTGGAGAGAAATATCAGCTGTGCTGCTGCCATCAACACCTTTGTTTATAGATGTTGCAGATTGGACTGTTTTTCTAGTGTACTCCTGTTTCACTGACTGTGACTGGCTGGATGTGCTCTCTTCATCCTCTGACATGGGCGTTGACTCGGAGCTCGTCTGGCTAGCTGTGTGTTTCCTGGATGGGGCCGCCTTTTACAGCTGCTTTTGTACCTCTGCTTCCATCTCCTTGAACCCTAGTCAGCCTCGGCAAATAGTCGCTCACACTGAGCCTGGCTCTGCCTGAGGTTTCTTCCTGTTAAAAGGGAGTTTTTCCTCTCCACTGTCGTTGCAAGCATGCTTACTGTGAGGGATTGCATTCGAGTCAATGAGTCGATGCAATCAACTGGTTTTCCTTAGATAGAAATCTTTGAATCAATTTGACTGTATGATCTGGTAAACTGCCTTGAGATGACATGTGTTGTGAATTGGCGCTATATAAATAAACTGAACTGAATTAGTAGTAGTAGTAGCAGCAGTTGTAAAGGTCATAGTAATAAAGTTAGAGGTAATAGGACTGAAACATGAAAAAATGTCCAAAGGAATCTGACATCATCACGGGAAGAGAACTCTAGCATTTTATTTGTTTGGTTCATTGGTGGATACAATTTCCAGACGGCAGAAAATTCCACCTTCATCTGCTGAAACAATTATATACAAATACAACACCATGGGGATACCCGACCAACACACGCCACAGGAAGGAAACAAGTTATGTCAGGTCCCACAGATGGACATGCGGTGGTACAAAGTTTTGTGGCATGACAACCCCAAAACAATTTAAAAGCAAAGGGGAGGTGCTGGCTACAGGTAAGACAGTTGTTGTCCTGCTGACATGGTCTGAAAGGCCACTCAGGGAGGAAGAATTCTTCACTCCACACACAACATGGAAAAAGACAGATTAGAATTTGACAAAGTTCTTTCATTTCAAGACAAGCCATAAGTTAAAAATTCAGAAACAAAGCTGATCTACCAAATACTAATGTGATTAATGTAAATTTTTATATGTCAAAATTTTTAAGGATTCTGTAAAAACCTTCAATCATAAAATAGCTTTTGGACGGTTTGTTGTACTGTTGCTATGCTGCCATGCTGTTGCCATGAGTTTGCATGTTCTCCCTGTGCATGTATGGGCCCTCCCTTGGTACCCCGGCTCCGTCTCTCAACGTAAAAACATGACTGTGGGGTTAATCAGTGTCTCTAAATCCCCCTTAGATGTGAGTGTGTGTGTGTGCTGGTTGTCTGCGTTTTCCTGTCCAGGGTGAACCCCCGCCTTTCACCCATAGACTGCTAGAGCCAGAGTCCCATTCCTGTAGCATGGCACTTACAGTGTGAGCTACTCTCTAGATTGGCTTTTATGTAAAATGTATATAGGATACCAAGGTTTGTTTGTGTTAAAAAAGTTACATCTAGTCACATACTTTAAATTGACAGGGAGTGAACTCCAAAGAGCAGCATCCCTCACAAATAGACTGCATTAAGCAAAAGGAGGTTTTATGTAAAAGGAGCCATACAGTCGTCATCTGAGGCAGCTCCTGTTGAGCTGCTTTAGTCCAGCAGTTTATTTGCACAGTTGGCAATTCTCACCTAGAAAAGAAAAGGTTAAGCTATAGTTTAAAAACAAAAGTATATCTTTTTACAGTTACTAACATCTGGTTTTAACTGGAGTATCAGAGATAATGCCCTGTAAAAGATAGTGAGGGATTCTGAGAAAGAGCTTTCCTGTCTTCTGTGTAGCATCCACTGCAGACCTACAGGATCAGGACTCAGCAGTTTCTCCCTACACTATAAAAACAAAACAATGCTGACTGCTGTTGAAAGTTGTTTTAGATGTTTGGCCTATTTTTACTTTCCTCTGATAAAAATCTTGTCTTTTTAATTCTGCAGTGAAATTTTTTGATTTGGGTTAAAAAAACATGCCATTGTTGCAACAAAATATTATTTATTATTGAAATTCATAAAATAAACCACATAAATTACAACTATATATACAGTTTGTGAATTGTACTATATATAACTCCTTATGCTTTATGGTAGAAAGCAAGATATAAGACAGACAAATCCCTCATTCAGTAAAAATAATCATAGTAAACAAATAGATTTTATGCGCAGAGTTTGAAAGTTTTCCAAGAAAGGTAGAAAATTTGGTAGTTTAACCCAAGCTTTCCATATTCCTGTTAACAATCGATTGATTAAGAAAATGTGTGTGTGTGTGGGGGGGAAGAATCTCAATTGAAACATTGACTTGTGTTTTTGCTGCCTCTGCAAGTGTCAGGAAGGTTAGAGGTTAGTGCTGGAGATAAGACTATCCATTACACACACAATTCTAAGTTAAAAAATGTCTGTGTCACAGTAAACACTGGTTTGTTTACACAGTCTATTGGACAGATATTATTAAACATTAAGTTTAAAAGTAGGTCTGAGTTGAAATTGCTTTTTAAATAAAACATCAAATGCATTTTGATTATGTAAAAACTATGTGTGTGCATGTGTGTGGGGAAGAAATGGGCAGGGGTCATTATATGGGCACTTAACAGCATTGCAGTAAAAGAGAGTTTATGTGATGCAAGAGTTAAACTGAGTGGCAGCAGTAAAAAGAGATAATTACTCCGCCGCTGGGTTTGGAAAACACAGACAGAAGGTAACGAGAGGCAGATGACAGCAGCAGAGGAACAGAAAGAGTTAACACCCAGCCAATAAAGGCCAACCCATGTCAGCCAAAGAGCTGTAAAAAGAGGAGGTTTCATCCTCTTTGCTGAGTCTGATGGCTGCACGCTCCCACAGTTCTGATCAGAGATGTCCACTAAACTTTAAGGAGAAAAAACTAATTTTTTTCTATTCTTATTCCTGGATATCATGTGGCAGAGGAGGGAAGTTGCTCTGGACTAATAACCAAAAAGTGAGCACTGATGGGACACAGGAGAACAACACACCTGAAGAAGTTTATGTCTTTGCAACCTGAGGAGCCTCACATTATCTGAGGCCGTGGGGAGATTTGATTGTTGATCTTTTTGAAGCTTTAATGTTAAACAAATTAATGTTATCTCTGCAGGGAATTTATGCCCTGGCTCTTTTTCACTATGTAAAGTCAGCTGTTGCCCTGGTAAGTTTGTTTCTATATATATGAGCATTTGGATATTAAGAGCTTTTCTGCAATATTGCTTTAAGAAGCAGGCTGTAAGATTAATTTATAAATTTTTATTTATGCAGAGTAAAAAAAAAATACAATTTAACATTTGCTAGCAAATATTAATTTTGAGCTAAAATACAATATCCACGTTTATTTGGTTGAACAGCCTTATTTTTATTGGTCGAAATATAAATGTTTCTAACAGCAGACTCTAACAATACAGTGCTCCTCTACAGCACATCTTTGGCAAGAGCTTAAAAAAGTGCCCAGTTGTGACTTTATTTCTTTTTTAATTTTTTCTACATAAAAACAAATATATATGGAAATATTTAATTTAAACATTAACTTTTTATTTTTTCTAGTATCCAATAACTTTTACAGTAAATGCTACAAAAAGCATGAATATTTGAATAACTATTTTTTTTAAAGCAAGCCAGCAAAGGCTTTATTTGTTTTTTAAAAGTCTAAGCTTTGTTAAACTGTCAAATCAGAGTGTGGGAAAGCAAAAAAAAAAACAAAAAAAAAAATAAAAATAAAAACAACAACACAAAGCCTTTAAAAGATAATATCAAGTCTTATCAGACACCTGATGTCCAAAGGGGTCCGCCTTAGGATAGAAAACTTTTACCGTTTCTGATAACCCCAGTGCAGTTATCTATAACTTCTCTTTGCAGTTCTAACATTGAGCTGCCAAGATGCTAATTTTTCATTTTATTGCATTTTGTTGTTTAGTTTCATGCATGAACCGGGTCCCACATGGTTCAAACGGGGATCTGATTTGTTATGGGAAATCAAAGTATGACCAAAAGCCACAAAGACAACAGTCATATCTTAAAACAGTGTGATGCTTAAGAAAATAAGACCAATCTTTGATAAATAAATCATTAAGAGATGCATAGTGAAAAATAGAAACACCTAAATAAGTAAAATTGTATTTCTATAGCAACGTTTGTCAAGAAACACTACAAAGGGGCTTCATAAGGAACAAAGTAAGTAAAACAACAGACAAAAGTGTATAGAAAAAAAAACTTAAACATAAAATTTTCAAATATAGTGTATAAAATAATAGAAAACAAGATACAGAAATGAAAGCTGGGACATGCACAGAGACATGCTGGTGTAAAAATAAAACCAACATCACCTATAAGCTTCCTAAAATATAAAAGGACAATATAAAATACAAAGAATAGGCAGAATAGCAACAGATTAATGTAAAATTGGAAATGCAGACAATAACCTAGCATGAAAATAGGAAAGAAATCCATCATAACCAGATAAAAAAAAAGATAAGTAAAAGAAAAAATGATAACAGATACATCAAAATGAATAAACAATTAAAAAAACGCAAAATTTTATTCTGCATCTCTGTGGTGTGGACAGTTATAAACAAGTAATGAGCCTCAGAGAAAGTTATGAACAGTGGCAAATAATGATTAAAAACGGTAATACATTAATTAATACATAAATAACTAACTTTTTCAGAAACTTTAGTGTCAAGAGTAAAATGTAAGAAATTAACATTACATGGAAATTAATTGCACATATTCCAATGTAGCTTACAACATATTTTGTTCTGCAGTTGGTTATAAAACTATGTAGAAGCGGGGGTAATGTATGCATGTATTGGGGCTGCTGTGTGCACGTATAACAGAGAGAATGTGGTCTCTAAAAAGTAAGAAACAGACCAAGGGGAAAATATGTGTTAAAACATGACCAAATATGTACGTTGGTTTAAGTATGTAGCAGGGGCCAAAACAATCACCAGTCATATCTCAGTGATTAATAGCAGCCCTGGTTTTACGTGGGATGAACAGTGAAGTGTTTTTACACACATGTTCCCTGCAGGCTGTTGCTTCTTTATCTGGTCAGGGATTAATCTGCAGGTTTGAACTGTAAGTCGGTCGAAAGGTTTTCATTTTCTGCTTTTTATCTTATCAGACTCTTCTCTTTTTCAGCTTAAATTGATGTGTGTATTTTGCAGCAGGGCATTCATGTTTCTTTCTGATTATATATAATTACTGTCTTTGCTATGTTTGGTTTTTAAGCACAACAAAAAGGAAAGTATCTAAAGCTTTCTTCGGGAAAGACTTCCGAGTGCCTTTTGATGTATTTTTACTCATAGTCCAGTCAGAGGTTTCTGTCCTCTAATGAGATGAGAGAGGTATTGGTTTCTTTCATGTGTCCATTGGATCTTCTGTGGTTTCCCAAACGAGCTGTTGGATGTGCTCAATGGGAACTTTTTCATGTTGTTGGTTTTTGTAAAGCTTCGGATCTCATCATCGTCTGCAGATAACATCTCTGAGAGGCCCAACCAAAGAGCAACTCTTAAATCTTCTGTGTTAGAATTCACCTGTCTACTGCTTTTGCGTCACAGATCTCCAAGCTTTCACTTGCTGTATCATCAGCCTTTAGCCACGTGCACCTCTCTCAGCTCCATTTCTTCATCACTAAATCTTCTCCTTGGTCGATTTTGAGTGCCTCCCCTCTGACAGAGTTACAATCTCAGGATCAGTCAGCCTGAAAATCACTTGGCTCCAAGAAGAGGCCCGAGAGGGTTAATACTCCTACAGCTCGGCGGGGAGTGGATGTAAAGACGAATTGTTTTGCTTAAATGCAATATCTGTCAGGAGAAAAACCTGTCGGCACAAGAAAAAAATGTGAATGACCTCTTACTGATGCTGATTGTTTTCACCAAAGCACAAAATCAATACATGTTGATGTATGATGGTGTCCATGAACAGATAAACGCATACGCTGTATGAACTGTAACTGTTGTCGTCATAGATACAGGGCGTCCAGTACTGAGAACAAGGAAGGCATTTCCTTAATACTGTACTGCAAAAAATGTTATTCTCAGTAATTTTTTTCTTAAAATAAGTGATCTTTTTTTCTTGAATTAAGGAGACAATTAAGACACTCTACCAATGGAACAAGACAATTTACAATTAAAATAAGAAAAAAACAGTTGCATTGTCTTATTTCAAGTGCATAATATCTAATTATCTTATAATAAGAGTAAAAATACTCATTCAATTGGCAAATCATCTTATTTACCTGCTCAAATTAAGAGTAAATACACTCAATTTAAGATATTTTTACTCATTTTTAGATCATGTTTGCAGTGCATGGGTCTATTGAAGAAAAAAACACTATATGCAACATTAGCAGTTTAGCTTTTGGGTTCAGATAAAAAAATAACTGCTCACTGCTTTCAGCTGACCTTTTGTACCGAGAGTTTTTCTTAACACATACTCAGTTATTTCAATTTCTGCAGCTGGAATTGCGTCTGTTAAACAAGAATTCTGTTTGGCTTCTGAGGAAAACAGCTGTGAAAAGGAAAACTCATATCCTTCACTTCAGCTGACAGATAAACCCAAAAGTTAAAGTCAAAGTTCTGAGTGCCTAAAGATATAAAACAGTATAAATTCTTAAAAACTGATGTTCAGATTAGAAACCTTTTGTTCTCTTAAGAGATCATGCTTAGGGATCCTAAAAAGAACCTCCTTCAGTCTTTCAGATAGACACAGATTGATTGGCATCTCCGTCACCTCTTGCTCTCCGGTTGACTTGCAGCTTGTTTTGCTGCAGTGTTGTGAAATGTACCCGGGAACACAGAGTTGTTTGTGTAGCTTAGCTCTGACGAGTGCCGCCACACAGCTGAGGACCAGGCCTATGCAGGCGCTCATGTGGCCAGTTGCTGCCCCGCTGCTAAGATAGGAGAGGTAGCGAAGGATCATCACATACTGCACCTCCGCACAAAAATTTCACAACACCTGGAGGCAGCACATCAGACCTTTAAAAGGCTTGACCGATTGCTCTACTTGGAAAGAAAGATCTGACTGAGTGTCTCTGTTACTGTGGGAATTTATAAATAACGAAAAAGTGTTAAATCAAGATGTTAACAGAGTTTTCTTTTACAAAGAAAGGCTAGATATTTTCTTATTCATACTAGGACAATTATATCCATGACAGCTCAAAATGATGCATCCTACCCTCTTTCATACTTTTGTTGAAGTTGTCTCATTCAAAGATTCACCTTCAAAAGACTTTTATTTTTAGCCATCAAAGAGCTTTTGGCATATGATTGTATATTAAACCACATTTCCAAAAAATTGAAGCATCCAAACCAGAAGGATTTCTGGCATTATGTCTTCCATTAAAGCCAGCAAACCTCTCAATAGGGCTGAAGTTAGGGCTTTGGGAAAGGCATTCCAGAATTTAATTTGACTAAAATGTGTGCTTGGGATTGGAACAACCACGTATTTGTCCAATTTTTTAAGGTGATAACTAAAAGTCTAACTCCTCCCGGCTGGTTAATGTTCGCCCACTCTGTTTGCTAGACAGTTAACAGGTACTATTCCCAACGTAGCAACTTTTCCCCTTTATTTAGCATCTGTTTAGACCCCTGAGCGACATTTTTTTCTGAATGAGCATGTAGTGATAAATCTAGCAACTTTTTTTCTGTTGTTGGAAACTATGACGATAAAGTGAAAACACCGATCGCTATTGGCTTACTGTCTTCAGGGAGCAGCAAGTGCTGCTGCCAGCCCCTTCCTCCTCCAAAGCAGTGACAGGCAGTCAGACTTAGGAGCAAACGGTACCTGACTCCCCTCTGTTTCCCCCCTTAAAAATAAGTCACACACACTCACAAAGATTCCACTGATCCTCTTGGATGAAAACGCAGGATGTAAAATATAATACTTTAAGTAATGTCCTTGTTTTTGTTTTTATCTAAAACTCTTCAGGAAAAAAAAATATATTTTTTTGAACCCAGAATTAATTTTTTTTTAAATGAATATTTACATTTAATCCAATTCCATTCAGTTTATTTTATATAGCACCAATTAAAAACGTGTTATTTCAAAGCACTTTAGAGAGTCGCTGTAGTTAGATCAGTTCAAAGTTCTCTATTAAAAACCAGCTGATTGCAGCAATTCATGGACTCAATAACAATCCCTCACACCAAGCATGCATGTAGCGACAGTGGAGAGGAAAAACTCCCTTGCAACAGGAAGAAACCTCCAGCAGAACCAGCCTCAATGTGAGTGGCCTTCTGCCGAGACCGACTGGAGGTTTAAGGAGACAGAAGCAGACATACTGTACCAAAGGAGCATAGAGGCACTGATCTATAAATATTTTTGTGTTAGAAAAGGTAACAGTAGACTAGCTGGGATGGAAGATGGAAGAGAGCATATACTGATGATATATTCTATACCAATTTTTAGTTAAATTAAAAGTTTTATTCTGCAACAATCTATATGTTCTGTGTTTTTTTATTAGTTGATTTGATAAAAAATGTGTTACTATGACCTTTAACTACTTTAGCTGTTGATGTGAGCAAATTTAATAAAGTTAGAAATAGTCCTGCCCTTTAACCATTTTAACTACTTTGTGAGCCCCAGCAGCAACACCCACAGTAAAGCTAGGCCACAGCATGACACTGCCACCACTACACTTGCTATCTGAGATAGGATGGTTTTAGCTCTTGAAAGCCTCAATTTAACATATCTCTTTTATTGTGTTTCACATGACTCAGTTTTTGTCCATAACACTTTTATCCAGCTGCAAATTTAAGTGAAACGTGATGGATGATTTTGGTGCAAGGGTTTCTTTCCTGGAAGGTTAGAGCTGATGCCAAGCTGAGCCCCGGTGGTTCCTCTGTATTTCTTGATTCAAGAGAGAAGTGGAAAATCCTCAACTAGTTTCAACTCTTTGTGTAAACTAATTTTCTAAAAAAATGACTAAAAGTTATATCTTATCTGTTCTGTTTCAGATAGACTCTGATGACGTCATCACCCGAGATGAGCAGATCTTTGTTCTGATTGGTGCCCATGCAAGGTGCGAAAGGAGCATCCGGGCACAAATGGCCCTCATTAAAGGTTCGGGCATTGCTTGGTAATAACTATGAATCATACAACGAGCAGGTGATATCAGTTAGAACATATCTAAATTCGTAACAAGAAAAAAACTCATCACTTGCCGTAATTTTCTCATATCAGATATGAAATCCATCCAATATCCTTTCGAGTGTTATCTGTGGTTGCAGTTTTTGATTTATTGTAGCTGATTTTATTTTAATTTGGGGTACAATGTAGAAACTATGTCAGATAAGATGATTCATGGTTGCATTAGGAGAAGGATTTCCTGAGAAGAATCTCCACACATACATCCAAAAATGGCAAAGACAAAAATGGATGGATGGATGGATGGATGGATGGATGGATGGATGGATGGATGGATGGATGGATGGATGGATGGATGGATGGATGGATGGATGGATGGATGGAGTCTGTTGCAACCCAGTTTTGAAGTATCCAGCTTAAAAATGTGACATAATAAAAACACACTGATAGAGAGTTGCAGAAAATGCTTCTTTTGAAAGAAAATCTAACAAAACCTATGTCAAATATAGCTTTATTTGTTAATTTTGCTCCAAAAGGAACAAAAGTTCTCATGTAACATGTACACCACAGACCCTTTAGAAAAACATTCAAGGCAGCCAATCAAAAGAGGGGATGTTTTGCCCAAGGCTTCTCTACAATCTAATTTGTGTGGCTCCCAGCTGGCTATAATCTGGTTCAGATTCAGCTTTTCTAACTAGGGGGCATACATGCTCGTTTGAATGAAGGAAAAGTGACGGTGGAACAGCTAGCAAAAATCAGAATCAATTCTTGCAGCTGTTGCTTGTAATTTATTGCTTTGCAACTGGACTGTGACTCAAACACAAATTGTGATTTTTAAAACAGCAGAAATCTTAGGCTTAAAGTGCAGCTGTGGGGTGGAGGAAAGAGAGAAAGCTCTCCGGGCAGTTAAAAAAAAACCCTCCTGCTTCCCAGAGGTTCCTGGCGCAGTTGTTGAAATATTCAAGGTCAGCTTCATAACGTCCCTGATGATTATCTGAGTCAGTTTTAAAAATACTCAATGAAAACATCCCTGCATTGGTAATTTAAAGTAAACAAAGAAAAACAAGAAGCAGGAATTTACTAAGAGGCCTGATTGACAGCACCTTCGCGTAAAGATGTTTACAACTGCTTTTCATAATAAGGAATGCACTTGAAATATTTAATTACTCACAAAACCATCGTTCCCAGTGATAAATAACATTGCATATCATAATTTTTGGGATAATGTATGAATAAAATGAGCTCTTTTGTCTCCATGGTAACTATTAGCAGTTCTGATGTGAATCAATTCCCGGGCCTGCCCCTTCTTCATCTATCCAAACCAGTTAGGGTGCAATAAATGGTCTGAGATTCAGGCACAGGATAAAATCCTGTTACATTACAAAAGTGTTTTGCCTGATTTCCTGCAGAAGCAGGGGATGCATAGAACAGAACGTAACGATAACACATTCATAAAGGCAATTATAAATATACATAAATGGACGCAACTTGTAAGAATTGTCTGGGCTCATCTGCCTCCTCTTTAAAATGCTGCCCTAATAATCACATAATTTCTAAAACAAATATGGGTCTAACTTTTCAAGAAACATATAATATGCAACATAAGGCTGCATAAAAATTATTTAATGACATGGCAGTAGAATTTTAAATAACAATCTTATTAAGTTTTCATTTGTTTTGAGGCCTTTTTTAATCCATATTTACTAAGATTGTTAATGAATGTGTGTGCATGGCAGGTGTTGCTAACAAATGTTTGGGTGGCAGGACCTTCTGCAATGATCCTTGTTTATTTTCAGGCTCTCTGTCTAGTGCAGAGTAACCACAGGAGTGTTCCCTGTTTTTTACCCTATTATTAGAATGTTGTATCAAAATATTTAAATACTGCTTCAATCATTGGACATGGTAAACATTTGGGTACAACAAGGCATTTAAATCACTATAGCTTTTTATGTGCATTTTAAAGTTGTCTTATGGAAATATAGGAGATGATAATAATTAGTAAAACCTAATCAGACCTTTTTCACTTTGAATTCACCATAATAAGGGTACATCTTGTTTCTCATCATTTCTAAAGAGGGGGATTGTGCTCCAGAGTGGGATGGGATTATCTGCTGGCCTCGAAGCAGAGCGGGCCAGCTTGTCTCAGTGCAGTGTCCAGCGTACATCTATGATTTCAACCACAAAGGTAGGAGAGTGCCACGGAAACACACACATATTGGCAATATAGCAGGATTTAAACAGTTCTTTAGCTGTTTCAGGAAGCTCTCTGTTTTGTGTGAGCTGTTCTGCCTGTCACTGTCTAATGCCCACCTGTGAATCAGGACGAGCCTACCGCCAGTGTGATGTGTCAGGGATCTGGGAGCTGGAGCCCAGTAACAACCGCACATGGGCAAACTACACGGAGTGCACCCGGTACTTGACCTCAAACCACCGAAATGTGAAGGAGGTGGGTACAGGAATATGTTCTGTTACATTTGATCAGTTTTTTAACAGATTTTATTGTCTCGACATGCAATGATGAAAATACTGCCCCATTAAAACAAACTCAAACTCATTGATATTTCAGAATTATAATAAACTGCAATCTACCATCAAATTTGTTGTATATTTCTATCAATATTTGATTGTGAAAAGTGCTTTGCTTCTGTTCCAGAAGGTGTTTCAGCGGCTCCACCTCATGTACACTGTTGGTTACTCCATTTCTCTGGCATCATTGTTGGTGGCCATTTCTATCCTTTGCTATTTCAAGTAAGAAAAATAAAAAAGTCCTGATCAGATTCTTTTCAAGCTATGCAGCATGTCTCCTACAACAGCCACTCATTATAAGGTTTAAAAAAGGCAAATAAATTAATGACGCATATACAGTATGTTTAGCTTGAAATTGCAATAAGTAAAAAAAAAAATGCCTTTCATTTAAAAGTACTCCTACTTGTTTAACAATAAAGTAATGAATGGTGCAGCCATTGGTTGTAGTTTTTTCTTTGACACCAGCAGATGTTTTATCCCAAGTATTGTTTCTGCAGACCAACTTAAACATACCGCAAAAAATCATCAACAACAAAATATAAACGTCTCTAGTATTCTGATAACTAATGTGGGCTTATCCATTTAATTTTCACCGTAACATTCATCTGGCTTGATGCATTTTTTTAAATATTTGATACCTAGTGTAATAGCTATATATATAAACTTCAGCTGTCATATATATTTCTGTGGATGCACTGTATGTACTGTATATACCCCATGCACCTTTTTCTCCTTTTAGCACCTTCTTCTTCTTTTTGACTATTGAGACAATGTAACTAATACATTTCTCCACTGTGAAATCAATGAAGTCAATCAATCAACTTATCAATCAATAAAGCTACAGTCTTCAATAAGTCACATTTTGCTCTTCCCGTTGATATTTACATGCAGTTTGGTTAGTATTTGTCTCATTTGTTTAAAGCTTTTCCAATACTCTTTCAGTTAAATGTTTAATGAAAGATGCTTTTTTCTGATTAAAACATGATGAAGCTCTGTTTGATCTTCATTACTTTTTATTACTTTTGTTTCAGCTAATTTTTTAAACTGCCCAGAGCCTGATAGATCACATGGCTCAGACAGAAAAGGAGCAGCAGTCAATACATTTTACTGCAACATTAATGTTAGATATAGATACTATTACTTTCTAGAGAAAACCCCAAACAGATTTAATGGACCGTCTTATCTTCATGGAGTAATGTACAGTTATAGGCTGTATTGATCATTTAAATTGCCCTAATTTTGACTATTTCTTTTTATTCCACAAACTCTTCCCAGGCGCCTCCACTGCACACGCAATTACATTCACATTCACCTGTTCACCTCCTTCATTTGTCGAGCTGTTAGCATCTTTGTGAAGGACGCTGTGCTCTACTCCGTATCTGATGCCAACAGAGCTGAGTCCGAGTTTACAGCAGTGAAACCACCCATGGTAAAAACAAAAACACAGCATTTATTTTTGGTTTTCATAACCTTATCAACCGCGCTGTGTCCTAAGTATAAATACAATGTTTTGCTTAACATGAAGTTATAATAAAGTTTGAAATGTGTAAATATATTTCTTGAACATAGTGGGAGAAAATTTGTTTAATTCACAGGATGGATGCTTTAGATAAGAACTTACAAATATTAAGTAATAAATACTCTATAACCAATTTTACAACCATTAAACAATCATCAGCTCCAGTGTTTGAACAAAACTTAAGCTAATGGGTTGATGCTTTCCAGTAACCTTTGTTTTTTGTGTGCCATCAGGCTGGTTGTAAAGCTGCTGTTACTCTCTTCCTCTATTTCCTGGCAACCAATCATTACTGGATTTTGGTGGAGGGATTGTACCTCCACAGCCTCATCTTTATGGCTTTTCTGTCTGACAAGAACTACCTTTGGGCCCTTACCATCATGGGCTGGGGTAAGTGGTATCCCAACGGGCTGCTGACCACACAGATGTTCAGTCATATTTCCTTCTAGACTGTGAGGGATTTGCACAAACCAGCCAGAAAACCACTGAAAAAAAAAAAAAAAAAAGTCTTAATTTATTTTCAAAATGTTCAAAAAATGATAAACTGGGCCCCAAAACAGAGGTCAACAAAACAGAATTCAATTCAGGCTTTAACATAAAGAACTCAAGCAAAGACTGACCTCACAAACAGGACATGAAGGAAACTTAAATAGTGGCTGATCAGACCACTGTTGACACACAAGGGGGGTAACTGACTAACAAACTAATAAACAAGTAAACTTAATTAAACAGATAAATACTGGCCAGACATTAAATATTTTTAAAATTTAACTAATTAACAAAATTACCCAAACTATGAATATTTAAACAAATGATAAACATATTTCCCTTCCCATTACAAATGGTTTGACCTGCTGATTAGCCTGCAATAACCAATTAAGGAAAGCTGGAGCTCAATGCAGCTCTCCAGCAGCAGATCCCAAGGAAACTGGCAACTCAAAGAAAAAATTAATTAATCAATTGCATCTTGACGAAAAAAAAAAAAAAAACCTGATAAATAAAGTTAACTAACTTAAAGTCATGCTAATGAAAATATATGAAATGTGCAACTCATTTTGAAAATGTAAAAGTTACCACACAGCTTCAGAGTGTGACAGCAGGCTGTCACATAGATTCTGGCTGGTTTGCTCCAAAATTACACATTTCTAATAAAATATATATTTACTGCCCCATTTGTGACCCCCTCTGATGCTATAATTTATTTATTTTTTATTTTTTCCAGCTTTTATTGTCATTACACTGTCACAAGTACAGTGCAAGCGAATTAACTTTTTGCATTTAACCCATAACCAAGGGGATGGGTGGGCTCTCTCTGCCATTGTGCGGCGCCCAGGGAGCAGTGTGGGGTTAAGGGCCTTTGCTCAGAGGCCCAGAGTGGCAGTCTGTGGGAGTGGGGCTTGAACTCAGAACCTGTGGATTCCAAGCACAGTGCCCTGTCCACTAGCTCACCACTCCCCCTATTAGTTTGATTGCTCTGGCTACAACATATAATCCTGTTACTTTTAGCTATGTATGTTCAGAATTCAAAAGCCTGGACTTTTAAACCCGGAATTATTGTAATGTTGAAAACTAAAATTCCTTTTCATCCTTTTCTTGGATACAAATTAAGGTTTTAGGTTAATAACGACTGGCATTAAGAGCTGTTTATAATTTGTCTTCCCTTAAAGAAAGGTAACTACAGATCATGATACTGCCACTACCATGTTTACAATGATAATAATCACCCCTATTTATTAACACAAAGATCTCGTGTTAATATTGCTTAAAGAAATATACATCTAGTTTCATCTGACCATGCCATGTTCTTTTTGAGGAATACCGAAGATTATAGCTCCAAGGAACTAAATTGCCCTTAAGTCAAAGCTCCTGAATAACTTTGGCTACAAATGATTAAAAGACAAAGTAATATTTTTAAACAGTTATAATAACTGTTGTAGGATTTGGCAATTTTCTGTTTGGTTTTATTCTATTTTTTTTTAATGGAATTATTGAATTGTATTCTCATAATCAAGTAACACTAAAACTGTCATTAATATTATTTAGGATAGTTTTTCTAATTATTAGGCTGGAAAAGGGAACTTTTTTATTCACCTAATTTAATATTAGATTAGATATTTATCGAAAACTGGTGATCCTGTTTCAAAAGGTAATTTAACATCTGCTGTGCATTTTATTTAGCTGCGCTGAGGGCAACAAGCTCTTAAAGGCTGCAGGCCCCTGGTCTAGACATAAAGACACATGTAGAATACAGCCAGTACTTACTGGATATTCCTGAAACCTTGTAACATCTCCCTTATTTTCATGAACATCTTCAGGGTTTATAAATAATCTATAAAACTTGTTTTCCCTTCCAGCCTTCTAATAGCTGTGATCAAGGAGATCCTTTTAATCCTGTGTCTCCTCCTTCTAAACTATGACTTCAGCTTAAGTTTTCAACTGTGGAGAAATCAGATAAGTTTAATAATTGGAAGCTATTTTTATATTGATTTAGAAAGTGTGCCCTTCTGAGAGACAAGTTCATCCATTATAGTATATTTGATACTAAGGCCAGGTTGGTGAGAAACCTCTGACTTCATCACCCTAAAATCTGAACTTCAGCTTCACCTTTATGTAAATAAATCCTTGTATAACACAATTTAATGTTTTGACCAACACAAAGTGAACTTCATTGTGCACAAAGTGAAAAGCCTCTTACTACAGTGATTACCTAAAAACATAATAGCTGGTGAAACTAATCAGTCTTTCTGCTCATCCCAGGTGTTCCAGCCGTGTTCGTTTCCATTTGGGTGAGTGCGCGAGCTTCTCTGGCAGACACTCAGTGAGTCAAGTGATTAAATTTAATATTTAGATTTATATAGATGCATCTCGATATATTAAATATTGAGAAAAAGAGCTTTTTAAGGGGAAACTACTGAAAAATTGGCGGGTCAGTGAATGATTTCAGCATTAATGCTAATTCTGCTTTACACGTCATCCCCACATTTGTTTTCAACTGAAATAAAGTAGTTAGTTTGGCATTTGCGGAATATCTCTTCTTTGTTTTTTATCATTTGTTTATGAAGAGATCATACAATGTTGTTCACCTTGTAAACATCCTGTATGAAATAGGTCATTTTGGTTTTCCTAGCACACTTTTTCCTTCCACTCATTCTTCTATGAATATATTTAAACATTCTTTGAACAACCAGCTTTTATAGCAATGAGTTTTGTGACTTTACTTCCTTATTGAGTGCGTTATGGCTGTTCTTTTGCACATGCATCCAGTGAGGCGTCTCCCTCATGATAGATAGTATACTGACTCAGATTAAGAGACAATTCAGAGGTTCATGAAAACTTGGCTGATGTTTGATTTAATTAGTTGTGACTCTATGACTTTACAATACATTTTTAACAATATTTTATTATGATATGGTTTTTCATATCTGTAAGTAATTATCATTAAAATCAAAAAGAAAATTAAAGGCTTTAATTACTTTTTCAGTGGCTAGTAAACATACATGTTATGAGTTTAACTTCCTAAAATAAATACGTTATTTATAAACGATAAATATTTTTTTATATTTCATTTTTTTATGTTGCAATGTATGCTGCACCCTCCATAGTAGTTGAGTCTACTTTAAAGTCATCTTTATTTGCAGTAATAGCAACTCTGCCTAAAACTGTAGGATAAAACGATTCTTTAAATTAAGTAAATATATTTAATGGTGGAAATAAAGTGGAAATAGTTTTTCACAGGAATATATTTTCTAATTCCTATTTTATAAATTCATCCGTATCATTTTTAGTCAGTTTTTACATTTATAAATTAATCAGGGTGGAACTACAGATTACTGTGAGATCGTTTACTCCTGGGATTATGTATTACATACATAGAGGCCATATTTTCTTACTTTTTCTTCAATATAAGAAAGATATGAAAAAATGCTGCTCAATAAAGAAGTGTGGGATGTCTCATATGGAAAAAACAGAAAGTAAGGGAGAAGAAAAACAGCAATTTGGGCTCTCAGAAAGCTACAGAAAGGGTTGTTTTTTTGTTGTCCCTGTGTCTTCTGAAGAAGTTATTTAATTGCTTTCCGACCCCTCTTTACCATTGGTGAAAATAACTATAAAATAAACTATGTTACGTTCACTACAGTGGGTTCTTTCCTTCTTCCAGATGCTGGGACATCAGTGCCGGAAACCTGAAGTGGATTTACCAAGTTCCTATTCTGGCAGCCATTGTTGTAAATCAAACACCTTTTATTTTTAGTTGCCTTATCTAGGGTTTAAAGACAGATATATTTTGACCTCTCATGTCTGCCCACGCAGGTAAATTTCTTCCTTTTCCTGAATATAATTCGTGTTCTGGCCTCTAAACTGTGGGAAACCAACAATGGTAAACTGGACCCTCGACAACAGTACAGGTAATAACTATTTCCTTTCAGGAAAGAATAGGTGACAGACCATCCGTGGCTGGAAAATGGATATAATCTAAATAGAAGAAGAGAATTATATATATTGATTTCTCCCTTTAATTGTTCTCCACAGGAAGCTCCTCAAATCCACCCTGGTCCTGATGCCTTTATTTGGGGTCCATTATATAGTGTTTATGGCCCTTCCCTACACTGAGGTTACCGGGCTGCTGTGGCAGGTGCAGATGCATTATGAGATGTTCTTTAACTCCTCCCAGGTGAGAGCCCAATAATACCTTTGTGGGTGATCATGCAGCGGTTAAACGGATTAGGAATTAATGCTAACTTGTCTTAAATGAAACATTTTCTGCTTTCAGGGTTTTTTTGTGGCGTTTATCTACTGTTTCTGCAACGGCGAGGTAAATCTGCAACATGCTTCTGGCTAAAATATGTTTTTCAGCAGTTGGAGAAGATTAATGTGCTGTTTTTTTTTCTTTTTTTCAGGTGCAGGCTGAGGTTAAAAAGGCTTGGTTAAGACGTAGCTTGGTGCTTGATCTCAAACAGAAAGCCAGGATGACGAGCAGCGGCGGTGGAAGCTGTTACTACGGCGGCATGATGTCTCATGCCACCACTCAAAGTGTCTGCATCAGTGCCAGTCACCCTAGAGCTCTTTCCTTCACTGGAGGAGTGACAGCAGGCTCAGGAGGGGCGGCTGGTGGGTCAGGGATCAGGCCCCCTCGACACTCTGCTCCGTCTCCTCTCCAGCTCAATCATAGCAGTCCGGGTGTGTTCGTTCCCAGCACCACTGGGACCTCAGGCCCCCAGCAGGACCTGGCTGAGTGGAAACTTTGGAGGGCTGAGTCAGGGAATGATAACTGCAGCAGCAATGGAGCAGAAGACCCTGAATGCACCTTATCGGTGAAGGAGTTAGAAACCATTTTGTAGTCATGGATTGGATGGGAAATTACAGACAGCGCCATCCAATAGTTTTCATACCTCATGTCCCAGTTGTTATCAAACATATATATGAAGACTTTGTGTTTAACAGCCCATGGGAATGCTTCAATTAAAAAAAAAGTAAAACAAATAAAATAAAAAAGAAAGATTTTGTAATACATCCCTCAAATCAATATACTTCCTGGTCTTGGAGATAAATGGAAGTAAATGTTGTGTCTGCTAAATGAAAAGGTTATTTCCCTCTATTTCACTGTTGAAATGAAAATGCTTTAGAAAGGTGACCTTTGTGTTTCCATTTTTCAAAGACTCAAATCTCAGTTTTTTTTTTTTTTCTTGAGCCTCTATTTAATTCCCCTCACCCTGAATCCCGTTATTGAATTTTGTTTGTACTCACTGTTCATGTTAAAGTAATGTGAAAAGATTTGTGTTCAAACGATAAAGATGTGATGCTGGAAAGGATTTTGTAGGCCCCCACAGAATCTCTGAACGTATAAACAGTGAGATATTTTCCAGGGTGACCCTTCTCCCTGCTCTCATCTGCCCAGTGTTTGGTTTTCCAGGCCCCTGTGGAGAACCCTCAGTCCAAACTGTACTTCCGACGATGCTCCCTTTTCCAAAACTAGACCTCCACATGGTATGCATTACAGAGACATCATACAGTAACTCCAGCTCATATCACAATCTATCCATCAACATCTCAGGATTTTTTGTGTCAGTCGAGTCTAGACGGCGTGTCTAGACAAATTTCCCTCCTTGTTGTTGCCCAAGTTTTCTGAACGGTCCCATTTATCATCGCCACAGGACTCACAGCACTGGTTTTTACCCTCTATCCCTTCCTCCGGTGTGACCTCTGCCCCGAGTTCCCTCACAAGGCCTTCCAGAATGTCACACATCCTCTTCAGGCCACAGCTTGGAGCAACAGACACCTGAGTTATTTTGGAGCAGACAAAAGGACTGCATCTGTAAATATTGTATGACACTCACTCTGTGTTATGTGTTAACTGTAAAAAAAAATGGGAGTCTATTATAATATTTCTAATAAACTGCAGACTTCAAAAGTCTCCCTTACTTCAGTATTTACTGTGATAACACATATTAAGTGTGATCGTGCGCTCTCTACTGTAGATAAAGGAGTACTGCAGTAGATCTACTAAAAAAAAAAAAAAGAAAAAAAAAAAAAAAAAAAAAAAAAAAAAAGTTTGGATAAACAGCTCACCTTTGCTCACCCAAAAGCCTTCCTGCTAGTTTGGACAAATTAAGCAGGGTTAAAAATGTAACAAATGTTTTGAATATTTGAAGCAAGATAAATGTTTAGAATTACTGCTTGAATGATATAACTATAGCAGTTATTATTTGTGGTGTTATTATCCACATCATTTTACTACTATTTAATTTATTTATTTCAATATCATCAGTTACGTTATGAAACAATATCAATTGGATCATTGTTCAAAGCGATATGGCAATGAAGGAGCCCAGTTGTATCATTGTCTGCGTGAACTAAGAGACTGAACAAAAGACTAAGCCATAGAGCTGGACAAGATGTGGTGATTCATGTAAAGCAGATTTGGGTGCTGGTGGTCCTATAATTATTAAAGAAATTGTAAAGATTTTGGTAATTAAAAGCAAATTCTTTGTATTGTACTAATCATTTACAATTGCTGTGAAATTTAAATGTGCCTGAATAATTTTGCTCTAATCTAAAATAAAAGGTTTCCATCACTATGGGCCATATGTGCTAGGTGGCCATACATGTATTATTCTTGCACTGCAATCGGTTGACAGCTCTGTGGATAACTGGTTTATACGAAATCCATAACTAAGTCCACGTCCTCTCTAGCAAGACTTACATCTGTGTTTTGGAGAAGCTTTTAATCCAATCTGAATAAACTGAGTCATGAGCAAAAATAGCAATGAGCAAAATTGTCAAACATGTTCAGATGTGATTGCAGTGAAAAGCGGTTCTAGGAAAATGTACACGTTTTATGATTTCAATCTAAAAAACTCAAATGGAAAGAAAGGGACAATTATAAGAATTTTACTTTAATATGCATAAGCAGGTGTATGAGAAAAGTGATGTTTCCCCCCAGGCCTGAAACTGATGGTGGAGTGGAGATAGATGAAGATGGTTCAGTCCATAGACTACTGGCTGGCGAGACGATGTGCTTGAGCTGAATTAGTGAGACCCAGTAGACTGTGTGAGCTGATATTTGTGCTTCACTCTGGACCTAAAAAATAGATGTCCAGCTTGGATAAATACAGGTTTGCATGAATCTGTCCATGATGAGCAAGCATGAAGCCACAGTAGAGAGGAAAAACTCCCTTTTGGGAAGAAACCTCTGGCAGAACCAGGCTCAACATGGTGGTCTTCTGCCAGACCGGTTGAGATGTGACGGGGAATGCAGTAAGAGTCCGGGAGGAATGACACACTGATCGGTACGAGGTTGAAAAAGCACCATGTAAAATCCAGATGGAGCTTAGCTACAATGGTGGAGAAGGGGATGGAGGTTGGTCTAATAAGGGTCATCTTAATGGAAATCAGACAGCGCAACCACTGCTTGTGCTGGCTGGGCAGAGGCAGAGTAGTGGATTTGAAGCGCTTTTAAGATGGACTCTGGATGCTGATTGGACTTTGTGGTGGTGCGGTTCAAAGCTGACTGGTTTGCGTCAGAGGCAGTTGAGCCTCTGATGATGAGGCAGGGAATTTGGTTTCTTCATTAGAACTTCCACCAAGGCTTCATTTAATTTTCAAATGGATATAAAACACAGGGATAAATTTAAATCTGTGGTTTCAACATCACATGAAGATAAATGACTGATGAAAAACATGTAGGTTATTTACATCAAGAGACGGGATATGTGAAAAGCCCACAAAGCCATGAATGGATATAGGGCTGTTTACCCCTGATAAGGCTTCTATAAGACAGACCATAGGGTTAGTGGCAACCCTCTGTCAGTTTCTTAGAGAGGAAGGGAACTGAAGTAAAGTGCATGTTTGAGAAATGTGGGGGGGGGAAATAAGCCACACATTTGGCCAATAATTATCACTTAATGAGAGGGAAGGAGAAGGAAATAGGGAGGAGAAAAAGGGGAAATAAGCCAGCAGGATGATTATGGTAAATGTTTTGATCACTTCAGCCTTTTTGTCCTGAAAACTAAATAAATAAAATTTCTAGAGCATTAACGCTGGAAAATTTTTTGAATATCCTAATGTGGTTGTTCCTTTAACAGGAAATCAGCCTGATCATATATCTAGCGTTTATATATAGGCTACTTTATCATTAAAAAACTACAGATATGAAAGAACACTGAGATGTATAAATAAATTTTTTTTGTGGCCCACATGCGGAAAATAAGACAAGACGAAGGGTTGTCAATTTTAAATATAGTTTCAAGGTAAATAAGAGAATAAGAAAAACACCTTATTGTCTGCTGAAAGCTCTACAGGGTTGGCAACATCTTGGGGAGAAAGAGAACTCTGATGTTCTGTTTATTCAGATTTTCATCGTTTATGTGATCAAACAAGAAACAATCTGACAACTATGAATGGTACCACAGCTGGCACCACTGCTACCACCCTCACAGCATCGTCATCATCATATTCTTCCTCCCCTGAGCCAGGAGAAGCGAGTGCTTCAGAAGCTGGGGGCAGTAGTAGCAGCTCAACAAAAACTGAAGGGGTGAATCCCAGGCAACAGGCCCCTATTGCTCCAGCATCAGATCCTCTTCCACCAGGGTAAAATCCCATTTGGATGCTAAGATCCTATCCAGATCCGTCTGACATCACTGCTGCCAAACAAACATGAATGATGCACATTCCATAACTAGATATAGTGACTTAATATCATAGTGTTTTTGTTTTGTTTTTTTATTGCTGCTGCCTTGCCAAGTCTGCATGAGAATGACACTGTGTACACTGCAAAAAGATTTTAAAGTATTTTTTTCTTAAAATAAGTGCATTTTTTCTTGAATTGAGGAGGTCAGTGAGACACTTTGCCAATGGAACAAGACAATTTACATTTAAAATATGAAAAAAACAATGATCTTGTTTTCTTTCAAGTGCATATTATCTAATTATCTTATTTTAAGAGCAAAACTACTCATTCTATTGGCAAGTCATCTAATTGACCTGCTCAAATTAAGGGTAAATACACTTAATTTAAGATTTTTTTTTTATTTATTTCTATAGAGAGCTTTTTCCAAACGAAAATTCTGTTTGTTTACACTTGTGTGTACAAAATGACATAATAAATCAATCTAAATCTAATTTCCCCACTGTTTCTTGTTTTTTATCCAGATATTTTTTAATAAATTATAGAATAAAAAACTTCACCCCTGAATTTTAAGAAGCACCCTTCTTAAAAACAAACAAACTGTTGTTAAATATGGGGTTATTCTCAATGTGACGTAATGGGATGCATGTAGCTTACGTCACGCAGTAGGTGGAGAAATCGCGAGAAGACAAAGATGATGGTCATGGCTCTAAATGCAGGAATCATAATAAACACAGATGAAGTAATGAGCAGATGTGTTTCAGGCTCCTTCCAGCGGTTTAATCAAAGCGCAGCTGCGCGGCAGTGATGATGCGATGATGCGGACTCTCAGCATCCTCCGCCACGAGTGACTGTGGAGGACCCACGGCCGACAGGGAGGGGTCCTTTCTTTCCTGTCGGATGGAGCCCGGCTACGTGCAGGCAGCGATGGCTATGGGAGATGTTTCCAAGAGAGTTTCGTCTCGAAACGTAGCAGTGGAGAGAAAAAACCTCCTGACTGTCTGCAGGTCAGTTTTTTACTTTTAAAATCAGGGGTGAATCTTAGTCCAGGAATGAAAACAATCGAACAAACATACAACAAACCATTATATATATATATATATATATATATATATATATATATATATATATATATATATATATATATATATATATATATATATATATATATATTAACTAACTTTTAAAGAAATATAACCACAGGAAGAATATCACTAAAACTTCAGTGTGTTTCATTTAAATCTTTGTTTTTAAACCTGGATGAAACCTTTTTTTTTTGTTTATATATATATATATATATATATATATATATATATATATATATATATATATATATATATATATATATATATATATATATATAACCTTCTGAATATAATATTTCATGTCTAAATCAGTTTATATATATAATCACACCACAAAAAATGTAAATAAATAAGTCATTATTTTCTTAAATTAAGTGCATTTTTTTCTTGAATTGATGAGGTAAGTGAGTCACTTTGCCAATGGATCAAGAAAATGTACATTTAAAATGATAAAAAAAACTCCATTGTCTTATTTCAAGTGCATAATATCTAATTATCTTATTCTAAGAATAAAAATACTAATTCCATTGGCAAATGATCTCATTTACCTACTTAAATTAAGAGTCAATTCACTTAATTTAAGAAATTTTTTCTTATTTCTAGATCGTTTTTGCAGTTTATCATGTGAACTCTGAGGTTGTCATGATGACAAGATTCCTGGAGCCAGGACTGGCTGGCACCCCCAGGGACTGAGTGCAGGGGAAGCATTATCAGGCCTGCATGCCTCATAATGCCTCATAATGCATCTTACTGGAGTTTGTGAGGCAATAGCATTTAGGTTTACTAGTTTAAATGAAGGACGTTATTTTAAATTATGTAACCTAACAAGAGACAAGCCCTTAAGGAAGGACAGTGGACATGTTTAAAATCAGCTGGTCTCAGCTTGTACCAGAAATCAACACAGTCATCCTCCAGCTGTTTGTTTATAACATCTATTGTTGTTATTTGTTTCATTGACACTTGGCCTAAATGGGAAGGGGGGTCTAAAGAGGATTTTTACAATTACTTTACCGATTCAAGCTCATAAACATAATAGCGGTTTATACAGATATTACTTTATATATGTTTAAATATCACAGTTGGCTTTTTTTTTAAATAAGTGTTTGATTATTATAGTAGAATGCTTGTGTACTGGGCCAGCTGTAACATCCCTGGTTCAAATCCCACAAAATGACACACCAGCTCCCTGAGCAAGGCTCTAAGCCCTACAATGCTCATCAGAGATACAAATACTTAGTTACTGTACTTAAGTACACTTTTTATTTTTCTTCCTACTTCTTACTTCTACTCATTACATTTTCACACATTTATCTTTATTTTCTATTCCTTACATTTTTAAAACAAACGTTACTCGTTACTCTTGGCTTCGGTTTTATGTTTATAAACAGGGGCGGAGCTAGATGGGGGGCCAGAGGTGGCCATGGCCACCCTCAGCCAATCATTGGCCACCCCTGTGGCCACCCCTACCATTTTTTTTCTGCCCTCCAATACAGACGGTGGCAGCAGTAATACTATCAAGAGGAATGTTTAAACTTATTAAACATTTAAATTTTTCATATATTAATAGGCATATATGCACATCAAAATACTAACATTAAAGTTGATATATACAAAATGTATTCTCTTTTAAGACCCTAATTTTGTGTTATATGGGGTAAACTGAAAATGATGTGTCTCAGCAAGTCATCAATGAGTTTTCAGTGAAATCATAGATAAATAACTACTTTAATAGTAACTTAACATTTCATGTAGATATTAGTGCATGTAATATTAATGTTATGCAGAACAATTTTTGATAAAAGTAGGTAAGTAATGACAATGGAAAAGATGTCCGCCTCAGACATTTTGTCCACTATACCTTTCATTTAGACAGCATTGATGTTTATATATCTTTATCTATTTGTAATCAAAAGGGTGTAGAAAAGTATAGTTTGTCTTTATTTAGAAAATATGGAGGTTGTCCTCGTTCCTGTTGGAAAAGTGTAGATTTACCCTGAGGTTCTGGGGCCTATCCACTTTCAGTGGATGCCTGGCCCCCCTTATAAAAAATTTCTGGCTACGCCCCTGTTTATAAATATTTATTTCAAGTCATGTGCGCCATCCAGTGCAGATCATTGGCGCCATCCACATCTAGTGAAAACTAGTATAAATGGATGAGTCATATAACGTAAACACTCATTGCTAAACTATTCATCAAATTTGTGCTGATGGCGCCAAAGGAAATCATCAGAAGCAAGCAGGTGTTCTTCAAACTGGAAACATGAATTGTCTATGCCATGCTACAATGATTCAGAAAAAGATATTGAAATGTCTGAAAGCTCTGACACAGGCGAGAGCGTGTCTGGAGACGGAGGCCAACAAGACCTCCCTCATCCTTAGCCCTGTCTCAAAGAATTTTTCGAATTAGTCGTAAAATTGAGCTTTCAATTCATATAGTGGGATCTAGCTTTTTTTTTAAAGCTTATTTTATACTTTTATACTTGAAGTGGTTTTTGGAGCACATGTCAGATTAAATAATACTACTTCAGTGATAGTATCTAGGTGTTACTTTATTGTATGTCTCGTAACATATCAATGTTGGTTGTGCTGTCCTTTTAACATCTCTTTGCAGGTGATGAAGCAGACTGAAAATGTTTTATCATTATCTCCCTTTTATCTCCTCTTTCTTTAATCTTTTCTCCTTTTTTTCTGTTTTTCCTCTTCCGTTCTACTTGCATTGCAGTGTCTATATAATCTGTAAAACTCCTTGCATAATTATAATAAAGCAATTTATACGCATGAAAAAAGCGGAACACTATTGCAATAGCTGTACTGCTCCACTTGTGAAAGTAAAATCTGATGGGCTCTTTTTGGCATCAAGACAATTATTCTTATTGGCACATTGCCAGACAGGACACTGTTAAAAAAAAAGAAAAAAAAAGGTTTTTGGAGCACATACCTTTTCACTTTTACTTGAGTAAAGAGATCAAGTTAATAGTTAAACTTTTACCAGAGTGTTTTTAAACTTCAGTATCTATACTTCTACTTAAGTAAAAAATGTGTGTACTTTTGACACCACTGATGCTCATCAGAGACTGCATAGATGCGACCCACTGATGCCTTGTGTCAGATGTTAGGGACAAATATCATTAGAATGCACAAAGGTGCTTTAACAAATTTAATTAATCATTCAAATTATTGAGGAATGGAACAGAGCACCATCAATTATGTTTCTGTGCAAAAACAACATGGAACATGTTGTAAATTTCCAGTCAGTGTATTGTCTGACGTAATAGCACAGCATTTTTAAAGTGCACCACCACAAGCTTGTATTATTAATAATAGCACAATAGTAACCATTTCGGAACTACTTGACTAGTTTAGGATGTTATGCCAGCCCTTGAAAATGTTTATGTAGTAAATATTCACTGTAAAAACTTCATTAGAAAAACAAAATGTGTTATAATCAAGACAGTAAGCTGACAGTGTGTCTAATCTATTGGTTATGTTCATTTTGATTGGAAAATACTAGAAAAAATAATAGCAGGAAGTGTCTTTTTACTTGAGAAGATGAACTCACCTTGGCAGATTTACATTTTAAAATAATTATATCCTGACCAAATTTATTGTTTCTCTCAGAAATGGGCATCTCTTAAAAAGTAAAAAATATGATAGCAGTTTCAGTTAAAGCTTGAACTTAGGTTTAGCCTCAAGGACTAACAATATAAAAATATTCAACAGAGCTGTATAAATTACTGACTCGCATTCACTGCTGCAGTAATAGAATGTGCAATAATGCAATAGCAAAGCGCGAATAGGTTTTTAATATTTGTAAACATTATAATTTTAAGTGCCATAAGTTTAATTCAGATCCGATCTAGGATTATATCCACAGACATCTAGACCTTTGTAAATTTTGTGGCCTAATTTTTATATCTCACTGCTTGTAGTTTTCATTTTCATATTTTTAATGACCACCAACCAACAGGATATTGCCGCTCTTGAAATGAAGTTTGGAGATTTACAGTAAAACCTGGCTAGTTTAAGTCTGATCATAAACTGTTCTTTTCATTTGAGTTGAAGAGTTATTGAAAATGTGCTTTAACTTTTTGTTACAGATACATGAAACAATAGAGTACATTAACCAGCTTAAAAGTAGAGACTTTATCCTGAGTTTCAGCAAAACGAGTTCATCTAGTATTTGCAAGCATTTTAGTTTTAAGTGCAATGCATTTAATTTTGATCTGATCAAGGATTATATCCACAGACATCTTGAAATTTGTGGACTCATTTTTATATCTCACTGCTTGTAGTTTTAATTTTCGGGACAGTTGGCCAGTTATTTTCCAGTCAAATCTAAATGAGACATTGTTGTCTTTGGAACAATGGAGGGTGAAATCATTTCGATGTCTACTGTTTGGCATTGTGTACAAACAAAATTTCATGCACGTATAGATGAAAACATACATTTTACTCCAATATATTATATGTTTAAGGTTATTATTCCATAAAACTTTTGTTTACGGAAAAAATATCTTTGTGAGTGAGCCTCAAGCATTTAGTAATTAGATTTAGGAGAGGATATTTGTAATGAAAAAGGATGTTAACATATTTTTCAAGCATCAACTTTTTAAAACTACACAAATATTTCATTCATATCTAAAGAAAGTTCTTAAACCTCTCAAGGAAGCAGAGTCGTAAGCAGCTTCCTGAAAGTCTCCATCTTTTCTTCACCATAAGTGGATGACATCAGACCTCCTTTACAGAAAGGATGATCCATCAATGATCAGTTCGCACTTCTCAGTAGTACTGGGCTATACTCCAGCAATATATAATATGATATCATTTCACATAGGGGTCTTTCAAAATAATTTTATCGAGTGCACAAATCATACACTTTGGGGTTCAAGCTTGTGCACACTTTTTAAATAATGATGTTCCAATGTTTTTGAGTTTTTCTGCTCTTGGCATTGAAATTGATGTTCAGGCAGTTGTTTCATTTTATTATTTATTCATACTGAACATATTTTGACATAATACGTGTATAAGTAAGTATTCAGCGACAATATGTTTACGTTACAGTACATGAACCTCCCAAGGTTCACAGTTTCTTAACTACAATAAAATAAGGATTGTGGGAAACAACATTGTTTTGTATGCTGAAAATTAGGAACAACCATTTATTTATTTTTTTAAATCAACATTATTTTACTTTTTGTTTATTTAAGTCTGATTTTTGTAATATTTAGTTAATTTATGTGTGTTAATTATAGTCATTATGTGTACCTATTAATTAATTACTTTGTGTTTAGCCTCTTATGTTAGAGTTACACCCAAAACCAATTAGTTGTGACACCGCTTGGACCGTCCCTACACCCTCTGATCTGATTTCTTTTAAATATATAGGCTCCAACTAAAGGTTCCTTCTCCAGATCACTGGGCTTGCAAGAATTACTTTCTTTGTGAGAAAACATTGATCAAGTAAAGCAGCCCAATTTGTAAATATAAACCATTTTATAAATTTACACAAAACTACTGCTGCTGCTCAAGTAAGGCCAAAAAAAAAAAAACTTTTTGACAGTTGTGCTTCTGTTTGCTTGCATCACAGTTCGGCCATCTTAGTTGGTATTTTCCTCAAGGTGGCTAGAAGGCAAAGATTTTTTAGCCTGGCTGGTAAACTGCCTTTGATTGGTCGAGCCGATCGCAGTGCGGGAGGCGGGACTTTAGAATGCATCACTCTCAGTGCCTTTCTGCTTTTCTGATAGCATAACAGCAAGATTTTGTTTTTTATCAGCTTTAATGATCAGAACAGTAATTACATGTTCAAAAAAGAAATCTCTACTTTGCATTCTTAGGAAAGAGAGAAATAAAATAGTTAGATACGGGAGATCAAACTAACTAATGTAAGGTAAAGGAAAGCAAATGCATAAATTAACAGGCATTTACATTATAACCAGCGTAAGCATACAAAACCAATCTCCAAAAGTATAAATACATATGTAGGATTTAAAATCAACACTTAACAGAGACAGACCCATTTCAGCAATGAAATACATCAAGTTAACTTTAGCATTTTGTCAAGGTACCAGAAACTGTCACATGTCACTAAATATTTTTTTTGTTTATGTCCATATTTGTTGGCTAACAAAGATAAGGAGGAATAGAAAATTTTTAGTTTGTTTTTAAAACATGTTAATGAAGGTTTTTTGTTTTTTCCCTTTATATACATGCATATTATATCTTGCCAGAATCATGATAATATTGACCGTGTCAGATATATCCTTCGCAAAGCTATTCTTGTATGTTAATATTTGATTTATTTTAAAATATGTTACATTTTCTATTTTGGTACGCAACCAAATATTCATGTTCTGCCAAAAAAAAAAAAAAAACTGTGACTCTAAGGCAAAAAACGCAGGCATCAACCTCAAATCCAAACCTTTTCTTGAGAGTCTCTGCTGTTGGGTAATAACTATTCATAATTTTATATTGTACTTTTACTTTTGGATGAATTGTAAATCTTAAATATATGAAATATTTTAGCATAACAGCAAGACAGCAACCTCATCGGAGCAATGTTTTAATGATGCCCTTTCTGGTGTCCTAAGTGAGATTAAGCTAATCTTAATCTTCAGTGTCATTTCTTTTTAAGAAAGTCGTACTTGCTATTTTCGGCTGGAAATGTTTCACACACAAAATTACAAAAACAGAGCAAATTTCTTGTAGCCTTTGAGTCACATCCAAATTTATCTGATTGGTTCTTACCTGATGACGCTCTTTTAGTTTTAGTTCCGCCTCCGTCCAGCTCTACCAGATCTTTTCCAGACTGTTACACCGTGTCTGGCTAGCCTATTAATCTAACTTGACCACTGTGTTTCACTTTTTGTCAGACTCGTTATGTTCCCGACTCAGTTATGTCAAATAACTGAGGTTAGTTGACTGAGTTGATCTGTCGCAGAGAATCAGAAACCATCCCTTAGGGCCCCACTCACCTCTGTAATTGTTCCTTTCAGATGCCGATAGCGGTTTCTTTTTAGTTCGCCTACAGTACCTGTTGGTCAATTAGTCTTTCTTCCTCAGTTTCCCTGCTTTCATTCTGCATTAGCGGTTCCAAATCTCCTCTGTTTGGTTTATCTATGTCATTTCCTATCCCTGTCTCAGTCTTTAAGCTTCTGATGTTTCAGCCTTCCATCCTGAATTCTTCTTTTTCGATGCCAGGAATTCCTGTCTCCATTCTGGTCCATCTCACAACCTTTAACACCCCGAATTGTGATGATTGATAAAAGAACAATAGTAATGAGAGAATGTTTCTCTCAGTCAAAGAATGTTTCAATGTCAGCAGATAACATTACAGTCAGATTTTAATTAGTGTTTGATATTATAGTGTCTTTCCAACTGGGAGATCTATTTCCTTATTCCCTGTATTTCAATTTTTACCACATGCAGGTTTTCTGTAAAGACCCTGTTAGAGAAGTACACAGCAGAACCTATCGATGATTCATCTGAAGAGTTCATCAATTTTGCAGCAGTTCTTGAACACATTCTTAGTCACCATTTTAAAGGTAAGAAACCAGTGTGTCAGAGCTTAACTTAAGGTGAAAGTTTTGACAAAATAAGTAAGATACTGACAATCTTTACTTAAAGGGGGGCAGTGCTCTGCATAAGCACACATGTTACAGACCTATATTTTGTTTTATAGGCTCTAGTAGCTGGTTTGATGGACAGAGGAGTTACTGGGACTATATTCGCTTGGCATGTGCTAAAGTCCCCAACAATTGCATCAGCAGCATAGAGAGCATGGAAAACATCAACACATCCCGAGCAAAGGTAGGTCACATAGACGGGAGCCACACAGTCATGACAACTGACAACCGATATATCAATAACAACCACTTTTACTTTTTGCTGTTAAATCTCACTGATGTAAGAATTTGCAGCTCAGAGACAGAAAAGGTTGCATTAGTGATGCAATATATTTTTAACACTTTCAGCTGGCTGCCAGGACTTCAAATCAACCACCCAATATATACCAAAAAAGTAAAAAAAAAAAACAATCCACTGGACTTTGTTTCCAAGTTTGAAGACGTTTCCCTTCCCATCCAGGAAGGTTTTCAATTCAAAATGTCAGAAATAGTATTTAGTTCAAGGCTTTATAAAGTGGACCACAACAAAGCCTTGTTTTGGTTTAGAAACAAGCAAATTGAACCTGATATAACTAACTAACTGACCCGATATAACTAACTAGCAAATTCATCAGCTTCTCTTTTTGTAAAGATACTTGGTAGGGAATAGAAATTCCTTTAACTAAATCCACAACCCTAAGGAAGCCATGAATAACCTGTAGAAAGGCAGTAATGTAGGCTAAAGTTCACATCTGATATTTTTGTTGGTGTGTTTCTTTATAATAATGTTTGCTGTGCACAGTAGCTGATTTGGATTCAATGACATTTTTTCAGGGTCGAGCCTGGATGAGAGTCGCCCTCATGGAGAAGAGGCTCTCTGAGTATATTGCAACTGCACTGAGGGACAGCAGGACAACCAGGTTCCTAGCTCAACACCCTGACATCAGCATTACACTGCCCCCCCCCCTAAATTAAACATAAACCTTCATAGTTGTTTTTGTGCTTTAGGAGGTTCTATTCAGAAGGAGCCATAATGCTAAGAGAAGAGTCCACGGTGCTAACTGGGATGCTCATAGGTCTAGGAGCCATAGATTTTAGGTAATGAAGGTTTTTAACCTTTGCACAGAGAAGATTGTTTTTACTTTTGATTTTAAGTGGTTTTCTTCCCACAGTTTCTGTCTGAAAGGAGAGGCCCTGGATGGGAAATCTCCAGCAGTGATTGACTACACTCCATACTTGAAATTTACACAAAGGTAACTACAGTAACAAAGCAAGATTTTTTCAGACAGGCAAAGGGAATGTTTAATGTTTTGCTCTGTTACTTCATTTTCAGGTGAGAAAATCACTGTTTCTGTTAGGTAATTATTTTTACTTTAAACAGGATTCCCATACAGAGAACACAGGGAACTCAAAAAGATAATAAATATATAAAAAACAAAAAAATAATAATAATGAAATTTTAACATCTAAATATGTTTTACCCTTTAGTAAATCAAGTGGCTCCTTTCTTTTCAGCTATGAATACTTCAGTGATGATGATGACGATAGACGGAGTGTTGACAGCAGCTGCAGTGACGACAGCGTCCCCGAACACCCTTACGTCCCTCTGGTCACCGATGACGAGAACTGGAGCTCAAAGTGCCGCAAAATGGAGCACAGATTTAAGATCGTCAATGCTCAGAAGGTGTTAAGACATTTTTTTTTGGTGATAGATCACACAAATAACTAATTAAAGCACATAAAAAGGTGTGTAGTTTTTGTAAAAGAATATTTTGAAATATATTATAAGGGTTACCTGGAGGAGCTTGTGCGATTACGTGAGTCCCAGTTAAAGAACACAGAGGCAGAAAACAAGAAGCTGAAGACCAAACTGGAGGAGGTACAAAGCCAGAGCCACCGGGAAAAGAAGGAACTAGAGGCTGTTATCCTGGAGCTGCAGGAGCAACTGTAAGCCCATTTGATTAACCACCAACTTTTAATCCACTGTAGTTAATGGTGTTTTTACCCATATTTATTTTACAAGCAATAAAAAACTATTTAATTTACCTGATGTTTTATCCACATGTGCATTAGGACAAGCTTGATTCCGTATGATTCTAACCACCTGGTCAAAAACATGTCAATCCCCCTCATCAACCAGTGGCCAACCCTGGAGCCGTACAGCATCCAAGATGAGTTGAAGCTGTTCCGCAGGTTTGACTCGCTGCCGTGTGGTAAAACTTAATACAGGAACATTAATTTATTGCTTATTTATGGGAACAAGGAAATCAAGGAAAAACTATTTTTATCACATGTAGATTTGCGTCAAACTAATCAAAGATTTTTAAAATAATTTTATAATAATAATTTTTTTAATTCAACTGTTGATCCCTCGTTCTTTATCACACCCAGACATAGAATATTAAACTCATTAGGCTCACCTTTGCATGAATTAAAGCTGTAAACATTAGCTTATTACAAACTCTGAGGGCCTGATCTTTAAAGGGTTCGAGCATCTCAAAACTCCTGCAAACATATTTTTATGCATGAAGCAGATCTTCAAAGGAGGCATATTGTGTTTAAAATCAGCAAAACCTTTTTATGAGGGATGCCTTCGTCAACATGCAGATTATATTCTAATGACCAAACTGCATAATATTATGGGTGGATGATATGCAAATATAAACATTTACCAAATTTACCCAAAACTTAACCACAGTTTTTGCACCTTTTTAAACACTTTTAAAAGTCAGGTGCAAAGTCACACACAAACATTTCAAGGGTCATTGTCGCCACAAAATAAATTTTGGTGCAATGACAGACAATGTAGAGATATTCTGTTACGTAGAATAAAATATATGGACCATGGTAAACATATTTTGTAAAAACCCTTTTATAGTAATATCCACCTGTATATTATATTCAGTACATATCCAGCTGTAAATTTAGTTCATAGCACTAGTGATCTATATATTATATTCATTATTTATAATGGTATTGATCTCTATACTCATTCAGTAGAAACCCATGTCCTGTATTTATGGAACCATTATTTATCCTGCACTTGCTGCTATTGCACTTCTGGTTTGACCTAAACTGCATTCCGTTGCCTTGTACCTGTGCTTGTGTAATGACAATAAAGTTGAATCTAATCTAATCCAATCTAATATTTGAACCATTTAAAATACCCAGACTAGAATAATAATAATGGGGAAAAATCTGCTGCACAGGCTGGCACAAGTTAAAGCAGCAAGACAGCTGACAATTGCTCTACTATTAAATCTAAACAAAAACAATGACAACAACTTTAGAAACCATCCATCACAGAGCCTGAAAGGCTGCCTGTGTGGAGTACATTATCACATTTATTATCATAATTATTTTAAGAAAGATTATCATATTTATTATCTTCAACTACATGGGCTCATCTTTTCTTTTTATGTCCACTCTCAAACTTCCTGCATCATATGAAATCTGCTCAAACCAAACCGGTTTTCATGTCGTAACATTTGCATAAGCAGTCTTTTTAGATTATCCAATGTATTAATGCTGCAATTTAGTGCTTTCTGCATGGATTGCGCGAAGATCAGGCCTTTGCATTACAGCAAATTCACCTAACAGTTGAAGTTTAGTCAGCAGTTAGTTTTTTTTTACCACCTTACAAGAGTTTGTAAGGTGGTAAAATTAGTTCATTTATTTTTAAAAATGTTCCAGCTTTTTTTTTTACATAGTTTTACTCTTAATCTGCCTCCACAGTTATTAGGAAAACTAGGCTTCTCATTTTTTAGTTATATTAACAGTTGTTAAAGGTGGCAATCAAAACTGGCAAGGAAGTTTTAGCAAAAATAAATAAAATTAATAGATTGGACTTTTACAAAGAAATAAATAGTGTAAGATTCTGTTTTTTCTTACAGCCTTTTGTCTTAAATCTTTTTTTGTTTAAGTCTGTTGCTAAAAGTTGAATTTTTACTAATTTTCTCATTGAAATCCTCTGGCACACTGAAAAAAACAAAAAAGGGAAAAGGCTGCGAACAGGGATATTGAGTGCTTTCAATTTGTCAGTTGGTTAATTGAAATGAATGTGATTTTAGGCCCGCCTGGTGTCATGCTGCTGAATGTCATCCGCTGTTGTCCTCTCTTTGACCCTATAGGAGGAGTTTCCCGAGCACAGAGCTGCTCTCAGCAGAGGTCAGCCTGGATTCTGACTCCCAAAGAGTCGCAGGCAAACAGAACGGAGGAGCCTGGTGCACAGGTGACACTTCAGAACCTTTTATATTTTAAAACTGTGAATGAATAATTACAGATTTTATATTTATTGATAATTAATACAACTAATTGCAGTTGTTTTTTTATATTGTGTATGTTTTTGTTCCAGAAAAGGACTATACCCCCTCCATGATGGGCCTGTGTGGGTCTTTGGCCTCTTTTCCAAGCACCAAATCTCTGGCTAGCCTCAAATCAAGTGAGTGCTTGGTCAATATCAGCACAGAGAACAGCCCTGCTCTGTCTCCCAGCTAGGGGGCGCCAAAGATACACTGGAAAAGCAGACAATTCAGTAAAAAAATAAAAACAAGTGACTGCTCCTGGCTGATGTGTGCTCTCATCAGACCCTTTACCTTCACACTCAGCCTTTCTCTCTCTCGATTAAATCAAACGTGTGTGGAGGAGGATCCTGACTGTCTCAGACCTTCCGGTATGGATGCAGAAAAAGCTGCTGTACTGCCTCAGTCTTCAGCTCCACTGTATTTCAGAGCTGCTTTATGCTTCACCTCTCTTACATCACAGCGCTACACTCTGTGCAGATAAAGTCCCGTATCACCATCAGTCATCACTGTACGTTCCTGTCCGTTGAGTCCAACGAGTCTGTGTCTTTATCAGTTCGTCTGTGCATTCTCTCTGTTGCCTTAAACAGGCAAACTGGCTGAGCTGCTGTAACATTTTAGGGCATATAAGCTTCCTTTTATCACGGTTAAATACACTATTATAAGAGATTAGAGTGAGGTTAGAGCTTTTTTTTATGAGCCTAGTGGTCCATTGTGAAGATTATTTGAATAGAGAAAAAAAGAAACAGTGGATAATATTCTGAAAATAAATGTCAAAAGTCTTGTTCAGTCAAACTCCAGGTTAGATGCTGATTGTAGGAGCTGAGAGGGAACATGTGAGGCTGCCTCAGCATCACTACAATGTGCGTTGATACTATGCAGGATGAATGTTTTAAAAACGCTATCTGCCATGTGTCTGTGTCTTTTCCCAGTAATTATCTTAATTTAATTTCCTGACTGGCTTCATGATGTTTGGCACTCTCCTGACAGGCACTGGTAGATACAGGTGCTGGTCATAAAATTAGAATATCATGAAAAAGTAGATTGATTTCAGTAATTCCATTTAAAAAGTGAAACTTGTATATTATTTTCATACATTACATACAAACTCATATATTTCAGATGTTTATTTTGTTTAATTTTGATGATTACAAATGACAACAAATGAAAATCTCAAATTCATCATATCAGAAAATTAGAATATTGTGAAAAGGTTCAAAATTGATGGCCCCTGGTGCCACACTCTAATCAGCTAATTAACTCAAACCACCTGCAAAAGCCTTTAAATGGTCTTTCAGTCTAGTTCTATAGGCTACACAATCATGGGGAAGACTGCTGACTTGACAGTTGTCCAAAAGACGACCATCGACACCTTGCACAAGGAGGGCAAGACACAAAAGGTCATCGCTAAAGAGGCTGGCTGTTCACAGAGCTCAGTGTCCAAGCACATTAATAGAGAGGCGAAGGGAAGGAAAAGATGTGGTCGAAAAAAGTGTACAAGCAAGAGAGATAACCGCACCCTGGAGAGGATTGTGAAACAAAACCCATTCAAAAATGTGGGGGAGATTCACAAAGAGTGGACTGCAGCTGGAGTGAGTGCTTCAAGAACCACCACACACAGACGTATGAAAGACATGGGTTTCTGCTGTCGCATTCCTTGTGTCAAGCCACTCTTGAACCACAGACAGCGTCAGAAGCGTCTTGCCTGGGCTAAAGAGAAACAGGACTGGACTGCTGGTGAGTGGTCCAAAGTCATGTTCTCTGATGAAAGTAAATTTTGCATTTCCTTTGGAAATCAAGGTCCCAGAGTCTGGAGGAAAAGAAGAGAGGCACTTCATCCACGTTGCTTGAAGTCCAGTGTAAAGTTTCCACAGTCAGTGATGGTTTGGGGTGCCATGTCATCTGCTGGTGTTGGTCCATTGTGTTTTCTGAGGTCCAGGGTCAACGCAGCCACATACCAGGAAGTTTTAGAGCACTTCATGCTTCCTGCAGCTGACCAACTTTTTGGAGATGCAGATTTCATTTTCCAACAGGACTTGGCACCTGCACACAGTGCCAAAGCTACCAGTACCTGGTTGAAGGACCATGGTATCCCTGTTCTTAATTGGCCAGCAAACTCTCCTGACCTTACCCCATAGAAAATCTATGGGGTATTGTGAAGAAGAAGATGCAATACACCAGACCCAACAATTCAGAAGAGCTAAAAGCCACTATTAGAGCAACCTGGGCTATCATAACACCTGAGCAGTGCCACAGACTGATCGACTCCATGCCACGCCGCATTGCTGCAGTAATACAGGCCAAAGGAGGCCCAACTAAATACTGAGTGCTGTACATGCTCATACTTTTCATGTTCATACTTTTCAGTTGGCCAACATTTCTATAAATCCTTTGTTTTTATTGGTCTTCAGTAATATTCTAATTTTCTGATATGATGAATTTGAGATTTTCATTTGTTGTCATTTGTAATCATCAAAATTAAACAAAATAAACATCTGAAATATATGAGTTTGTATGTAATGTATGAATATAATATACAAGTTTCACTTTTTAAATGGAATTACTGAAATCAATCTACTTTTTCATGATATTCTAATTTTATGACCAGCACCTGTATATATATATATATATATATAAAAAAAAAAAAGGTACAAATACATGTGACTTTGACTGCAGCAGCATAATCCATTATTTCTCTGTCTCATTACACTTTTCCTTGCAATGTCTGAATAATCTATCTTTTAATATAAGTACATCGATTCAAAGGGAAATCTTAAGGTCTCACCCTGTCTAATAATTTGCTAAATTAAATTCTTGGCAAATGGAGACCACTAGTCCCTTTATTATACAAATTCACATATTTGGAGCATTCACTGGGAGAGATCCTTGACCATTCCTTTTTGCAACATCTCTATGGATCCTTCATAATCCTCTGTCTCTTGTCAAATTTTGGTATTTATGCATTCCTAAGTCCTTTTGGGGGGAAAACATGCCCACAGCATCACAGATCCTTTCCCATGTTTAACAGTGGTGAAAAATCACTGATTCTGCATACACTTATTTCTATTTTCTATCCCATCTGGAATATTTTGTTGCTAAAAAGATAAATATTTGGCCCAGTTCACCAAAGCATATAGTTCCAGTTAGTGTTTAGATAAACTCAACATGTTCGTGTTCGTGCTTGTTGGAAAGAAAGACGTTTTCCCTGGCAGAGCTTCCTAACAAACCACTTTGCCTGTAGAAAATGTTTACTTTAAGACAAGATAAATATGTTTTGTTTTTTATCATGGACCAATTGATTTAAATTATGCCAAAAAGACCTGATCCTACATTGAAAGACATATTTTATCGCAATTTTTTTTTAAACACTCTACAGTACATATAGTTGTGCCACTTGTTCTGTTTTTTTGTTTTCTTGTCAGACAAATATGTCATTATGTACCCTTTCCCGATTAAATAATTCTACTCATATCAAAAGTTTTCTTTCTAATATTTCCTTGTTTTAAATTATGCTGCTGCGATAAAGATACATTTATTTGCAACTTTGTGCACATCTCAAATGACAGGTTGTTTATTTTTCCTGCATCAGCATTTCAATATAATGCATTCTGGTTAAAAGTTGGAAATCATTGCATTACTTAAAACTGCAATAAAACTGTCTTTTTGGAATCAGTAATTGTGGGTATGTTTGAGTTTTTTTGGGTGTCTTTAGTGTCACACAAAGAAAGAATTGTTTAAATACCTGTTGGGCAGTGGCGGCCAGCCCATAGGGGGCGCTGGGGCACCGCCCTCCCTGATAAGAAGAGAGAAACGTAAAATATATTTTTAGAAATTAACTCATAAATGTCAGTTTTACTCTCTAGACTGTGTACCTATAAGCAAAACAAATTATATAAACTACATTTCCCTATCTACTGTCATTAATTTGTGGATTTCCACAGACAGACTCCTACCGTCTCTGTTCTGGGGGCGCCTATCAGACAGCCCCACATATGCAGAGAATCTGTCAATCATGTACTATTGCTAGGTGAATTTAATGGCCAATCAGCGTCTCGGAACTTTATGGTATTGGGGCTCTGAAAATACTGCCCTTTAACAGGCTTCTGAACCCAAGCGCAGGTGCAGACAGTTAGAGGGAAGATGGCGAATGTAACGAGCGAGATGCAGCTTCCACCAAATTCGGTGAGATCCTTATTTATCTACCCGTTTGCCAGAAGAACATCCCTGTTGTAGGATATGAACATTTCATGTTATGGTTATTGTGACTGTGACGAATCCACCTCGTCGCTTAAAACAACCTCTCTAACTTTGCGCGCCACACACACATTCCTGTTATACTGTGTTTGTGAGGACCAATACACTCGCGCTGAGCCAAGTAGCTCCATGAACTTAAAACACACAAGCTGTTCCTGGTTACCTGCTGGCATATTGAGGGTGCACACTTAATATTTCAGTGGGGTTAGCCGTGTGTGTGTGTATGTGTGGGGGGTGTGGGTGTGTGTGTGTGTGTGTACGTGTTTATGCTATGGGGACTTGTCATCTTCAGTCTGGCTGCGTCTTTGCTGGGTTCAAACCCAGTTTGGTGTAATTGAATAAGTCAATGAATCTGTGTAAAAGAATGAAGTTGTAAAAATGATTTGTTTTTGTACATCAATTGTTTGTGGAGGTAATATATGGACAAAACTGATTAATGAGAAGAAATCAGAAATAAGAGAGCCTGAGGTGAGGGGCTTAAACTATTTAATGAGGGCTGTGGGAAGAAAAGCAGCAATTTTTGTTTTCTGTTTCTTTGTTACATTGCTGGTAACTGGAGGGAGGCTGAGGCCCAGAGGATCTTGTATATGTTTAGTTTCTTTTGCACCCTGTTTTGAGTTTTTGAGCTCAATAAATCACCAACACCGGTAACCCGACTGAGCCTGGATTCTTGGAGGCCAAAGAACCCCGTCACAGTGACCCAAATCATCACTGTTACTGTTATTATATAGTAAATTAAATCATTACTGTTAAATTGTATGTATTGTCCAATTGTTTATTTGAATTCTTATTCCGGATTAGTTGGAGACATACACTAGGCTATATCAGCCCCACCAAAAATATTTTTCACCAGCCGCCACTGCTGTTGGGTAAAGCTGCAAAATTTTAGCAAAATAAATTAGTTTTTTTTTTTAATATTGTATTATTCTTTTCAAAGCTAATTTCTGAGTCCATACACTGATATTAGATGAAAGGCCTGGCTCAAAGT